AATCTTTAGGCGCAATGAAGTGTCAAAGATTCTGCACAGAAATTGCGAAAGTATCACGAAGTGGTGTACAGATTTGAAGCATACTATCTCCACTTTGAGTGTAATTTCCGCGAGAGCACTTTTCGGATGGATCCAAAAATGTGTTTACAATCCACACACGCTCTGATTGACGGTTGGGTGTTGATGTTGAGGAAGAGGTGCTGGGGTTTTTGCAAAATGCCCCAAATAGATATTCCCGCCCAAATTGATCTCTTTTCAATAATTACCTCACAATTAACAGCGATGCCAATTAATCGCTCTGGTCAGATTCGGATGGGGCTTTTTTGTGCGCCTCTCGCGCACTCTTTCCACATCGCCGGCCATTCATTCAGCTCCGGTGACTTCTTTCCGCGGAGGGCTGGAAAAAACGACAGTCCAGTTGGTCACAAAGTTGCAAGATGATGGTGATTCTCAGCTTTGGCTCGTGTTTTGGCTTCCTCTCCACCGTTGAGCTTCTTCTGCGTCTCGTCGTTGCCGATCAAGACACACTCTCGTGGTATTGCCACAGACCTCTTAACCTATATATTCGGACCCAGCAGAAAAATGTCTAGTCGATGGCATCTCGCTGCAAGAGAGCCAGTTCATTCCAACCGCGATGATACTCGAATGCGTCGCTGTGTATGAAATTCCTTCTCGTGGTGTTTGTGGCGAACGCGCGCCTCATGCGGATGATGAATTTCATCGAGGAAATCGTACACGAAGATGCTGCAGCAGCCTCGAATCATGTCTAGATTGTATAAATATTTACAATACTGCGCGGCTCGAGTCGATGGTGGAAAAATTGCTATTGTATGCAGTCGCAATTGCCTCCAAATTAACTCTTCGCCCAGAAAATCCATTCACTCCGGCCATCACCCAGGCCACGATAGCGTGAAAGATGTCCAAATTGGAGTGATTTTTCCGAGCCATAAAGCATCCAACTGAGGAGGACGAGGAATCGAATGCCGCGCATAAAAACTTTCCAAGAGAGATAAATCTGAAATTAAATCTAATCACCGAAAATTTCCTCTCACACCGCGCCGGATGATGATTTCTGGTGAAAGATGCTGCGCTTCCCAGCCATTTCACTTTGCATTATGCAATTAATGAGATTGCCGCGCGGAGAATATTGAGGATGAATTATCAAATATTTATACAAGTGTTAAAAGCTGTTTCCTGCTACATTGTGCGCACATGCAGTGATTTATCGTGGCCACACGGTGACCACTGTGACTCCCAAGATGTTAAGCGATGCTACGTGAAATGGTCAGCGAGACTCAAAGTGGAAAAGATGCTTCGCAGATCAGTTGATAAGGCTGATGAGAGGAGTATCAGGTTTACACTTGACTAATGTCGCTTATCATCGAGGGGAAATTCACTAGCCAATTTTTGAGGAACCTTAATGGTCTCAATCAAATATTCAAATATTGATTAGTACTTTCAAAGAAAAAAAAAAAACAAATATTCAAAATATGAATAAGAGTAATCAAAAATTTATATTTTCCAAGCAAAATTCCACAGAGAGTTCAGAGTTAATGCTCTGAATTCACTAGTGACTCTCCCTTTGCTTATCATTAACCCTGCTTGACAAAAAGCAGCTCACGACTTGCTCATTTAGTAATTCAATTCCTCAGCTTGTGTCCTGATATCATGAGTTCTTTCGGCTCTGTCAGACGAAATCCACTGAGTCACCTCTTTCGAAACGTGTAGCATAAATTGATGCTTCTTTTTGCATATAGACTTCATTAGACTTTTTTCGGTATTGAGAAATTTTCGCATGGACTCTTGTGAAATTCACATGAATGTCTGCAAAGCGGCACTCAAGAATAGACACTTAAGAGTGCGGGATACACTTTGCACATGCCAGTGAGAGATGTTGAGAAAGACCCAGAAATTCTATCGACATCTCCTCTGCCATTGTTTCGGGCCGAATCGACGAGAAGGGATGGGAAAATGACGATGGCCGGAAGACAATCGATCTTGGGGAAAAGTGCGTAATGTGATGAATCAATTGAGGAAAGCAGTGGAGGGAGCATCTTATCGCTATCTTGAGTTTCTGGTCAATTTACGAATTTACATACGCAGCTTCGCGGGTAGGGCGAAAAAAGAAAATTCCGATGACATTTTTTCATGCCACTCTCTAACTTGTCTCTTCTTTTCACATAATTGTCGACTATTTATATATCACAGACGAAATTTCAACTCTATTTCTAGGTTATTGTGTGAATTTCATTGGAATATTTAGAACGAATTTTGAATATCAATCGTCATCAACACGATCATAATAATGAACGCATCAATTTGACTAAATTTTCCCTCATAACAAGATCATCAGCATTTTATCTTCATCTTTCTCTCTCTCTCTCTCTCCCTCTCTCGTACACGCACTTCGGACACTTTTCAGCTCAGTGACCTCTCGCGGACGAGGCGCGCGTCCACGTCCTGTCGTGACCCAGAAAAGCGCACCGCCTGGCCATCCGCTGTCCATTCGCGCGTCTCCTGGGCATTTTTCGGATGCCAGCGAAGAGAGAATGAAGCAAGTCAGAGACATCATCATCAGTGTGTTGGCCTACTCTCTCTTCTCTTGCGACCGTGGACCCGCGCTCAAAGTCACTCAACTCCGAAGCGTTTGCAATCTTTTTATTAATTCAGGTTTCGGAGCCTCGAGTCAATTGCATACCTGATTCACACGCTTAATACACACATTCAGAATGGTATTTTATTAATGAATTACCAATCGCGAAAGCTAACACTCAAATCGCGCGATAGAAGCAATAATAGGATGAAACAGCGTTCGAGACAGAGCGACCGATGGGAATTGAGGTGGAGGCAGATTTTTGGGAATAGAGGACATCCTGGACGGCGGGAGGTTTCGTTTGGGCTGCAATGCAGGAAAATAGGTCACGGCTTTCCAGGTCAAACTTAGAATTCAGATGGTATTTCGACACTTGCAATCAGAACGAAATTGATATTCTGTTGCTGAAATTCGCGGGTGGAATACTTTCTCAATTAAGACTCAATCTTAGTGCTCTTCCGGCGAGCTTTGCGATGTGATTATTGATATCACAATGAGCTTTGGGGGAAATTCTCAATTGTTGTCTTTATTCAAATCATCCGTTCAACTGAGGGACAAGAGATTTTACTAGCTAAATAGATTTTTCAGCGCATTCGGGGGTAAAAACATGCTAAGAATCTGTGATTTTGGTATGAACACCTCTCTCTTCCCATCCCAATTGGTCACTCCTTGTGCCACACATTCGACGGTGCTGAGCTTTCGGACTCTGATGGGGAAAGAGTGAGAGAAAGAAAGAATTTCAACATTGTGTTGCTTCGCTTCTTGAGGTGTCCCATCACTTTTCACTGTGACACACATTAATCTTCCTCTTCTTTTGTATACAACCACCTGAGATTGGTCTGCATAGCAAAAACCGCAATAATTCTGACTCGGTTTCTGTGTTTGTTGCGATGGTAAAAAGGCTTGAATTTATAGGCATGAGATTTTTATGTGCATCGCTCATCAATTAATTGCTGAACCACATCAATTTGTTGCTGGGAGATTTTTATGGTGGCAGAAAATTCCTCCTTGGATGTGTTTCATCATCGTCAATTGACACAATTTTCCGGCAACTATGCGTAAATTAGCTCCCAAACGTAACGACCACGAGTGTCCAAGATGCGATTCAATCGGACCAATAAAAGGCCAAACACATAAAATTCTGATAAAAGACACAAGCTAGAGATCCACCAGATTTAAGGCAGATCTCTTGTGATGATACTTAAACCAATTCCGAGAGCAGAATATCAATCTGCCTCATTAGGAATTTTGGTGTTGTGTGAATTTTTTTCTCCACTGTTTTGCGGGTCTCATGAAGCCGGTCAAAACGGAAGTTGTTAGCCCAGAAAAGATTCTGCTCAACTGTGTCTTTTGCACCAGAATCAATCGAACTTTGTATTTTTCAACTGATAAACATCATGAGAGTGAGTTTGGCTCTCATGCGCAGAGGGGAAAAAAACCCAACATCATCGTGGGTATAATTTTACAATGTCAACGGAAGAAAATCAGTCTTCTGGAATGTCTATAATCACCACAAAATTGCACACACACACACACTCATTTGACCAGTATTAATGGTTAATCTCACTTGGTGCGAAAAGTGATTAATAATCCTGTCACAATTTGCGACTCTCAGGTTTCTCCGCACTTGTATTCTTTCTAGAGGCGCACTTTGTGCCAAAGGAAGATAATCGAATTTGAATTTGCGCGCCTCTCGCGATCTACCGCCAAAGAAGCTGCAATTGATTCCTGTTTCGTGCTAACATTTGACTCCACATGCAAATGACCCGAATAATTGAGAAACAAAACACAAATGATCACTTTATCTTGTGCTTTTCTCTACAAGCTCCAGAAGTCCATTGAATTACAATGATAAATCAGAATATAAAAATTAAAATTAGAGAGTTGAAAAATTAACGGGCACTTCACTGTATGAGCATAAATTTGATTTTGAGCAAGTGCTTAATGAATGGCAATTTATTCAGTGCAGCTTTTCACTCTAAATTGAACTATTTATGATTCATTTTAATTGATATAATAAGATTGTAAAGTAGAGTCTAGTGCATCATGATGAGGAAAAATCCCTCTTCTTTTTTATACATCAAAATACATAAATTGCTTTCAACTGAATTATCAGTTGGAATTTCTGAGATATTGTGGTCGGAAGTGGTAAAATATTTCTACAATTTGCATTGCAAAAGCTTCTAGAATTCAAGCTCACAATATTTCGCAAGCTGGACAATTGAGCCGAATCAATTGAAGCGCTTTCTGCAAGTGACTCACGAGATGGAGAGGAGAAAAGGCGCGAGAAAAAAGTCTAGCGAAGAAAGTTGAGAATGCTGAATGAGGGATCAATTACTGGAGAACACATGAGTATCGCATAGCTTTAATGCGCGCACTTGGCGAAGGAATTCAGCCAAAAGATTTGGTACACAGTGCAAATGAGCGAATTAACGAAGAAGCGGACTTATTTGTGGATTACTTTCATCGGTTGCTTAACACCAAGTCCCGTTGATTTGGAGCCACTTTCGTCACATTTCCCCTGCTCAATTGGGAACATGAAAGAGATATCAATGTCGTACCTCGGCAGTTTCTCCCTGGAACAGTGCGCAGAGGCAAGAAATTGAAATTAATTTCATTGTCTAGCGTCGGCTGGGAAGTGGAATGGCAGAGTCTGCCGATGGAGTTTACCTGAGGAAATTAATCACATTGATCCCAAGATGCTTCTCTCGTGACAGCAGCAGCGCCGACAGGTATCTCGGTGGGTCTTTTGTCTTCTCCGCGCAGTGCATTATCAGCGCCCATGACTTGTAATCAGTGTCAATTATGTAAGTGTTGTAAATTCCTTCATCTGCAATCAAAGAGACATGAAGAGACCATTAGAGAAGTGGATCTGAAGGCGTGCAGAGCGAACCTACAAATGTCTTCTGCGTGCACCCAGTGAGCAGATGCTGCGAAATTGGGTATAATCCACGTTATGTTGCCCTGCTGCACCTCATGCAGTGGATCATCCGCGTAGATGTACGTGAAGTTCATTGTCACCTAATTGCCAGCACATAGAGTCAATCGACAGCATTGCAAAATTTCATCATCCACCAACTTCTTCCTCCCATTCTCTCTCTCTCTCTCTCTCGCATTTCTTGCACACACACCGCGCAGATTATGTTAATTTTCTCTTCTCTCGCGGCCTGGAAGGAGGTCAAGTATTTGCCAGACATCGGCGAATGAGACTGCCGAGTGCAGAGAGGGAAAATGGCCAAGAGCGGGAAAAAGACACTCAGCAGACACACACAAAGTGCGCCAAAGTTGCGTTCTTGGGCGCGCACAAAACGAAGGACGTGATAAGCAAATGCCAAGGCTAGCTTTTGGCTGAACTCTGGGCGATTAGCGTATTCAAAATTGAAACTTTGAACCACCATAACTCCAGTTCTATTGCATCGTTGAAAAGTTGTGACCTATTTTTCAGAGACGTCTGATCTGGACTAAAACATACTGAAATTTTATCGAAATGCATAACAAATTTGCTGAGATACAGGCGTTTAAAGTAATTTCAATATGGCGGCGTGATTAATGACGTCACAAAATAATGGCGGGTGTGTTCTAGTAAAGGTTGTTGGAAGATGTATTTTCAATGAAGAGATGATTAGAATCGGCGAAAAAACAGCGGAGATATAGGCTGGTAAAGGTTTAAGCTCTACAAGTTCATTTACGACGGACGGTGGACGGCCGGCCACGATAAACACGATTCCCCATTTTCTTCGTCAGATTTCATCACATTTGGCCTCCTGATGTCATTTTAGTCGATTTTCTGTGCGCTCACAGACAGAGCGGGTTTCGCTCAACGCGAACAGCTCGAATTCCGGAAGAGACCCCAAAACACATCGCGTCCCGCGGTCGGTGGCGAATTGCGCACACTCTTTGTCACACCTCTGTGTCTCATTGGGAGCACCCAATTCTGGCGGGAAGAAGTGGCAATTGGGCACAAAAAGAGCTGCACAGCACGTTCTCGTCAGCACAATTAATCGTCACCTGCTGACTCTCTCCTGGAGCAGTCACAAGTGCAATGTGCCAAGTTCATTCGGCGCACAAGTACACGGCAATTGTACCACATGGAGGAATAATGGCACAAAATGCAGCCGAGCAGTGCGTAAATCATTTAATGTCGACACCGCATCGCTTTGTTGCATGATCTCTGCGCTACACTGTGCAGAATGGAAGGCTGGACAAGTTCAAGATCGCGATTATCACTTGATTGAGACTCTTCTGGGCTGCTTTTTGCCGATCATCGCGCAGAATTTTCCCTCAGATCCAATTTGCCAGCATCTCTTGGGCGAGTGATTAATCAGATTCTCTGCTTAATTGTCGCCAGCGTCCAGCTTAAGATGTGATTTTGCGATTGTTTCAATCATTTCTCGCAGTGTTATTCGTTAAGTATTTTATTTTGCGTCTCGAGGTGCTTTTGAAAAGAGAATTTCTAATTTTCAGCGCAATACATTGTGTAGCATAATTGCTGAATTGAAGAGGTGAAAAAGCCAGTCAAATAGAAGACTCGCAACAAGAGGAAAATTAAATACGCCTCAATGGCGAAGTGCTTTGCGATAATTTTTGCCCACTTGATTGTGTGCGGTGAGAGATTTTGTGGAGAAAATGAATGAATTGACGCACGTTCGGGCCGAAGAATTTGATCCACTTTGAGAGCCCATGGCAAAAATTGAGCTCTTCGTTCGGATCAAAGCGCGAAATTTTGCGCTCGCTGCAAGAGTCATTTATCACCGCGAGGAAGGAAATTTGGAGTGATTGTTTGGCGGATTCTATGGGGATTTTCCACTTTTTGCGCGCGCGCACGCTTTTTGGGAACACTCACGGTCAGATCTTCGTAGGAGAAGCTGAACAGGCTCCGCATGCACGAGTACTCGGGCGCCTCCTCGGTGGAGGCGAAGTACTGGACGACGTTCCAGAAGCCCATCATCTGCGCCAGCTCGAAGTTCCTCATGGCTTTCACCTGCGGAGAAGGAGTGTCAGTCGCGACGGCCAGAGAACCGTCTCCGTCTGCTCACCTTTGGGCATCTCTCGCGTCGCCTCACCCGATAAACTCCGTGCACGAGCGCCGTGAGGAGCAGCAGGATGAAAAAGAGCCGGAGATTCGCCATCACACAATTTACGATCCGCCTCAAAACTGGCAGAGAGAAAATCACTTTTTGCGCCACGGAAAAATCTCTTTTGTTCCAATTGACGTTCTCAACTATGACGATTATCATAATTTAATAGAGTTTTGCCTTTTTTCGCTCCCTCTCGCTCTGTGTGAGTGAAATATTATCTCGTTTGCAGCCCGGATGTTGGTGATATATTCAACAGTGGAGCGAATCTCAAGGGAACTCACAGTGTCCAGAGGCGCTTTTTCACCTCTTCGGCAACACAAGGGATTTGCTGAGAAATTGAACTGTTCTTGAGGTAAATCAAATTTATTTTGGATTTTTCCATTCATTTCCAATCCTTCATATCGTGTTTTTGAGCTTCAGACCTGACTTCTGTCCTGATTTTTAGTGTTGTCTTCGGAAAATGCTTGATCTTAAATCAATCACAGAACCTGGAAATGCAATAAAGTTACTTTTTCTGGGCAAAATAATGTTTAAAAAAAAGCCTGAATTAAATATTAACATTTCCCTGAATGCTGTACACCCCTTCTATTGTTCTACTTCACTTGAGAGCATTTAATCGCAATTTCCTAAAAGATTCTTCAATTTCTTGAGTTTATTCGCGCTCTTGCGGTGTCTTGGGTATTTCCCCAGATGGCGCAGATCGCACGGGATATTTTCCATCTGACACCCCCACTATATTTTGTCTCTCCTCCACACCCTATAGTCGTCTCTGTCTGGCTCGAAGAGGAGGAAGAAGGGTTTGGTGGAGAGTTTTTAATTTATTGATATTTTCGTGAAAATTCGCCCGGAAAATCGTGCAAAAAGTGCAAACACGCCACAAAGTGCACCCATAGAGCACATTAAACGTGTAATTTGCTGGCAGCAATGGGAGAAAAGAGTGCTGGTGACTTTGTTCGCATATGCAAACTGTCAAAGTGCGTCTCTCGGGCAATTTTCGATAAATAATCAATTGTTTCCCAACAATTGTGGCCGGATTGCATGATATTTGCATAGTGGACGGCCCCCAACGCATTTTTTGCGTGGCTGCGCGTGTGGAAAAGCAGTGCAAGAGACGGAAATTGGGGTTTTTTTTCCGTGTGCGGCTGGCCGAGGGAAGTGGTGTGGGAAAATTTCCCAAAATATTTTTATTATTCTCTTCGGGCGTCTTTTCGCCCCACTTCCGGGCGGTGTTTTGACTACCCGGAGAGACAGTGTGTAGACGCCCAGGCGGGAGAGTGAAGTGTCGGATCATGTCGCGCTGGAGCAAGAGTCGCAATCAGGGTTTTGCCGTTCCCATAGATTCCCTGCTCAAGGAGAAGGAGAACACAAATCGCCCCACAGCCGCGCGGTCGGCGGGAACAGTGGGAAAATGGGGCGTCACGAGCTTCACCTCCATGCGCGGGGTCTCGATATACGGTAAGATTGTAGATTTGCTGAGAGATCGCCTGGTAATTGAGTTTATTTTGGTTTCAGGACGCAGCGGATTCTCGCAGTACAGCCCAAAGCAGGAGGCCTCGCCGTCAGCCTACATATCGCCCACTCAGGAGCCCCAGCTGAATCAGAATGCGCCCAACATTGAGGCGCCGAAACCGAAGAAGTTCTTTAAGAGTCGCAATGCTGTGCCAGCGGAGCCTTTTCTCATTCAATCACCGCAGACTTCGCCCTCAATGGACTGCGCCCAGCCGCCGTCCTTCGCCCAGGCCACCACCTCGTCGGAGGGGCAGCCGGCGAAGGGCCCCGGAAGGCCGCGGAAGCCGAAGCTTGAGGGTGAGAAGCCGGTGAAGAAGAAACCCACCAAAAGTACAAAGAAACCGAAAGCAATTGTGGAGGAGCAGGAGAAGAAGGCGCCCAAGAGCAAAGAGGGCTACTCAAAGGCCGCCACGGCGGTGCCCAGCAAGCGCTACTTGGCCAGGAATCGGAAGGTGGTGAACTACAGCGAGACCACCAGTCGCAGTCCGACGCCTGAGCGGCCAAAGTATCCGGTTGGCGAGGCTTCTAGTCCGCCCAAAGCCCCGCCAGGCGATCACCCGCCCATCGTCCTCAGGATCTCTAAGGTAATTTCTCACACTGTTGGAATTCCCTCGCGTCCCACGACATCTGGGGACTTGTCGTGCGGCATTTGCGCGCCACCGGCAACAATGCCCACACGACGTTTCGGAACGGAGAAAAGTGGGCATTGATAAATCCCGCGTGAAGTTGGCGTTGTGTCTGTCAAAACATTTAGTTTTTCTTCGCTTCGTTCTTTTCTTGTTTTATCAGCATTTTTTCCGCATTTTCACCTCATTTTCACTTTCCAACCAAACTCCAAAGTACAACCAAAGACACTTAGTAACGCATAGTGCTGGAGAAAGTGCCTGCTGAGCATAGAATGTGGAGGAATTTGGTGGTGTTCAAGTGCCTGTAAGTGCGCTGAGTGGGGCGCTCTCGGTTTCGCTATAGTCAGTGAAAAGTGGCCGATTGGGAATATGGCTTTTCCCATGTTTGCCTCCACACTGTGGGGAAGCCAAGGCGAGAATTTGACTGAGGAGAAATTGAGAAATCTGTGTCGTATCAATTGCAGTCACTCTTTTTCTCACTTCTGCCACCTCTTCGTGGTCTTTCTATTGAGTGGAAATTTGTCACAGAGTCGTGAAGGAAAAATGATTCGATGATTTGTGCTTGCTTGGCGAACGAGAGGCAGAAAGAGAGAGAGCAAATTGTGGCCAGTATCTTATCGCTCAGTGGTTTTGTGCCTGCTTCTTGACTTTCCGGAATAGTCGTCAGAGATAAGAGAGGCTCTGGATATCGCTATCGATGGATTTCACTCCGCACTCTTCCACCGACGTGATCTTCATGTTTAGACGCTTGAGAAGATGAGCAGGAAGAGTGCGAAGAAGTGCTGAATAAGTCACATTTTCTTAGGGGAGAGATTAATTGTTATTATCTCAAAAGTGCCTGTTGTGGCTTTTCTCAATGAACAAACACTAAGTAAACTGTTATTTGCATTGAGCAATGATTAATAGGAGCAAAGTAGGTCAGAGCAGATTTAATAAGACACTATGAAGAGCATGAAATAGGGCGCCAACTCGTATAATTCGATGGTGTATCGATTTTAGTGAAGCTTCTTCCGTGATTTATCCAATTACTCTTCACTAAAGGGTCGTTGCAACTTTATTTTCATAGCATTTTAGACAAGTTGTCAAAATGATGAATTCGTGAAACTGCTATGTAATATTTACACTAGCAGTCGCTTGGCGGACATTAATAAAAAGTATTGAAATGCATAAAGTTGCAACGAAAATTCGTAAGTTTTTTACTAATAGAAATGTTAAATCTGTGAAGTTGCAACGACCCCTAAATCTTTCACGTTGAGTTTCTCTTCTCTCATCTCAAAATAGGGAAAATATTTGTCTAGACACGAGAGTAAACAAAGATATTCTACTCTTCCAGGACACTTTAAAAACACATTAAATCGGTTTTTTGCTCGCTCAATTTGCCTTGGAATTTATTATCAATTTAAAATTAATAAATTCAGGTCGTTACAGCAAAATATGGGTCGCCCTACGCATGTAAACACCATAAATTGGGCACAGAAGGGAGAGAAAAGTGACGGAAATGATGCCCTCCTTTTACTGCTTCACAAAATCAATAAATGGATTTTGACCTTTTTTTCCCTCTTCTAAATGCAACCACTTTCGCTGAAGGACTCATTCTGACGGGCGGCTTTTGTGGTGTCTTTGCAGGGAACGTCGAGATTGGTGAGCACGGATAGCGATGAAGTGAACAATTCACCGACTTATTCAGCTCCACCGCAGAATTTGCTGCCACCGCCAGTGTCGACGGCCACGATTGGCGAGACTGTTGGCGCTCTCTCGTCCACGGCGGAATTGTTGGCGGTGCTGTCGGAGCAATCGACACCTGCTGCGACTGTTCAGGTGCAAGAAAGCACTCCGAAGCGCGCTGACGAGGAGGCAGACTGTTTGAAGATCAAAATACGCACAGACGGCAACAAAGGTTTCATCAACAGTACCAATTTAGCGCCTGAGAAGCCTGAGAAGCCCGAGAAGCCGGAGAAGCCAGAAAAGGAGGTCACAAAGCCCACGAGGGGCCGGAAGAAGGCAGTGAAGCCAGAAGAGAAGCCAATTCCAGCGAAGGCGCCTCAAGTGAGAGTGACTAGAGCGACAAGGGCGACAAGAGCGTCGAAGAGGAATCAGGAACTCATCGCGCCGAGTGCTTCGCCGTCAAAAGCGGCTCTCTTGCTGCCGCCGGCGAAGAAACCCGGAACATCTCCTCTGCCTGGCAGTGACAATTACGAACTGTACAGGACTCTGGCGTCGCCATCTGACAGGGATTTTGACTCTCAGAGCTCCATTCTCGGCAGCGTGTCGTCGAACAACACGCCAACGCCTGTGGCAATCGGTGGATTGCCGCTGGAGGAGACTTGTGTCATCCGGAGGAGAGAGTCTAGTGACGGCACGAGTGATATTGACACATCGCAGCATAGTTCACTCGTTGCGCCGCCGTCGGAGATTAATGTGCGTCTGAATGCCATTTCTGAGTGCTCGGAAGTGGATGAGACGGACACTGTGAAGGCTGTTGAGGAGAAGAGAGCGCCAGCGCCGAAGAAGTCACCAGCGAAGCCTGTGGCGAATCGCCGTGTCACGCGGAGAGCCATGAAATCCACTCAGGAAGAGGTGAAGGAGCCCACACCGCCGCCCGCTGTCAAGGAGGCGTCCGTGGGGCGTGTGACCAGGAACAACAACAACGGGAATATTCCAAAGAGTCAGCCAGCAAAGGCGCCGCCGACGCGGAGTTACACGCGCAAGAGACGCGGCGCGAAGGTGGATGAGCAGATGAGTGAGAGTGCAGTGGCGGAAGAGGAGCCAAAGCAACCGGAGAATTCTCAGAAGGACGAGGACAGTGCTAAGGAACAGGTGGCGGACAGTGCTGTGACCAATGCGTCTGCCGAAGTGGCGGCGGATCCTGAGGCGGCGGGCGACGGGAAGCCGCGCGCGAAGTATCGACGAGGGCGATATGGACAGAAGGAGGTGAACAGCGAGGCGTCGCAGGAGTCTCTGGAGATGCGAGACAAGAGCAGTGAAGTGGAGGATAGCGACAGGAATGTGGATGAGAACAGTTCGGAGAAGCCGAGTGTGAAGCTTCTGATTTCAAAGAAGAAGGGAAGCATCTTCAAGAGTCGAGCTCTCGTGACTGATGCCGGTGAGTCTCTGCATAGGAGGAGCGTTGTGTGATAAACTGGCTCACGTGTTTGTGTGTGTGTCTGTTTTTCAGATGCGGCAAAGAAGCGACACGTGTACAAGCACAAGTGGGATGACGACAGCAAGGGCAACTCGTCAATTGATACCGCAAAGGCGCCACATGTGGATGAGTTCAGTTTGGAGGGCAGCAGCTCGAGTATGACGCGCCTGCCGAAGCCCACGGACAGTGGAGGCGATCGGGAGAGTGTGATGAGCTTCTCGCGTGAGCAGGAGGTGCAGCTGGAGAAGTACTACACGCGCGTGAGGAATGTGAAGAAGGCGCATCAGATTCAGGAGATTGGGGAGTTTCAGGAGATGGATGACGATGTGGAGTACATCTTGGATGCCCTGCAGCCGCACAATCCGCTGTCCACGCGATGCTTGTCAGCGATTCAGCTGTCATCCAAGTGCATGACGCCGGGCTTCAGGATGCACGTACGGGCTCACGGCACAGTTGCGAAGTTCTTCAAGGCACTGCGCGATGCCACGAAGGATCAGAGTTTGGGTCTCTGCACGGCGACCATTATGTTTGTGCTGTCGCAGGACAATCTGAATATGGACCTGGACAGGGATTCACTGGAGTTGATGCTGAGTCTGTTGGAGTCTGACGTGAGTCATGCGGATGCGTTGGACGATGCGGGACTGAGTTTGCAGCAACTGCAGCGGAACAAGCAGAAGGTGCGCGAGCTGTGTGAGGAGGTGAAGAGCCATGGCAAGGCGCCGCACTTGAACCTGGACAACATCACGGTGGGAACGCTGGCCATGGAGACGCTGCTCAGTCTGACGTCGAAGCGTGCCGGCGAGTGGTTCAAGGAGGAGTTGCGCAATCTTGGCGGCCTGGAGCACATTATCAACACGATCTGCGAATGTTGCCGTCAGATTTCGGACTACGTCGTGGGCTGGACGGATGCTCTGCTGGACAAGTTGCGCAAAATCGAGCGATGCCTGAGAGTGCTGGAGAACGTGATGGAGATGAATGAGCAAAATCAAAGCTACATCCTGGAGTATCGCAATGGCCATGCCATTGAGACACTCGTGAAGTTGTACAAACTGTGCGATCGCGAGATCGCTCTGTATCCCACAAATGACCAGACGTCGAAGGAGAATCCGGGCGTGGTGATTCGCGAGGCGTTGGTGCCCACGCTCAAAGTACTCATCAATCTCACGCATCCGTTCAACGATCGCGCCGTGGGGGCGGTGTTTCTGGGCGAGAAGGAGGGTCTCTTCGACACGAGTCTCCATCTGTTGCTGCAGGCGCCCAATTATGTGCCTGAGAAGTGCATCTTCGAGCTGAGCATCCTCGTGCTGCTGCTCCTCATCAATCTCACCATGCACACGAAGGCCAATCGGGCGGTGATAATGGAGGCGAACGCACTGTCGGACTTTGGCAGTCAATTCGCAAAGGTGCCCGCCATCAAGGCTCTCGTGGAGTTCTTCTACAAGTGCGAAGAGATGGCCAGGTGAGGGATTGAGGTGATGCGGTGGAGAGTGCAGTTTGCTGACTGGAGATTTCTTTCAGATTGGCTGAGCAGAAGACAGATGATCTCCTGGATTCGAATCCCAAGAAGAACGAGAAGAAGCACAAGACGTCCCAAGAGGAGGTCGAAGAGACTGTAACAAAGTGTAAGTGTGGAAATTGTCTGTCGAGATATTATCGCTAACTTGCTGATTCTCTCCGCAGTGCTGCAAAAGGCTGGTCATCACATGGAGCACACAATGCTGGCGAGCTATGTGTGTCTGTTGCTCGGACATCTGGTGATGGACAATGAGGAGAATCAGAAGAAGATCCGGCCGTACTTGAAGGAGGCGACATTCGATGATATGGTGAAGGTTCTCGAGAAGTATTACAACTTTATGAATCTCACTGCCAGCGTGAGTGTTGCTTAAGAAAAGAGTGTGCAAAATAGGGAGAGAAATTGATTTTCATTCCTTTCTTCGCAGTCTGAAGCATCAGTGGTGGCGCACATAAAGTGGACAAAGGGAATCATTGACTACTTGCAGAAGTGCGATTCACATTCCGGCGGCCACCAAGACGCTGTCTCGTCGTCGGCTTCAATCTCACGCGCTGGTGCTCCGGGAGGTTTTGTCTATTCTTATGGCTCTTCTCAATACAGTACAAGATAGAGTGAGTGTGTGAGCTGATCCCATCCCCGCGAACCCTCCATTTTACTCCCATTGAACGAGCGAGAGTGTGTGAATGCGTAACTAGACAAATTATTATTGCAAAGTGTAGGATCAAAAGTCGCAAGGACAACGTCAAAGGACACAGCAAAATGATATTGACATGAATGAATATTTAGATACTATATTTATTAGGTAAATTGAATGAATAATCGCTTAAGTCGTTGTACGTTTGATTCCTCTTCGGTCCTTTTAATTAAATCTTCCTCAATAGAAGAAAAAAATTGTGTATCTCTGAATTCAAAATGATTAATAATCCCGAGGAGATGTAATTAATGGTAGAATATATTATTGAATAACATTCAGACCAGAATAAAAAGGTAGGTTTAATAAATTTTGCATTGTTTAGCTTCTCCATCGACTTATTTTCCCTCGTCACCATTTAAATCACACTTTTCACCCTTATAAATTAAATTAAGATTTCCCAATATTATACACTTGAATCGAGATACAAATTGAAATATATTCAATGTTACCTGTATAAAATTTAATTAAGGAAATATTGTGAGAAAGGTGAAATGAGAAAATAAAAATATTTGGACCAACTGTAGAGTGAATTTGTCTTTTGATCCTTGATTTCATTTGAATTACAAATTTCCGGAGACTTCGGAAAATTTAGGGATAATTTTTGACAGCTCATCAGAGAGAGATTCTAACCTCACAAAACACATCATCGAAGTGTCTCTGTCGCAGCAATTCAGCAGTTTTGGGGCTCTTCCTCCTCATTGGCGGCGATGTTGGGTGGTCAGGATGACTTCGATGGTGGCCAGGGAGAGAATAGGATCGCCACAATTGTGCTGACCAGCGATGTGCAGGCGGCGATCGATCAGGTGCTGCAGAATCCGGGCGCCAGTCCGCTGGACCAGCCGGACTTCAATCCCACGGATTACATCAACCAGCTGTTCCCCAACGAGCAGTCGCTCTCCAACATTGACGATGTCATCGCCAAGATGGAGTGCGAAGTGAGCGTGATCGATGACAACATCCGGAGTGTCGTGCGCGGCCAGACGAACACTGGGCAGGACGGGAAGAAGGCGCTGGAGGACGCCCAGCGGACCATCATGCAGCTGTCGGGGCAGATCACGGAGATCAAGACGCGCGCCGAGAAGACGGAGGACATGGTGAAGGAGATCACGCGCGACATCAAGCAACTGGACTCGGCCAAGAAGAATCTCACCTCGGCCATCACGACGCTCAATCATCTGCACATGCTGGTGGGCGGCGTGGAGAGTCTGACGAAGCTGGCGGAGAAGCGGCTGTACGGCGAGGTGCTGAACCCACTGCAGGCCATCACGGAGGTGAATCTGCACTTCCAGCAGTACACGGAAGTGGCGCACATCAAGACGCTGTCGGACAAGGTGTCGCAGATTCACGCCGAGTTGGCCACGCAAATCACGGAGGACTTCAAGAATGTGTTCACGCCTGGGCAGCAGAATGTGGTGAAGATGAGCCTGTCGCAGCTGGCGGACGCCTGCAAAGTGGTGTCTGTGCTGGAGCCCAAAGTCAAGAGGGAACTACTCAAGTGGTTCATCAGTGAGTGAACTTCTTCACCCCACATTGTGTCTCACTGACCGCCTTTTCTTTGCAGATCTCCAGCTGCAGGAGTACGTTCAGCTGTTCCACGAGAATCAGGACATCGCGTGGCTGGACAAGATAGACAAGCGTTATGCCTGGATCAAGCGACACTTGCTGGACTTCGAGGACAAGTTCGGGAAGATCTTCCCGCTGGACTGGGAAGTCTCTGAGCGGATCACCGTGCAATTCTGCCACACGACGCACGAGCAGCTCTCCAAGCTGATGGCGCGACGACGCGTGGAGATGGATGTGAAGCTGCTGCTGTACGCCATCGGTAAGACGACTGCCTTCGAGGCGCTGCTGGCGAAGAGATTCACCGGCGTCACGCTGCAAGACGCGCCCGGCAAGAGTCCACCGACGCCAGTCAAGCCCCTCCCGGTGCAGGAAGTGAAGAGCGCCGCGGAATCGCCGGCGCAGAGTGAGACGGAGGAGGGCGTGGTGAAGGCTGTAGCGTCGCCGTTCTCGGATCTCATTGGGTCGTGCTTCAAGCCCTACCTGGACATCTACACGGACAGCATTGACAAGAACCTGGCGGAGTTGATTGAGCAGTTCGTGCAGGCCAAGGCGCCTCTGGATCCCGTGTCCAGGACGACGGTGCTGCCCAGCTGTGCGGATCTGTTTGTATTCTACAAGAAGTGCATGGTGCAGTGCGTACAGCTGAGCAATGGGAAGCCCATGTACGACCTGGCGATGGTGTTCAAGAAATACTTAAGGGAGTACGCCGCCAAGATCCTGGAGAGTCGCATTCCAAAGCTCACGGCGTCCTACACGCCTTCCTCCATCAGCACCAGCATGTCGCTTCTGACGCGCGATCTGCAGAATCTCTCCACGGCGGCCGGACAGGTGATTCACAGCTTCCTGAAGGAGGGCGAGGCGCCGCGCTTCACCCGGGAGGAGATCACCACGATCTGCTGCATCCTCACCACGGCGGAGTACTGTCTGGAGACGGTGCAGCAGCTGGAGGACAAGCTGCGGGAGAAGGTGGATGCGACGTACAGCGAGAAGATCGATCTGGGCGAGGAGAAGGACGTCTACCATCGCATCATCTCCAACTGCATTCAGCTGCTGGTGCAGGACTTGGAGACCGGCTGCGAGCCGGCGCTGATTGTCATGAGCAAGATTCAGTGGCAGACGATCAGCAATGTGGGCGATCAGAGTAGTTTCGTCAACTCCATCATTGGCCACTTCAAGCTCACCATTCCAACCATCCGGGACAACCTGGCCACATCGCGAAAGTATTACATCCAGTTCTGCCACAAGTTCGTCAACTCCTTCATCCCGAAGTACATCAATCACCTGTACAAGTGCCGCCTGACGAGCGTCCAAGAGAGCAATGTGCTGGGCTGCGAGCAGCTGCTCCTGGACACGCACAGTCTCAAGACGGTGCTGCTGGACTTGCCGTCGATTGGGTCGCAGGTGAACCGCAAGGCGCCGGCCAGCTTCACGAAGATCGTCATCAAGGGCATGACCAAAGCGGAGATGATTATCAAAGTCGTGATGGCGCCCGTCATTCCGGCCAGCGTCTTCACGGAGCAGTTCCTCAAGCTCCTGCCCGACAGCACGCTCGTGGAATTCCACAAGATTCTCGACATGAAGGGCATGCGGCGTGTGGATCAGGCGCAGCTGGCGGAGCTGTTCAAGCGCACGGCGCCCAAGGAGAATCTCTCGCTCGCCCTGGACGCCGTGTCGGCGTCCAGCGTGGCCGCGAAGCTGCTGGACAGTCCGGAGGGCGACAAGGGACGCATCAAGAAGCTGGAGAAGTTGATAAAGAAGCGCCTGCCCAACTAGTTTTCTTTTCAATGTATTTCTTCGTCCTGCAAGATATATTTATACAGCAATTTTGGGGGAATTTTTCTGTTAAAATTTATGTAAAACACGATGTTCAGTCCGTGGCGTATTTCTCGATGGCCGCCTTGACTTCCTCCGCCTCGTCGGCATTCTTCACCTTGAGCAGCATCGAGACGGGCTTATCGAAGTCCGCATTCGGCACGCAAACCAGCATGACGTTGTTCTTGCCCAGAATGTTCACCGGGATGCGCTTGTTGAGCATGAGATTGACCAGAACATTGCCCAGGCTCGTGTCGGCGCGCACGATCATCTGGATCTTCTTGCCCTCGTTCACGGACTTGAGGAAGAGTGTCCCGATGCCGCGCTCCTTGTAGCCGCTGTCGCCCTTGATGTACACCTTGCAGCGTTTCGAGAAGACGCTGTCCTCCTCGACGACGGGCGTGAAGGACACCTTTGGCGGCTCGTCACTCTCCTCCTCGCCATCCTCATCGTCAGCCTTCGACTCGCTCTCCGGCGCGTCCGTGGGCTTCGTCACGTTGCCAAATGTGAAGGGCTTCGTGGCGCCGAAGGAGAATCCTGTGCTCGCACTGGCCGTCAGGGAGTTTCCGCCGAAGACCGAGGTCGTGGCCGGTGTCGTGCTGGAGAATCCACTCAGGGCGGATGTACTGGGAGTCGCAGCAGAGAAGCTGAAGCCCTTGAGAGCGGCGCCCGAAGCTGCTGGAATTGTCGTCTTTTCGCTGCTCTTGATCTCCTTCAGGTGCTTCTCGTAGTCATCGAAGATTGGGCTGAGAATGACGACGGGATTCTTCTCGATCTTGCTCTTGATCCACTCCAGCAAGGACTTGTTCAGGTCAATCAGCTTCTTGTGATACTCGCTAGTGGAATCCTCCGACGACTTCTTGTCTTCACTAGTCTTGGGCGGATCATTTGCAACAGCTGGTGAGCTTGTGGTTTTGCTGAGCAGGGAGAAGGGCGAATTGGCTACAACTGGCACGGAGGCTGTTTTTGAGAATCCCGCAAATCCACTGAAGATTCCCGGTGGCGGAGCATCCTTAGATTCTGTTGCCGGAGCAACACGTCTACGGGCTGTCCTTATCACGCGGCTCTTCAGTTCGTCCTCGGGCGCCTTCCTGAACACCCCTCGATCCTCCGGAGCATCCTCATCGTCCCAGTTGTCGCTGTTCAACTCACCCAAGTTCTTCCTTTTCGCATTCATCCTGCAAAAATTGTGAGGTTATCAAGCGATTTGTTGCTTCTGCTGAGCTGTAAATCACTGGAATGGCAGAATTTCATGTGAAAAATGTTTTCACTTACTTGCTTATTGATTTTTGGTGATGATTTTTCTTTTCTGTCGCGTATTTTCACGCCTTTTCGTCTAAAATACTTTTCCCGGGGCTTGTTTTGTCACAGGCACGCAATTTCACGCTGACAACACGTTTTCCGGGAGGCTTTCGGAGTGCGATGATTGAAAATTTCGTGAAACTTTCAAAACAATCATCATCATCAGGAAACAATCATCAAAACACACTTGAACAAACAGGAGAGAAAGAAATACTTTCTCCAGACGCCTCAAAGTTGTTAAATTCCGGGCACTTGAACAGTCAGTGTCTGTTTCGGCAACGTGTCTGAATAATGACCCAATTTGGGGTCATGAAATTGCGTGCATCTCCGGAAAAGAAGTCGTTCCTCTGCAATTCTGTTGTGTGCTTTCTGATTGTGCTTCAGTGATAAGACACCTGGCGCATCCGGCACAATGTATCAGCCGCTGGAAGGGAAGGTCGCTCCTCTGAAGGAGTACGTCCACATCACTGTGGTCGTGTTGTCCTATTGGTGAGTTTTGCGTGCGAATCTCGAAGTGGTCAGTGTTGGAATCCTCCTTCTTTCCAGGGTGATTTCGATGGTGACGGTGTTTATCAACAAATCCCTGCTGAGCAGTGACTTCTTCAGCCTGGACGCACCGCTCTTTATCACGTGGTCGCAGTGCGTTGTCTCGGCCGGCATCTGTTTCAGCCTCAGCCGGCTGTCGAAGGTATTCCCCAAGGGCGTCCACTTCCCGGAGGGAAATCCCCTCGACTGGACCACAGTGAAGAGCGTCCTGCCGCTGTCGCTGCTCTTCACGCTCATGATCTCCACGAACAACCTGTGCCTGAAGTACGTGGGAGTGGCTTTCTACTACGTGGGCAGATCCCTGACCACCGTCTTCAACGTGGTGTTCAGCTTCGTGCTGCTGCAGCAGAAAACGAGCGGTCGCTGCATCCTCTGCTGCGTGGTGATAATTGCCGGTTTCTGGCTGGGCGTGGATCAGGAGAGTCTCACAGACTCCTTCTCCCTAATCGGCACGATCTACGGCGTCGTGGGCTCCCTGGCGCTCTCGCTGTACTCCATCTACACGAAGAAGACGCTGGTATTCGTGAACCAGGAAGTATGGCTGCTCAGCTACTACAACAACGTCTACTCGACCGTCATCTTCCTGCCGCTCATCCTCGTCGCCGGCGAGATTCCCACCGTGATGTCGTACAAATACCTCGGGGAGTTGTGGTTCTGGCTGGCGCTGGGCGTCAGTGGCGTCTGTGGCTTCGCCATCGGCTACGTCACCGCGCTGCAGATCAAGGTGACGTCTCCGCTCACGCACAACATCTCCGGCACCGCCAAAGCGTGCGTGCAGACTGTGATCGCCACGGAGATCTACAGCGAAACAAAGTCCTTCTCCTGGTGGCTCTCGAACATTGTCGTCCTGAAGGCGAGCGCTCTGTACGCGTGGTTCAAGCAGCGCGAGATGCAGGTCAAATTCCAAGAGGCAGAGGCTGCCCAGAAAGTGTGACGCAGGTGATCTTCACCACGAGATACCATGTAAGCTCTAACCGATTAAACTATAGGCATAGAAGAGAATCTCTTTGTTGCTTCCACTGCTGATTTATATGCTTGATTTTCTCTCAAATTCCCAGGGTTTTTTTTTGTCTATTCAAATTGACGAAAAAGGGGTCAAAAGTCGATTCTTTAATTTCTGTATCGTGAGAACGCAAAGAATTGTCAAAAATTCTCTCTGAAGTCAAAGAGAATTCGGATTGGAAGTCTTCTGGCGATTTTTCCACCGAGAAAAAGGAAAATTCTCAAGCACAGAGATTGACGTTCTTTTCTATTGGCGACCGAAAAGCACAGAAATATCCGTTGAATTCAAACGCAACAATGCCCAATCGAGAGCTTAAGCTCGACGCCCTGAAGTTTGTCGAAGACGAGATGACGTCGTGCTTTTCTGTCACTTTTCCGTGCAAGTTTTTCACTCTCGCTACGTGTTGGCAAAACGATGCGAGAAAACTCTTATTTTCTATCAGAAAATCTCACCTTCTTCCTACCTTTTGCTTCCACTTCTGCTGTCTCTTGTATGTAGATTTGCGTGGGAGTGCGTGAAGATGTCTAGTGAGACGGGAGATAGTTCGTCGGAGCTCAACAGTCTCCAGGAAAACTTGTCGGCGCAGCAGGTAAAAAAAAAAAGCTGTCAATCAATTTTCCCGGGACCTCACCCAGACTGTCTGGGTTTTGTCTGGTATCCTTGCAGGCGAAAATTGCTGCACTGAAGGAGTTGGTGAGGCAATCGGAGGTGGCCCAAGGCAAAAAGGCAGCTCACGCGAAGGAGAAAGTGAAAAACATTGCTCAACGTCTGTCCCACCTGAAGTCCAAAGCAACAAATACGAGTCAAGGTACGCTGAATTCACTGCCTTTGTTGTCTGCTACTTTTCATAGATGTGCAATGGAAATTCCGCATTATGAGAGCATATAGCATAACTTGGTACTTTTTTTTCTTGGTTTCTCAGCAGCTCTCGACTGCCCAATGATCGAGGAGAGCCAAGAGGTGGTGAGTACGCGTCCGCAGTCGCGCTCCGAGACGCCGGGCAGCGAGAAGATTCAGCTGCTGCGACGGCAGATGGAGGAGAATCGGCAGCGGATGGCGGAGCGCGAGAGCAGCAAGCGAGACATCGAGGAGATGGTGACGCAGCTGAAGGCGAAATTCGACACGACCCAGCAATCGCTGGAGAGAAGCACGGAATTGGGCAGATCCATGGGGGATCTGTCCATATTGGCGCCAACACCCAGTCGACCGGACACTCCGGCACATTCGGTCGAGGCGGAATTGCGCCGGAAGATCCGGAGCCTCGAGACGGAGGTGGAGAAGTACAGGGAGAATGCCACGCACACGAGTTGCAATCACACGGGCGAGATTCAGCAGCTGCAGCACAGGATTCTGGATCTGGAGGAGAATCTGCGCGAGAAGGAGAGCGTGATTGACGCCAGGACGCAGGCGGTGACGCTGATGAGTGAGAGTCTGTCGCAGAAGACGCATTCCACGGTGAACATGCTGGAGGACACGAAACAGGAGATGTTCAAGATGCAGGAGGCTTTCGTGGAGAAGGAGAATCAGTTGAATGGGGAAATTGCCGAATTGCGGAGTCAGCTGGAGGAGAAAGTCGCAGAGGTTGCCAATCTACAGGAGGTGACCGACATTCTGGAGACCACAAGATATGATTTGACCGTGAAAAATGCGGAATTGTCTGCAGAGGGTGAAAATGTAACGAATTTACAGGCGAAAATTAAGCAGATGGAGGAGGAAATTGAGCGATTGCACGCTCTTTTGCCTAGTGATGACAGTGGTCAGTCGTCTGAGGAGTTTCTGGCCAAATTTCGTGCCAATGAGGAGAAGATCCACCAGCTGGAGGAGTCACTGATGCAGAAAACCGTCGAATGCAATGTCCTGGCGGCAAACTTCTCAGTGCTGCAGGAGAAGGTAAAGGCAACGGGGCCTAAACCTCTCTTCGCCAGCGACAAAGGCGAAGCAGAGGATCAAGAGGCGGCGAAACTCAAAGCTCAGCTTGATGAGGCAAACAAGAGTCAGATAAAAATGAAGCTGAAGATGAAGCAATTGCAGAAGCAAGTTGAGGGTTTCAAGAAGATGTCAGATGTTCATCAGAAGGTGCTGCAGTTGTCTGAGGAGAATGAGCGTCTCAAGGAGAATGTCAGCCAAGCTGGCGAGGGACAATCACTGGCGTTGGACGATGCTGAGGCTTCTAAGAAGTTGAAGACATTGGAGACGACTTGCCAAAATCAAGTGGCGGCTATTCAGCTGCTCGAGGAGCAGAAGATCGATCTGGTGGACCAAATGGGAAAAGTTAGGGATGAGCTGGATGCTTTGAAGACGGCTCCGGTGAGGACAGAGCCCGCCATGGGCATCAGTGTGTCCTCCCAGATCAACAGCATCGAGCTGGAGGAGACAATAGAGCAGTATGCGGCGGATAAGGAGTCGCTCGTGCGCGAAGTTGAGAGCTTAATTGAGAAGAATGAGGAGTTGAGGGCGAAAATGGGGAAGCTGGACGAGGAGAAGCAGGAGCTGGTTGTGAAGCTGGAGCAGTTGAATGTGGAGAAGCAGGAATTGCTGGAGAAGATCGACAAGTTGAGTATTAAGAATGTGAGTTCAGTGGAGTCGCTGGAGATTGTGGAGAACCTCACGCAGCAGGAGCAACTGGAGATGGAGCAGCAAGAGACGGGATTGATTGGTGAGGAGTTGAGTGACAGTCTGATGAAGTTGAGGGAGGAGAGTTCGGAGTTGATGAATAAGATTGAGATGTTCACGAGTGAGCGCCAGGAAATGCATCAGCAATACGTTGAGAAGATTGATGAGCTGGAGAAGCAGCTGAAGGAGGCGGAATCTGAGCGTGATGCGTTGCGTGAGAAGACAGCGGAACTGGAGAATTTCTTGAAGACTTCGCAGTTAAGTGTGGAGAATGTGGAGAATCAGCTTCAGCTGCTGCGATCGGAGTTCAATGGAAAGTTGGATGAAAATCATAATCTGTCTGTGGAGAATGGCGGTCTCAGAGAGAAATTGGCCAAGCTGGAGAACATGTTGGGCACGCTCGAGGAGCAAGGCTCCGACGGGACTGACAAGACGGACAGAATAGCATTCCTGGAGATGGAAGTGTCTCTGAAGAATGACACAATTGACACTGTCAACCGCCAAATTATGGATCTCTATGCGTCCTTGGAGGAGAAGAATTCGCAGATTTTGGACAAAGATGACGAAATAACTTACTTGAGGGATTTGCAGAAGACCACTGCGGATCAGCTGCATCAGAGTACGCATGGCAGTGATCAGTTGAAGAGATTGATTGACCAACTGAGGAGGCAGTTGGGTGAGGTGGAGCAGAACAATGCGCGGGTGGCGAATGCGACGGATGACGTGAAGATTGGGCTGGAGAAGAGGATTCAGGAGCTCGAGGATAAGCTGATGGATTCGGAGGTGAAGAGGCGTGAGCAGTTGGAGAAGCTGAAGAAGTTTGCGGCCAATCTGAAGAAGAAGACGCAACAGTGCACAGATCTGGAGGCTGAGGTGATCAAGAGGAGTGAGGAAACCGATGCTGTGAGGAAGGATTACGAGGAGTGTGCGCAGAAGTTGGCGGACGCGAATGGTGAGAAGGAGAATTTGAAAGTGATGCTCGAGAATTTGTCTGTGGACATTGAGCGGATGCGTCAAGTTCATCAGAGTCAGGATGTCGATCTGTCCAGACAGATTCAGTCGCTGCAGAATGAAGTGGTGGCCAGAGAGAAGATGATTCAGGAGCTTCATGGAAGTCTTGCTCAGCCTCATGAGGTGGAAAAATGGGAGAACATTGCCAAGGAGAAGGAGAATATGGTGCTAATGCTTCAAGCAGAGATTGAAAGTCTTCGCCAATCGTGTCAAAATATCGATTCCTTGAAGGAGGAGATTGAGAAGTTGAAGAAGGTGTTGGAGGAAACGCACATGACTTACCAGGAACATGCTAAACAAGCACAGGAAGCCTTCAATGAGGAGGAACAACGTTACCAAGAGAAAATAAGTTCCTTGGAGGCTAAAATAACAGAGCATCTCATGTACATCGAGGACAAGGAGAGTGAAAATGCCAGCCTGAGTCTTAGGATTGACAAATTGGAGGAAGGTATCAGCTTCATCGAGGCCCGGAGGAATTCCCTGGAGAAGAAGAACAACATCTTGGGCGACCAGCTCAGACAGAGTCAGGAGGAGTTCAGCGAGAATGAGGATAAACTTCTGCAGAGACTGGCCACGTTGTCTGCCAATGATGAAATCATTGCTGAGAAGCTGCAAAACACACACGCTGAGAAGATGGAACTCATGGATGCGATTGCGGAGTTGAAAGTCGAAAGGGCGGCGCTTGAGAATCGCCTGCAGATGCTGGATCAGGAGAAGGCGGAAGCGTGCAAGAAGGCGGAGATGCAGGAGAGTGAGTATAACTTCCTGAGTCAACAGATTGAGAGCCAAAAGGTGGAAATGCGAAAAGTCCAGGAGGATTTCGAGCGGAAGGTGCGTGAGAAAGGTCAAGAACTTGATGATTTGGAGGTGGAGTCCAGTAATCAGTTGCAGAAAATGGAGGCTGAGAAAAAGAGCCTCCAGGAATCTCTGGAGAGAACCAAAGATGCAAATTCGGAACTTCAGGATGAAATAATGAATTTGAGAGAGAATGTTAATTCTCTGGAGCAAATCCGAAACGATTTGGAGCGTGATTATTCCTGGGCAAAGATGCAGAATGAAACTCTGACTCATGATCAGCTGGAGACGCAGGAGCTCAGGATGCAAGTGGTGCAGGATCAGACGGAGATTGAGAATTTGCGGCAGGAAAATCAAGCGCTGAGGATGACACATGAGAGCGAAGTGAATTCCTTGAAGAGTCTTCTGGATAAAGTCATGGTGGAGAAAGAGAATCTGGAAGCTGATGTGGCCACGATGAAAACTCAAGCTGCTGCTGAACCGGATAAAGTCAGTGTGGAAAATCTAGAAGCTGAGGCGGGTGCGATGAAACCTCCAGATGCTTGTGAACTGGATAAAGTCAGTGTGGAAAAGGAGAATCTGGAAGCTGTTAAGACCAGATTGAAGAAGTCTCTGGTTATTCCTGAACCGCAGGTTCTTGAGGCTGTTAAGACGAAGAAAAAGAAGACTCCGGCCATTCCTGAACCAGAGGTTATTGAAAAGGAGCAGATAGAAGTAGTGGATGAGATTTCCCAAAACATTCCGTCATTTATTGGTGCTAAATTCTTTGCCGAAATCACTGGTTCCGCCGATTTCTTCGACCAGGCGACAATTCCTCAACCCCCGGCGGCAAACCAGAAGGATGATTACGAGGGCAAGGCTGCTGTTGTAGAAGAGCTTATAATTCCCAAGACTGCTTACCTGTGCCATCCCAAACCCGAGGCGGCGGTGGTGGACTTGGGCGGAGGCCAGGAAGAGGAGGGATGGGGCTGGAATGCTGAAGAGGCCGCACTGGAGCAGGAGCATCAGAATCGAGCGATGGCGCCGCCATCTCTTCACTCGCAGTCATCTGATATCTACTTGAAGATGCAAATATGTGAGGACAGAATTCGCTATCTTGAGGATGAGAGGGACTGTCTGAAGAACGAAATCACGCAATCGCGACAGAGGTCGGAGAAGATGCTGAAGAAGTTGAAGGAGTATCGAAGCAAGTGTGAGAATTTGGAGAGATCAAGTCGATCGAGTCTGGATTTAGATCTGACTATTCAGGAGGAGCTGAAGGAGCAAGTGAGGTATTTGGAGACGACATTGGCGGCTGAGCGGAAGCAGATGACAACTGAAGTGGAAATAATGGCCAAGAAGGTGGATCTCCTCATAACAACCAATGAAAAGATGACAGACATGAAGGAGGATCAAGATGCTCAGATAGAAATGTACAGAGATCAGATCAGAGAGCTCACTGTGCATATTCAGGTATTGGAGAAGAAGCAGAACGATGGCTGGAATCGTGTGGACGATGAGGAGGACATGGGGGAGGTCAACAGGGAGATGAGGGCTCTGGAAATTCAATTGTTGTCGAAGGAAGAGCATATCAATCAGCTCACCGAACGGATTTGCCGGATGGAGCGCGAAGCTGATAACTTTATAAAGCAAATTGATCAATTCCGGATTGAATCGTCTAAAATCAAAGATCTTTTGGATAGATTGACAACAGAGCACATGAAATTGATCACGCAAAATGCTGGGAAGTCGCCTGAATCAGCTAAGTTGCAGGAAATGCATAAGCTGGTGCAGCAATTGCAGGAGGAGAGAAATATTCTGACTAAAAAGCTCGGAGCCTCGGCGGAGCAGGCGCAGTCTCTGGATGAATTGACGGCGGAATTGGAGGCGTTGCGACAGGAGAAGGTGGCCAGGGAAGCGGCAGCGCAGGAGACAAACAGACGTTGGCAGCAGGCTCTGGAGGAGCGTGGAAACAGTATTGCGGAGAGTTGGAAGGCTCACTTGGCCACGGTTGAAGCGGACTTTGCTGCGCGTGAGGAAGCTTTCAGGCAACAAATTGAACAATTTCAGCAAACTCAGCAGACCACCAGTGTTCAGGAAGCGCAGCCGAAGGAGGAAACCCCAGAACTGGCCCCGGAACACGTGCCCGCGGGCATAGCGGAGATGATGGCTAACATGCAGAATGCTCTGGAGAGTCAGGAGTTGGAATTGGTGACACTGAAGGAGCAATTGGCCATCAGGAGTGCTGAATACGCGGCTCTGTCGGCACAGTTGGATCCCTTTGGGCACTCAGCCACGAGCAATATGGCTCTGGTGCAGCCGAAGATCATCAAGACGCCTCCGGCGGCATCGGGAGAAATTCCACCGCGAACTGATCTGGATATGGCGCTCTACGCCCTTCACCAGCGGGACATGAGGTGTGAAGAGTTGACGCTGGAGTTGACACGGCTGCTCGAGGAGAGGGACACACTCCAGCTGAAGCTGTCCAGTGCCATCCGACAGGTTGAGGGGATGAAGAGCGCCTCATCGCCCGAAGGGAGTCCTGTGGCCAGCGGCGGTGCATCGACCGACGGGGGAAGTCACTTGTCAGAGAAGTAATTCCATGTTAAACTTATTGGCAAATCACTCTTGCCTGCATATTTCCTAATGGTTTTTTTTGCCTATTGCAAAATTATAATTTCCAACTTTTTTTTCGTCTGTATCTCTTTTAGAATTTCCGAGCTGCAATCCGTAAGTCATGCCAGAGATAAGAGTTTCCACGAAGAGCGACAACAGAGGCACAAGCAAATGTCGTGGTTCTGGAGTAGCAAGTAAATCAGCGACGCAGCGGATTTCATGGGAAAATGCATTTGCGACGTGCGGACGTGGGTGAGAGGCGACAATGTGGTATCTTCGCGGAGAGGAGAGGAGAGCATAATATACTAGTGAATTTACAAAATAACTACCGATCGTACAGTGTGTGTGAGAACTGGGTTCGAATTTTTTTTGTATGCAGTGAGCAGATTTTTAACTCTGTTCCGAGGGGACTTATTTTCAAAATACATGTGTAGACGTCGTATTTCTGCTGTTTAATCACACTCGTGGTGAGATCATATTGTATTTTGAGGCTTCAGCACTGATTGCGCGGATAGAGAAATGTGCCCGCGAAATGGACACCGAGCTGATGGCGAAATTGGTGATACTGGAGTTGGCCATGAAGGAGTTGGAAAATGTCATTTTCCTGGAAGTTTATTTCGCAGGGAATCTTGATACCAAACACGCGAAGAGGAATTGATTGCAGAAAAATATTCTTGATAATTGTGCTAAAAGCTATCAGAGACACACTTTGGTTGCATGCGATTTTGCTGTAGTCGTGTCGCAACGAAATTCTCCACTTCTGAATTTTACAGTGTTGGTTTTTTTGTATTTTCTCCCATTTTTACGTTTAATGTCTTGAGCAAATAATTTAATTAGAAATATAGGAATTATTTGATAAGTCATAAAGCACCTTATTTAATCTCTTAATTTAAGATTTTGCCTTCATATTCAAAATGAGTCAAGTCGTAAAGTATAAAGAGTTGGGAAAACAGGAAAGAATGCTATTTCCATATCAATTCACTATCGAAGATAATGTAATGAAATCATGAATGAGAATTTTTCTTTCTCCTAAGCTCTAGAGAGTTCTCTTATTTCACAATCATACGATGTTCAGTTATGTACTTTGACTTTCGTAGGTAACCAAAAGTGTTGGTTTTAAGTCTAACAACCTTCTCTAAACTTCCTGATAAGATTACAAAGCATGAGTGACGCAATGGAGTCATCAATCTAGGCTCTTGCGGACCTTATCAAAGCCTCTCTAGAATTCTACTTTTGTGTGTGCATAGCACGAATTGGTGGCATAATTCCATCGTGTGGCTTGAGGTCCATCGCGAAGCCCGTGACTTTCAGCACTCGATCGATCAATGCTCTCCGCGCTCAAGATCACTTCTCTCGCGCTACGCATTTGGCGATGCGAGGGAAACCACTTAGAGGCGATAAAAGTGATGCGAAGGAGTCTCGCAAAAGGGGGTGTACGATCGTGTCTGTCTGTTTCTCTTGGCAGAGTGCGTGAGCTATTTGTGTGGTGATCACGAACAGATCGTGCAGCATATGCTCCACAGTGGCCTTGATCCCTCGCGCTCGCGAGAGCAGCGAGTCTGGCGAGGAGAGATGGTTTTGTGAATGGAGCCCAGCAATCACATATATTGTGCAAATATATGGCTGGGTGGGTTTTTTTCTCTACTGGCAGCCTCAAGAGCCCTTGCGCGATGGGAATGGGAAAGAGATAGGGAGCCAAAGAGCGATGATGTTGAGGTTTTTGTGTGCCCAGGCATTTGGTGTTCTCTTTGTTTTTCCCACATCGCGTAGAGTTTCTCTGGAATTGCGCGCGATGAGTCGGTGGAGAAATTTTGGGGGATTTCTGGGTGATCGTATGCGATGTGGAGTATTTGCGGGGATGCGGCGATGCGATGTTTTCCCACAGGAAGAATGGAGTGAAAAGTGGGATCAAGTGGTGATCCTGATTTGGGAATGCAACAATGCAATTTCTGTCCCTTTTCCACTCTTCAACAGCACACACAAGAGCATCTCTCTGGGAAGATCAATGCGAGAAATTCCAGTTCTTTTTCACCCTCCTTGCAGCCACATTCGGCGAGGGGCTCCTTTGAGCCTTGGCGGGCCAAAAAGAATCATATTGTGTGTCTCGGGTACATCATGTACATAAGGGAAGACCAACACACTGGCCGGCATTCCACCGCTCAGCGAGCGAGATGGCGAGATCGCGATCGTGGTGTGCGTTTGGAGAAGCGACCGAGAACCAATACAGCTGGAGTGTTGGCACCGATAAAAATTTGAGCCGTTTATTTATATTTCATGGCTGAGAATTCCCCTATATTAAGTTCACCAATACGCAGGAGGAGGTCTATAAAAATGCGCGAGGTATATCGTCAAGAGTTTGTTGGACTGCGCCAGCCACAATCAGTCAGTGTGCGTAATCCGTGGCAACTGGTTGTTCCCTGAGCTCATCCAAGAGGCGACATCATTCTGTTGAGGACGCAGCTCCAAGACGGACCAGCCCTTTCAACACAGTCCAATCACGATCGACAGATCTAACTAGAGTGCGGGAAATTAGCTAGGCTTTTTCGGTGCCTCGCAAGGCTTTCCCGGTGATAAAATACAACTCGAACACGATAATCTTAAGAGGAGAGAGAGAAAGAGCGAGAGAGAGAGAGGGGATCTGAGGGGCGAGACAGAGAGTATATACATGGGAATTTAAACATATTTGGTCTGTGGTGATTAAAAGGAAAGAATTAAAGAGAATTTCGCAAAAGTGTGTCTGTCTCAAATACACTGATACGCAGTAGGAGCAAAAAAAATAATAGCAGAGCCGCGTAATGAGAGCCGCCCGAAATTGAGTAGAAATTCTGCGAAATCACCGGTACTCCATCCGGACTGGCTCTTAGGATAAGCGAGGCATTTAAAGATCCCTTGTATGTGAGCGATCGGCGGTGGTTGTATGCGAGTCTTTGTTCCTTTTCGGAAATAACAGAGAGACCAAGTCTCAGGCTGTGTACATAGCGAAGGAGGAGAAACTATCCGCAGAGAGAGAGCGAGAGCGGCCCAGTCGAGATGACACAGTGAATCAGTTGAAGACAAACTGTCCAACGAGAAGGATCACTCTTGGAAGTGTTTTGCATCTCGCTATGATCATTTGAGCCACTGATATCACAGCCAATTGACTAACAAATTTCGGAAGATAATCGGCAACTCTCTTTTGCGATAATATTGTGAAATTGCGCGTGAGATCACCGTCATGATGGATGATCTGTACTGTCTGGAGTCAGATGTGGAGAACGACGACCTGCTCGATCAGTCATACACGGGCAGGGGCTACGAGAAGCGGCCCTACTACGTGCGGACGGCCAAGAAGGACCCCACCTTCCTCACCGATCGCTGCTTCGAGAATCTCCTCAAGTCCGAAACCGCCCCGCAGATGACCGGCTACGCCGCCAAGGAGATCACGGAGGACATGCGGCGGATCGTGGCCACCTGGATGCTGGAGGTGAGTCCCCAATTCTCCCCCTTTTCCCACGAAACACACCGCGATGCCTCCACGTTTTCACTCTCACCCATCATCTGCTATTTCTGCTGACGCGGAGACACTCGAAGCCAAATAAAAAACATCTCTCACTCTCGCGAAATTCAGAGGAGAGCCACACAAGTTTTGTCAGAACCATTAGGCAATATTGACACGCGGCGGACGGGGAGGGAATTGAAAAATTCACAGACAATGAACCTCGCGTGGTCATTCCACCCGTCTTGTCTCTTTTTCGGGTAATGAGAACCGGCGATCGCCGAAGGTGTTTGCTAATTTCCAACCCATATTCTGCGACAAAATCACACCTAATTTTAGAATTATGCCCACGGAAATTGGGATGATCTCTCGTCACTTTCGGTTTTTTTTTTCTTTTCTTTTCTTCTCTCCCCCAATGAGAGACTAACAAGATATCTTCCCTGACAGTTTGTCTTGTTAGTGTAACTATGGAATGTCAGGACTGAGGCAATGTGATCCTCTAAGCAAAAAGTTTTTGCACACAATCCACACCAACACGGGAGATCTTTTTTCACTTCTGCGGCGAAGAACAAACTATACAAGAGCGCCTGAGAAGTTGCGCAGAAAGGCATTTTTCGCAGAGAGGAGTGATCAAAGTGCAAAATCATGTGCTATTCGCGATGCTCGCATGAGAAAAATTTGGCAATTATTCATAGTTCGATGAGGATTTCGTCCGCTAATTGGAATACTTGGGGTTATTATTGGAAAAAGCCTCAATGGGCGCTTCACGGCGGTTTTTTGGGGTTCAATTAGGCTTTTTATTTGGCGATTTGGCGAATTTGGCGAATTTATCGGAGAAAAAAAGCTCAGCCGAGGAGCAAAAATAAAGTTAAATTATTAATTTCATATAAATAGAACATGTGTCTGCGCATAGTTGCTCTGCTGATCATCAAAACTATGATCTCGATCTTGCTGATCGGGCACAGTGGCTAAGAGGCGATTTAAAAGTACAGCAAAGAAAGGTGCGCTCTGACCGTCGCTAACCCTTGCCACCCCTTTTGTCATTGGCCGCCGCAAAAATGTGCCGATCTCGCGATAAGTGAGGCGCAAGTCGTTGTAAATATGGGCGATATTGCAATACAACAGAAATTAAATTGTGCCTCTTCTGCGCGGCTCAGCCATTTTTAAAAAGCCACCAGTGGGTATTTTAAAATTTAAATGTCCGATTCATGTTTCACTTAAAAGCGACTCTTCTACGACTCATACGTTTGGTGCGCGAGTGACCACATAATTTTTCCATGTGTATATACGCCGAAATAAATAGATATAAGCCAGTCATGAGAATTTAAAGCGCTGAGGAGCGGAAAAAAGACGCTAAATAAAAAGTTCATGTAACACCTAACCACTTTTTTTCCCTGAGAGTTTCATACCTCTTTCACACTTTGTGAGAAAGCAAGGCATGTGTTGGTTTGGGTGACTCTAGTTGAGAGCGATCGTGTGCGTGAATGCAGATGTCTCGTGTAATTAAGTTTTTTTTTTTCTTTCGCCTCATGCTTTCCCGGGTTTGGCCTGAAAATTGGTCAGCGACTGAGGGCTGCGAAGGGCAAATTGTGTTGTTTGGGCAAAAAGGGCATAAATTGACCACCGGGCCATTCTTTTGGGTGAAATGGGTGCACTTTTGGCGTGAAAAAATGCGGGTTCCTTCGCCAACAAAGTCCCTCCACTTCTCATGGTGTCTCTCTAGTGGCGGAATAAAGGGCTGGCGCAGACCCTCTCGCATAAATCTCTCCTCAGTGCGCACTCTCCGCATACTTTCATTCATAATTCCCACAGTATGCGATGTATATAGGGGAAAATTTTTCTGCTACATATAAGACACAGTTCTTTTTAAAAAAGAAATGTTATCATCTCCCACTGGGGAAATAATCTAATCAATTTCTGTGTAAATAAATACACATGTTGTGTCCATATAAAATGTAGCAATTGCTCTATATAGTCTCAGAGGAATATGGGGAAAAGTGAGTGAGTGAGAGGGCAATGGTTGCGTAAAACCAATATATAATTAATAAATATTGCACATTGAATGGGCCACTCGCGATCGGGTTGGAAAAAAGGGTGGACGAGCTGCTATCGCATTGACTGATTAGATGGCCTGTGAGCTAAAATATTTGTCGATTGAGCATAAAATTGAGACGCAGACATTGTATGGTGAGTCGCGAGAGAAAAAAAGAGTCTCTATGACAATTTTCATGCCAACTATACTCGGATTGATAACAATGTATTAAATCAACTATATAGTCGCATAATCTCTACATTGAATGTATATGATTTTCTCAACAATTTCCCGTCCGTGGGCACAGGAAAAAAAGGGTCGCCGCGTCAACAATGAATGTCTTTATTGCCATGAGGTTAGCAGTGTAACACTTTCAATTTCCGCTACTTCAATTTCCGGGGGTTGAAGTAATCTCTCTTCTCTCACTTCTCTATCTCCCATCCACTCCTTTCCTCTGCGCTGCCCCGATAAACAGCTGACAGTGGAGGTTGACAAACGAATTCTTTCTTTAATCCCTGATTCAGAAATGTTGAGCGAGAGAGGCAAAAAACTGTTCAGTGTCAATAGGGCCTTTTTTCCCAAAAGATTAAGTGAATCATACACACGGCGACTGTTAGAGTCTCTGAACTGTGCGATTTGCGACCTTCGGAATATCACCTGCAACTTGGGTGGGGCCGATCAGGAGGGTTGCGAAGGCTCTCCGTTCTGCGGAGTCAAAGTCAAAATTGCAGCGCGTAGGGCAGGTGAATGGGGCTTAATCAGACATAATGGGCATAATAGTCCCATTATCATCCATTCTCTAACTGCTTTCCGCTTTGAAATCCAATTAGGATTTAAAAGAGGCTCGAATGAGAGGAAGATTGCAAGTTGTTCTGCGAAGCACGTCGCTTCGCTTCCGACTAAGGAGATTAGAAATTTTCTACTTCCTTTCAAATTTAGGGCCTTTTTTCTCAAATAAAGTCATCAATGTGGCTATGAATCAGGCATTCTTCTCACTTTCTCTGAATTTTGTCTGATAAAAAGTCTGTTTAACACCCAAAAATTGATAAGCCAGCATGAAATTAAAGAATTTATTGCGAAAGTCTCTAGAAGAAGATATCAAAGATCTTCTAATTATGTACAAAAATAGGCGCGGAACGTTAATTTAAATTTCCTAGAAGGTCAGAGAGTGTACAAAAAGTCTGAACACCCACAATGCTCACAATGCCCATGAAGGATAACGTTGCTAAATAGGTTGAAAATTGGCCATTTCGAAGCTGTAACTGACCAATATTTTACCTCTTCCATCCACACAATCCGACTGGCTGATGACAGAGATGCTGTCTGGCTGAGAAGCTCCAATGTCAATAGGTAAATTCCCGGAATACACTGTCGGCAGCTTCTCAATAGATGTTGTTTCTGCTGAACAGACCAACTAAACGCCCCGTTTTATCTGTAATTCCGCATCAAGTGACAGAATAGCTCGTAAAATCGATCATGCATCGTCACAATCACTTGTTATAAATTTCCCAGAAATGATATGAAATTGCATTATAGCTGAAAAAACTTTCTCGCAGCGTGTGAAGCATTTAAATTTCCTGTGAAGTCTCCTCCCTTTAAATTTAAATCACCCCCGATGTTATTCGTTGCAGCTGTGCGAGCAGAGAAAGTGCCAGGAGGAGGTGTTCATCCTCGCCCTCAACTACATGGATCGGCACTTGAGGAGGAAAGTTGTGCCCAAGACTAGTCTGCAGCTCCTCGCCTCCGCCTGCCTGCTGCTGGCCTCGAAGCTGCGCGAGCCGAGCTGCAAGAGCCTCTCCGCGGATGTTCTTGTCTACTTCACCGACGACAGTATCACAAAATATGAGCTAATTGTGAGTATTTCTTCACTTTCTCTCGCCATTTCCCTTCCCGATCGGGCGGAGATCATGAGGGTCTCATGTGCGGCGGCCGTTTTGTCTTTTCGGGGGAGTTGCGGAGGTCCCTAGGCGATGTCCTATAAACAATAAATTAATGCCACTTCCTCTGCCACTGGGAGAGAGAGGGAGGAGGGGGTGTTTGAGGCTGGAAGACAAACACATGTTGGCATATATGAATGGGCAAAAGTCGGAGGACATTTAAGCCACTTCTCGCACTGAACAATATGAAAATTTATGTGACCATGGAGGCTGAGGGAAGAGGACTTCAAGTGGAAAATACCGAAAAAGACAGAGAAGCGGAGCTTGAGAATGGAACTAATAATGTTAAATAAACACTCTTTGAGAGGATATATATTGTCCATCGGCTGTGGAATTCCTCGAAGGACAGAAAACCGTTTTTGGAGAATTTTTTCCTCAACCATTGGCTCAAAATTCATTTTTCGGAGATTTTTGTGTGGCCACTTTTTCCGCCTTTTGGGTGATTTTTTTTCTGTTGTCCAAGACTCCTCTCCATGGACCCATGTTTGAGTGTGAAGACAGCTTAAAAGAGAGACACCGACACGCGTTTTTTTCATTCCGCATCTATTTTTAATATTACCTGAGCGAAAATATAATTTTTTCCGCATCATTTTCCGAGAAGATGCTCCTCATATCTTCACCTTTTCTTATGGTGAACTTCTCATGGGGGTTATTAATGATTTCCCAAGCCAGTGCAGAAGATGATCTCGCAGCCAGTGCATTGTGAAGGGTCGCCTGGGTGAGAAAAAGGATGAAAAAGATGGGAGATCAGTCAAAAATTTACCGCTGAAAAGGTGATTTCTGTGATAAATGAATCAAATTATGCCTCTCAAGATTCTCGTCTTCGAGAAATAATTAAAGGATATTATTTTTCTGCATACTTCATCCCAGTTTTTCGATACAATGTTGCCACACTGAAAACACATCATCTTCTCAAGAATCTTCACATATCTCTCCGTGTCGCAGAGCTGAAGATGAGATGTTAATATTCAAATAACTAGCGTTTGTATTCACTCATTTTGCCCACCTCCGTCTCTTCTCTGCCTCTCGGCGACTCTCACCAGTCAGCGCAACATTTGTGAATGAATGAATTCTGGAATTTTTGTATTGTTTGCATATAAACTTCTTTCCCTCTCCCTCTCTCTCTCTAAATCAACACAGGATATGATATTTAGAGTTTAAACAACGACACAAAGTCACAAAACTTCTCATATGATGAGAAATCATACTATTAAAGTGAAGAAATCCTCAAGAGATTCCCAGATATTCCTTCTCAACTCACGTTAGAGATGATGAATGTTTCGGACATCTTTCATACGTTTCAACATCACACTGCAAATGAAGTCCAGAGTGAGATTCTTGGAAGTGTGTTTCATAAATTTCCTGAAATTCTACTATCTTAGCTCGTCTTTTCGGCAATGAAGAACTTCTTTATGCTATAACAGAAATTTTCGGTATCTCTTTATATCCTATTGACAAAGATAAACAAATATTTCTCTGTGATTTCGTGCTTATTTTTTTCGCCGCTCTTCAGCACCCTCACGATCCCTCGGCTGAGTTGTTCCTGGCTCGGTCCAGTGGGATCTCGAGGAGCTCTTCTGTCACTGCCACTCAATTCTCTCTCTCTGTCTCTCGTTCCAGAATTGGGAATTGCTGGTGCTGAACACGCTGAAATGGGACATCTCGGTGGTGACTCCTTTGGATTTCCTCGAGCACATTCTCACACGTCTCAACATCAAGAATTCCATGAATATCCGTGTGGACAAAGTGCGAGAACACGCTCAGACATTCATCTCGATGGCTGCACAAGGTAAATACCAAGTCTCTCTTTTTACTTGTCTTCTTCTCCACCTCCTTGTCTCCTTTTTATTGTCACCACCGCGTCTCTCCGCGTGTCCTCCGCGATGGAAAATGGGCGCGCGGCTTTCCGTGTGCGCCAATCGCGGACTTTTCTGCGTGGCTGCCCAAAAAAGAGTCGCCGGAAAGTGGTTTAATCAAATTCTAAGACTCAACTTCACGGACACTGATGCGGTCAAGGTCGGATAAGAGTTTCGTCGACGTCTTCATATAAAACCCGCTCTCTCTCTCTCTCATTCCGCATATGTAGAAGAGAGAGCTTATAGCGCAAAAGCATTTTCAAGAGGCGCTCTCAGCTAAAAAATTCACCATAAGCTCAATACACCTCTAATCGCGAAATTCTTCTGTGCTGGTGGCCACACATTCGCGACTATGTACTACGCGGGGTGGTGAGCAGACACTCTATATTGGTACATATTCAGGGGCTCATCAGTGGCCGTGCCGCAAGAGCAGTGCCCTGGCCAAGGTGGGGGGCGATTTCGAGGAGCCACAGAGACAATGGACACTTTGATGCTCGATTAGTTGCGTGATGAAAGAGTTGGTTGTTTCCAAATTTGCAATCCATCAGCGATTTTCAGTTAATTTGACTGTGATTTAAAATCACCCCCGGACACATTCGCGGAGTTTCAGATGGAAAAGCCAGATCTGGAGCTTATCTTTGCGGTCGGGAGAGCTGGCAAATGTGCCATTTGTGTGCCTCTTGTGCGATATTTTGTGTATACAGCAGTTGCGGAGTCTCATTCTTGGCCACAGAGTCATTTCTTCTTCTCCCCTTATGTGAATGGGAGAGAGGAGTCTCTCTCTGGGCTGGCTGTTCATCTGATGGGCCGCGCGAGGGTCGCACAAAAAGGACGGAGAGCGAGAAGAAGAGGAGATGGGCAAAAAGTGAGCTAAAGCATCGCAGTCAAACTTGATCCTTATGGCAAATAACTCTGCATTCTTGTATTTACTTTCATTTTTTATCCATAACAACATATAATGTGGTATGAGATCTCTGGGGCGATATATAAGGCATTCGCTGTCGGGCGGGTGAGGGAACGGCACCACCATTGAGATGAAAACACGTTAAAAGAAGAGAATTAATGTGTGGGAATATTTTGTCGCCGCGATTTCCTTCCACTCTTTGGGGGCCTTCAACTCCCCGAACGCGCGATCTGGCCAATACTGTGTGTATTTGGTCGCCTTCGCCAAGAGAGACACAAAATGCCAATTTGTATTGGAATCAATTTCGCTAAAAATCCATTCACAATTAAGTGGCGATTGACTCGTACTGTTGTTGCTGTTTCTCTTGTCCGCCCTCCTCGTGCTTTCTGGAGGGGGGCGGTGGCAAGATTAAAGACTTACCAGGCCGCTAATGAGATTTACAAGATGAAATTGCTGCACCTCCCCGCGGTGGGGAGAAAAATGGGCTGGATAATCGAGGGGGAATGGAAGGTGCTCCGCAACCTTACCAATTTGTCTCGCTGCAAACTGCGCAGAGCTCGGGAGAATGTCCTAAATGACTGGGTTTTCAGGTCGATGCGGAGGACATAATTTAAGGATCTCCCTTTGGCTGTCCAGTCCACTTGGACTTGATGTCTTTCAGCAGATTCTCGGCTGGTTGGATGCGAAAAGAAGCTGCGGGAAGGCGTTAAATGATTGATGATGGTGTGACAAAAGGGACTGAAGATGTGAATCACTTAAGCTAATTCAGAGTGGCCGGCTGGTTTCGGGGGGTCCGTGAGATGATGAATCAGCTTGTAAGAATTTTTGGCAGCATTTCATTGAGATGTGTCCCCATTGAGGGAAGGAGCGGACGCAAAAGATCAAAAACATCCAACGGATGCAGCTGATCTCCAGCGAATGTTGTGGGGCAATTGGCGACGGCGTGAGTGTGATTTCGCTGCTCGGAATACATGAGTGTGAAAATAATGAGCGTCAGCTGTTTATGTGCCTTAGATAATTATTACATAATAAGTGCCCATGACCATTGAAGCTGAGATTTGCGACTTTCCCATCTTGCATTTCGCGCGATGAGCGCGTTGCAGTGCAACAGGGGGGCGCCCTCGGGCCACACGGTCTGTCTGAGAGCGCCCATCGTGCGCCGCCACATTGCCGATCCGGAGGATGCCAGGGTCTCGCCGGAGTCTCGCCTTTTTGCGCTGGCGCTGCGCGCCTCTTGTGGATGCACTGAGAGTGCTTCAGCCGCAGTGACGTTTTTTTGCCTCAACGGATGTCTGCGTCCGGCAAATTTTATGAATGAAATTTATATTAATCGCCGCTCATCGTATCTTTTGGCTGTGTGCGAGCGCATGTTGGGCATATATATGCTGTGTTTACTGCAAAAAGGCGCACTCTGTGCGCGCGGGGGGAATTGAGGAGGAAACTGAGAAAGAATTCCCAAGAGATACAGCAAAGTTTGTGAATTTGTCGCGCCCCATGCATCAAGTTCACTGATAATGGGCTTTGCATCAGCAAATTTTCCATGTGCGTTTCGCGGAAAAGCTGCCAAGTGGATGGCATGCATTCCACTCATGCTTAGGAATCTGATTAATTTTGATATTCAACCATGAGAGATGGTGTTCTTTGTCTCACCACTGCATTCTTGCGATTGCCATGAATGAATTGTGTTTTTGCCCACCAACAGTGGTGAGAGGCCACTCACTGAGGACTTCAAGGAACTTCAACGTGTCGCGAAGAATTTGACTATCGAAAAATTGTCTACTCTTTGGCAAAATCTGATTTTTGTATACATTCTGCGATTTTCACTGCTGAGACACATAATTTCTGTCTATGCAATATTTCACTGAGGACAAAATATCGCTCGCTTGATTGCCTCTCGGAAAAATAACGATATTTTGCCATTTTAGCACAATCAAGTCTCTTTCAGGCACTAGAAAATCTCGTAATTAGTGCCTTTGGTGCAGAAATGCAAAGATGCCCAGTTGTTGAATATTTATCCCGGGTCGGAGTGGCGCGTATGGCAAGGGTGTCCGGATGTTGCGCGTCCCTGAGCGCTTTTTCAGCGTGTGGCTGCAAATGAGGGAGGTCGGTGGCTGTTTTGAGAGCTGGAATATGTATAGAAATATGGTGTGCGTGAATATGGCTGAAGAATGGGTGCGAAGAGCAAAAACTCCATCATCCCGCGCGACCGGATTGCCTTGGTGCGGGATGATTGTGCTCTCTTGATGGCTGGAGACCAGTGAATTTGCCCACCGTCGACTCTCGTGTGGGAAAATGGCCAAGTGAAAAATTCCTTCTGAGCGCTCGGTGGTGGGGCGCGCGCGAGAGAGAGATGGCCGCGTACAATTGGACATTAAAGGAGCCACAGAGGTTGGCGGGCGCGGCGGAGTGGATGGATTTGTGGTGACCACAAGAGTCCTCGTGTACGCATTGCATACCAGCGGGTCAGGTAACATCAGCAGAGACCATAAATATGATCCATTGCAACAATTATTCAGTGCTGTTGCTCTCACTGCTGGAAACACCCTCAACTCGGCGTGTATGATTTACATAATACACGGAATGTTAAGAAAATTACACAGAAAAATTCCTCTGGTGATAACAATTCTATCAAACAAAGGATGAGCGAGAGAGAGTGAGAAGAGGATTCTCTCTCTGCCGCACAATCGCGAGACGCCGACGTGAGAAGGAACTACACTAAATCAAATTACAATTTCCGAGAAATATTTTGTGCGCAGCAGCCCATTGGTGAGGATGAGGCAGAGAAAAAGGAGAGGAAGATGAGGAGAACAAGTGAGATTGATCTACAATCGTAAACCGCGCGCCTGGAAAAGAAATCCTTGTCTTGTTCTCTCTCTCCCATTCCACATCCGCGGCGTCTGGCCTGCCACAGCCTCAAAGAGCTGCGCCCGGCTAATAACCACACGAAAAATGCACACAAGAAAAATTCCAATAGCTTATTGTTATTTTCGGCACGACCTCATTTGCATGTGAGATGTTGAGGATTGCACGGGACTGAGCCCCCAACTTTGATTGCCGTGGTCCGAACGAGAGCAAGATCAAACGAGATACTGACCGGCCAATTTTGGAGACCATGCAATTTTGGCCAGAGAGGCGCCCATTTGGAAGACGTGAGAATCCTCTCGAGATGCTCGAGTCCCGCGCACTGCCGATCAGACTTGCCTCCATCAAGTCATAATCCCATAAGTGGATTACTTACATCGCCCAAAATGCTGTAAATGAATCACCCTGAAATCTATAACAAAAGACAAAACAATCATCCTCTAATCTAATTTTCAATAGACTAATATATCCTTACATTTGAGGAGAAGAAGAGGCCCCGGGAATTGTAATGGGATCTTCTCGAGACAATGCGCCGTATTTTCTGCCCAAAATTAGATGAGAAGAGAGACTGAGCGAATCTCTCATCTTGATCTTCACTCTCGCACATATATTTTTTTGCTTATGCTGAGGCACGCAGTTTATTATGTAGCAAAAGTTAACAACAGTTGAAGAAACGAGCAAAAAAGGCCCATCTTTGCGGTTTGACCGGGCCCAGGGGGCTTCTATAGCAACACCCAGAACCTTCATCCAGAGCATTAACGCAGTCATAAGTGTGGGGCGAGTGAAACATGGACAATATTTCTGTTTATGTTGGCACATTGTGTGCGCCGAGATGATGAGGGAGAGAGGCAAATGAAGTGATCGCCAAAGGAATCCCAAATTCGTCGGCGCCTCGAAATTTGTCTTGCGCGCTCTGCGTGATGATAAAACACATCCACTTTCCATTGCTGTCTCACTCGCACTCCGTCGAGGATCGATTTTCACCACGTCAGGCCGGAGTAATCAATTCTCTTTCTCTGGGGATCTTTAAAGGCTCTGCTGAGGAATGCATTTAAAATTTAAAGGGACTGCAGAAGGCATTCGATTTTGACCATACAATAAGGATGAGGATCAGAGTTGATGTGTGAGACTTTGAGAAGATGAGAAAGATGAAGGTGAATTGCATTGCAACTTTGTAGAAATGGTTATCACAGTAATCCCCCTATATTAATAACAAATCCAAATGAGTAAACTGACAAGGTTCGAGGCCAGGAAGAATGATAAGGAAAGATAAGCAAAACAAAGTACTTTCATAAGTACTTCTTCAAAAAATGCACTTCACTTTGAAAACGAAAAATTGTTTGATCGTGCGAAAATCCTGCATCCTATAGTTTTGGAAAGGAACCACAAATTCGTCCATAATCGTCTTCTTCCTGATTCCAACGGTATTTTTCTTTAATTTCTCTTCTCAATCCCATTTGTGAAAACCGCGCAGCAACGGAAATCTCAATGGCATTATTTTTAAATTGTTTCTTCTTCTGTTATTTCCAGAAAACTTCTGTGAATTCCTCCCCAGCACGATAGCAGCTGCCAGTGTGGTTGTCTCCGTGAATGGCCTGAAGCGTGACATGGTGCATGAGTGCTATTTAATTCGCGAGTTAGTCGATCGTATTCTAAAGGGCAGCATTACGGAGGTAAGCATAATCATTCCCCGAAACATATGAGCCATTCCGTGATCGCATGTGGGAGCGAAGGCTTTTTATCGAGCGCCAAATTACTTTTCGATGGCAGAAGTGGAATTTGCCACGAATGTGCTCAAGATTGAGGCAAGGCAGGGGGCCGATTTGATGTGACTAATGATGTGTCTTTTTTGCCATGGACAACAGGAAGTACTTAACAAGTGTATGGCGCGAATGGAGAGAGTGTATCAGGAGCAGAAGAAGCTGCTGTCGCCAGAGTACTACTATCACACCCCGCCAAATAGTCCCTGCATCAAGAGTCAGGGTGTTCCGGGCACGCCGCAGAAGTGCAAGGCGGAGTCCAATGGGACGCCCGTGGACATTCAGGACATCAACTTTTGATCGCCACGCATCCGGAGTGACCAACAAACAGGAGAGAGAGAGACACAGTGAATTGTTGGGTGCTAAAATACAATTTCTGTTGAAATAGGTACCTTAATTTAAACACAGATCCCCGAATCCCAGTTTCCCACGTCATTTGCCCAGTGAAGCCGATAGATCACAGGAGAAATATGCTCTTCATGCCGAGAATAATTAATATTTCACAATGAGTAGAAGATTTGAGTGTCTGTATTTGTTTGTAGGCTCCCAAAATGTTGAGAGAAAAAATGTGCGTTCTCGTGTGTATGTGTCAATCTATATTAATGTCTTATGTTTTTCTTTCGGGACCAAACACCAAACTATTTATGTAGTATATTGTTAACCAGCTTTATAACATATAAGTTTACTATTGTAACTTAAAAGTGAGAGACGATGTTCGCGAGCTAGAGAGCAGCGCGAAAGAGAGGGAAATGTGCCTTTTTTGGTATCGATTTTTCTCAGAAGAAATAGTTTATGGGATAGGAAGGAAGCAAAAAATCATGTCTTATGCTAAAGAGAGGGGCCGCCGAAGTGCGTGAGCGAGAGAAAAAACTAATATTTAGTTAAAAAACTTAAGCTGACTCGCGAGAGGAGGGTGAGAGAAGATGTATAGAAGTATTCGTCTCTAGCACTTCTGATTTATTGATTGTATAGTCTTCTTTTTTAAACAACCACCATCCGAACGGATTGTGAGCGCCACAGAATTGTATACAAGAATGAGAACAAAAATACCATCCCAGGATATGCAAAACCTTCAACAACATTTCAATACGCTTATTTATATATTTACGGAAAAAAACATATGAAAGAGAAACGATTCACAATTTAACTATGTAGAGTTTAGCAATTATTCAGAGTCAAAAGAGAAGGCATTCTAGCAAGACTCACATTTTTCTCTCCTTTCTCAGGACCAATAAAACAAATCTCCTATATTTTTCTTTGGCTCATATTCCAATATATTTTTTTTAAATAAATTTCTTTTTTTTACTTTGATAAAACTGCCAAGAAAATAACTTTCGGTGCTTCCAAGTCGCTGGAGAAAGGAGAGTTAAGATGTGCAAAGATGAAAAGGGATTTTTTGGGGAATGTTTGCAAATTTTTCAAGAATTTGCCAAACATTGCAAAATATAGTCATAGAAATAGAAATTTATACATATAATATATATATATATATATTGCATATAATGATGTAGCAAGAGAGGAACTCTTAAAAAGTAGTCGAGTAGAAATTGTTTAAGTTTAACGTATAACTTCTGTTATAACTACACAGATAATGAGAAAATATAACTTTTTGTACATATTGTTAATTAAGAGGAAGAGTAGAAGTGAATTGATATGTAAAATGTCAGCAGATAAGACTTCAATGCCTGAAAATTATATTTAAAGGTTTACTAAACGACCTAAAATTTTATATTACAGGTGTGAAATACAAGAGAAGATAGGAAAAACCAATGCGAACTATTGTATATCGTATATATTTTTTGGATAATAAAAGGAAGAAAAAAAATACCTAATAGCAAAGGAAATATGAAACGAAGTATCAACTGTATATTTTTCTATTTGAATATTTGCGTATTTTCTTTATTTTCTAGTTTATATTTCTTTACAAATGAATATTTCTTATTTTCTGCATCTGCATTAAACAACCAATTGAACCCTAAACTGCCATATTAAAGCGCTAATTGAAGCGATCGCAAATGCAATGTTTATATATTTTTAAAAATATGGATGGTAAAAAGCTGAAAAGTTAATGATGTAGGAGAGGAAAAGAACTAGCAAAGCAATAATAATTTTTTTAATAAATAAACTATAATAAATTATTTAAAAATGACACACTGTACTAAATAGACCGGACTGAAAAAGTATGTAATTTATAAAGAAAAAAAAGCAAAAAATCGAAGAGAAGGAAGGTGAAATTTGAAGAGGAAAGGCATAAAATACGCTCTTAAGTATTTTTGTTGATAATTTACTTATAAATTGCAAAAAAATTCCCCCAAGAAGGGATTTATTGAGGGAGAGAAAATGAAGAAAGAGCAAGAGAAACTGTATATAAGTGGAGAAAAAATAAAAAGTGTAATTCCTGAAAATTCTGCCTCTTTCGCCCCGCGAGTCACCCTGACTTGGCTCAAGCTCGGTAATTCATGGTTCTTGGCTGGTTGATGGTGAGGAATTGTTCTCCAGCATCCCAACGCATTCTCATGGAATACAATGCAATTTTCATTCTCCACAATGAAAGTCTTAAAGTCGCTGTTTGGTATTGTTTCTCCGTCTCTCTCGACATCTTCTTCCAAGTCTCCTTCCCATCCACAAGCATGACCGGGCGCGCGGTGGTGAGGAGCAAAAAGAGCTGAGACCTCAATGGTTTATTCGCCAAACGAGATGATTTTTCATTATTCCGCCGCCCTCGTGCCACCTTTTCGCGCGCCCCACTTCCCGTCTTCGGTGCATTTTATTATAGTCCTCGTGCACTGACCATGTCTGCATTCTTGGCCTGGAGTTAAACGGCCGCGCTGCCCCGGTCTTTACCAAACTTGAGCCGTGAGAAATATTTCGCGAAAAATTCATGACTCGCCTCATTCACTCTGCGCCACATTTTCGTCGCTGCGCTGCTGCTGAAGATGCCGGGCCACGTTTTTCGGGAGACATGGTCCAGGAGACGGGGGCCCGGGCAGAAAAAGTGAATCTTCCCGGAGAATTCGGAGCACTGCGATGCCCGAAGAGAGGAAAATTCCACTGGGGTAAGTCAACTCGCCAGTGGAATGTCCAGGAGCTTCTCCGCCAAGCAATTCTTGCTGGAAATTGGAGGTGTCGCAAGTCTCTCTGGAGGTACATATTAAAGTATTGCGACATTTGTCCATAACTTCCTAAATTTCGGATATGACTGTGAATGAGAAACTGAATTTCTTCACTCAAAATTCCTTTCACACATCTTCCCTTGAAATATATCACGTAAAAATGTAAACAGTCCGGCAAACATCAACAAGTCAGCCTCACGTGATGATCCACTTATGATCGTGAATACATTTCGTAAATCCATATTCATAACCGGCGAATGAGAGTGAGACTTCTTGAGAGAGAAAGTGCATCATAATGCGTCAGATGAAAGCAAAAGTAACCCAGTGAGATCGTTCATATCATCAGTAATGCGATATATTGCTATCTTCTGTGCTATATGAAAAGAATTTGAATAAATACTTGAGATTTTGCTGCACTGTTGAAAGTGCGATATTGCAAGGACTTCTTGGAAATCTCATTGAGCGCGATTCTCATCATGGAAAGTCATCACACTTCCTCCGTGCCGAACAATGTTGCCTGAGAGATGATACAATGTAGTGGTTGGTGGTAATTTTTTGCCACTAATTAGACAAGTTAAAATTCCTCTATGGAGAATTGATCAAGTGCGGGAGAAGGTGACGATAAGGAATCTCCTTGGGTTTCACGTCAAGGGGATAAATTATCAATTTTATCGCTCAATTGAGGTGATTCTCTGCACCTCAACGTGAATCCTCTAATTGCTCCTTCGACATGGGCATTGTTGGGCCTCACAATCTAGTTATGGGGAGGCGCACAAGAGTGATTCGTCGTCTTCATTGTAATTCTTGTCCATTTCGCCCATGTGAGACGCTCTCTGCGCTCAGGCATTCCCGCAAATCCTCCCCGCCGCATCGCAGCAGAAATTGGCTTCTCGTCTGCGAATCTTGAGCGCGATTCACTAAAAGAGAGACGGAATACCCTCTCGGCCCCCAGTATTATAGAAGCGTGAACAGGTTTTTCGGAAAACACATTCCATTCCGCAGCACCGCATAATCACAAAGCCTCACCGACAATTCCAAATGAAATTTCGCAATACGCCAATTTTTTCTACCCACAGCTCACGTTTCGCGTCCGCGGCCCGGCCCTCATCCGGGGTGAGATCGCGCTGTGGAGCGATTCAGGCGGGCTCACTTGCTCGGGCCGTGATTTAGGATGCGTCCCACGACCGCCAGGACTCGCACTGACCCAGTGGAAGGACACCGGAGACTCGCAAATGTGTAATAACAGGTGAGACTGAAGGTGTGCAATTTGACACTCAAAAATGAGCCGGTCTCGTAATTGAAAATTTACACTTGCACGTGTAAATTTGCCAGTCTGAGAGGAAAAAAACACCCCTGACACCGTAATTACATGCACAACCTGAACATTGACTTTAACTCACACTCAATGTCGGTGTTTAAAATAATTGTAATAAAATTGAGTGATGAGGAGCTGCAAATCACGGGAAATTAGTCAATGTATCGGGAGAATGAGGTTGAAATTGAATTAAGAGAACAGTGAATTTTATAGATCTAAATTCACAACACACTACATATAATTTTTCCCAAAACCCCTATAAATTCCTTAGTGGACCGCTTGTGCAGTGTGAATTTAGAGGACTTCTTTGAGGCCTTTGGCCCTGTTTTGGCTTTTTGTCTGCACGCGAGACTGTGGCAAATTCAATCTGTACCAAGAAATTAGATACGACCACAAAATTATCGCTGTGGACTTCATTAATTTCGGCATCACCGGATCAAATGATCAGCAGCTAATATTTCATTTTGCTGATGCCGAACAGAGGCCAAGTGGAGCAATTCTCGGGAATTCTCGGACATTTTCTCCCACACACGGTCAGAGAAAATGTCAGCAAAAGGGGCTAATTTATGTGTCCTTTCACCGCTGGTTTCCCATCCCTTTTGTCGTGGCCACTTGAGCATTTCTCCGTCAAGTGGACAACATCCTCTGCACACATGGAGTTGTAATTGATTGTGGAGCCAGATCTCCACGGGATTCTGGCCACATCATCATCCTCTGAGGTCCACCGAGAGACTCTACTGGACAGGAAGCCGCAATTAGGCGAGAAACCAGGCGCCTCCACGCACCTCTTTTTGCTCTCCAGCCAAAACCATCACTCCTGCGAGGCTCCGTCTCAGCCCGACCATCATCCAATTTCAGCTCAAAAACACGAGAGAATGGAGAATGCCTGAAGAAGATGTTCATTCATTTATATGGGCAAAATGGTATGCGAAGGAGACGATTTACATTCGCACCAACACATCTCTTGGCATCTCAGAGGCGGCCAATTGATGGGATTCTGGGTTGCCACGGCTCTTTTGCCTTTGATTTCAATTAATGAATGAGCCTGTCTCGGAGTTCCTGGAAAAATACCTCTCATATCTCTTCACGCGCCAGCAAAAAAAGACAAAAACATTTAAAAGGGATGATTTTTGGTATTTATTGTGTGATCAGAAGGACTTAACATGATCGTTTTCACGAAAACAGATCCTTTCGGGACAGGGAGAGATAAGATGAAGACCCGTTTTATCGTTTCGGACAATTAAGATTGACTGCTGAATATTTTGTGCTGCAAAAGAAAAAAAAGCCGTCGACAAATCGAGAAAGGCAATTGTTACAATTTTTATTAATCAAATTTGAGCTCTTATCTGGCACTGTCGAAGCTATGGTGCCAGTCGTTGAAACGTACACTCAAATCCATCGATAAGAATCGGCGATGAAATATGAGCTTCTGCACGATTTACATCCATTCAAATGGCCATAAGTCCTCCATTCTTTTTCTCCTTTATCCGCAACAAATCGAGCAAATTTCCTGTGAAATACACCGGACAATTGAACAGGCCACAAGGGTATTAGTTGATTCTTTGGCACCAAGGTGCAATGTGTCACTTGGCCTCTCTTGCTTTCTCCCACAGCGATTCCTTTCATGGGAAAAAGGATCTGTGATGTCTTCGAGGAACCGTTCCACAAAGAGCCACTCTTTGTGAGGCAATGCAGTCGGAGGAGGTGCAAAATCTCCGTAAATAAAGCATTCTATATCTCCTCATTGCCAAGTGATGAAGCAATATGTCTGTGGCTGCAGAGACGGCACTTGTCTGCCTCTCGTGGCTCTCGTGAGATCCTTCTGACCACCGTGAATCTCAGCATCGTCATGTGGGGTATCTAATAAACATTTTGCTTGCCATACGCGCGAACTTGTGTGTGTGTGCGAGCGCGAATTTTGGGCCAAAAGAGAGCTGCTGATTCTTGAAAAATGATATGAAACACCCAAAGAAAAGTGTGTGGCATTTAAAGGCACGCACCCGAGTGTGTGTGCAATTTAATGTGCCTCTTTTTTCTACACATTTCCAGACAGCACAAATGTACAGCTCAGTGACAAGGTGAAGCTACTGGCGGGCATTTAATGCTCCTCAATTTACAAAAGTCACTTCTAACCCAGTTAGATAAAAGTTGATTGTATAGAAGCATTTTTCTTGCCCATAAATTACTGTGTCGATATCGTATCATCATAAAATTCTTTATCGCATGCACTTTTTCTCAACCGCACGCAGTATTTGCACTGCAAGAGACCATAACAGTTGGTACTGCTTAATTGACGCGCATTTTATGCCCTTTTACTTCTAGAGGTGAGGGCTTCGCATGACGGCAAAAAAACTGCGTCAAGAGAGTTTAATTGGAGTGTGTGAAATATTGGAAAGATTCAGAATTTTTTCAGTTAATTCTGCTCTTCATCTCTCAATATCAAGTTCAGTCTTTTCTTTAAAAAATCTATGTTTGATTTCTTGGGATATTCAGAAATTTTCTGAAATTTTCCACACCGAAGTAAACCTATTCAACTGCACGCTTTTTACCATGTCACATTGGCCTATTTAGGATTATTAAAATTCTCTCTCTGCATTCACTGCGAGTGTTGCAAATCACACGAAAAAGACCACCAATCATCGCATTTCCAGCGATGATTAATGACAGCCAGGAGAGTGCTGACGATGGGACGGAAAGGTGGTCTAAGCATGCAAAATAGGTCAAATCCCAGTGCACGATATAAATTCAGCGCGATGGAGCGACGAAGACGGGAATTCGTGGTGCTGCAGATCTCGTTAATTCCCTTAAAAAGTCCATGGCGAGGGTTACGACCTGAACAAACATTGAACCGATCGGCATGTTGCAAAGCGCCAAAGCAGTTCCAGGAACTCCAACATACATAATTCTCTCTCTATTATACTTTATAGCTCGGCCGCTGCGCCGCGTCGAGGGTATGTGTGGCTCTGGCCATGGCAGCTCCCAGAGTCTGGCGCTGAGGCAGGGGAGAGGCTGCTCCAATTGCTTTTTGCCGAGACGGCGAACGGCCAGGAGGTGATCCCAGTGAATGGGCAGAGCAGAATTCCGTCTCGTGATCACTTTCGCACCACAATTATTTCGGCATCGTTGGCGCAAAATTAATAGATATCCCAGTAATTACTGCAGATTTATTTACCATGACTCCCAGATATTGGGCGATTTTGTAATTGAGCGGGCCATTGAGGCAAATCGCCTAATAAGATATCAACGCAAGTATATTGCGCTGAGATTGTGACTTTCGGAGGACTCGCACAGCATCACATTCCAATCTCACTCACTCCCGCTCAACTCGGGCTCGGGATAAAACGTGACCTGTTCACACAGATTTTTTCAACTTGATAAATTCCTTCAGTGCCCAAAGAGAATCCCCTCGTAAGACTCTCAGTTCATCCCCGGGGCTTCTCTTCTTTCCACCTCGCAGTCCGTCAAAAGGATCCGACAATGAATTTTCACTTGTTCCATGGGAAGACCCGGAGAAATCTCCTCCTGAGGATCCTTCCTGGAATTGGATCATTTGCCCCGTCGCTGTGTGAAGTGGGCCTGGTGAATGGAGAGAGAAAAAAGGCCAGGCAAATGCCCATGAAATACCTCAAAGGAATGATATGCCATTTTTCCATCCACCCAAAATGTGATTTCTCCCATTGAAACATCTCCTCTTCTCACACAAGTGAAATCTTTCGGGTTGAGTCTCTCGCCCAGCTTCTCGGCGGACCGCATGGCTGGTGAAATCAATAAATAATTTATAATTGGCAAATTCCTCAGTGGACAATTGCCTTTGTTTTTGGCCCATGAAATCCCAAAGAGAGCCTAAAGGCAGGGAAGAGTGTCGACATTTCTTCTTAGGACCTTTAATGGGGGCTCATTTGCTACACTTTTACCGCATGCATGCCTTGAAATACAAAGTTCTTTATCTAACTTATGATAAATATCGATTTAATCTTCAATGGATTGATGGTTTAAGTGAATTTGATTGATTTTCTTCTATTTCAAGGGATTCTCAAAGTCTATCAAAGAGATATCAATTAGTCATTGGATCATGTTGGCTCTGTGGGAATTTTTCTACAATTCTCTTTGGCATTGATAATCACGCCATTTCACACTGAAGCCGTGCATTGAGGGAGTAACAGCGAAGAGTGAGACACTGACTGTGACCGTGTGATCGTCTTGAGGTATTTCATACCTGAGCGATAAAGCTTTCAGTGAGGCAACGCATGCAGGAGAGGCTCATGTCAACGCCTCGGCCTGCGTGCCCGAGAGCGAGGCATTTTGGGTTGATTGGCTCTTTATCACGGCCAAGGATGCGATACCGGGGCGATAAATTTGGGCACCACCGAAGCGAAAAGGTAACGGGCGAGCGAACGTTAGAACTAATTTGCGAGCCGAAGATATGTGATCGCCTTTGGGAGGCCTGTTAAATGGCCTCTCCCCTCGTGTGAGCTTAGGCCATTTAAAAATTAAAAGGCTCCGGTGCGCGGGGCTGATGAACTCGAAATTGGCAAAAATATATAGATATCCATTTCTGCACGTCAACCTTTGCCGTGTATCGCAACATAATGACAGGCCTATGATGGTACTTTATTCATAAATTGTCTCATCGGACAATTTGTATGGTAATATTGCGAATTTTAATGACAACACTCTCTTCTCCCTCTCTGTCGCTCTTCCTGTCGTCAGTTCGCGATGGCTGTTTTTTTTGCACAGAAGAGAAAATATTACACACATTTTTTCGAGGCCTATGACTCCGGCCAAGATAATCGCACATTATAGACTTTGGTGTGTTGTGCGCAAAAATTTGCATTTTTTTCGTCACAAAACGCGAATATTATTGTTTCGTTCACCCCATAGGCATACTAACGATGCCTTCTTTTTTCCCGCCTAGGCTCAGAAGCCTGGCTTTCCATCGGCAATTAGAGAAACTCGATACACGGACGGACGTGCCATGATATTAATTGATAGAGGAGATAAATAGCAAAAGAGTCATGGTGTGAGGGGTTCAATTCCCGAAAAAAATACCTAATGCTCAACATATTGGAGTGATTCTCATCGGGGTCTTTCTTTCACTGGGTGGAGAGGAGCGAAAGAAGAGAGCCTGAACATCAGTATTGGCGCCACAAAGGCCACTTCAAAAGAAATTCTTCAGACGCATCCTTTCCGGTGCGAGAAAAGCCGATGAGGATCCTTAAAATGCATTCTCTCTACGGTCATCCTTTGTCCAAGCTGTTCTTCAGTCCCTTTTTGACTCTCTCCTTCTCGCTATTCAATCGGAATTCTCCCTAATTTTCAAAAATTATGCAGAATTTGTGCATCTAAAAACTTTCCAACAAAAGTCTCTGCAAATTTTCAACATTTATACATTTATTTATTCAATTTCATCATACAATAAATATAATAATAAAATGTGTCGGAGGCTTTACACATTTTGTCATTTAATTTCTCAAATCATTTTTTTTTATATCCCTTTTTGTAAATGGATCTGCGTTTCCTCCGTCTCATCATCCTCGATTCGCGTAAAAGTTTTTTTTTCACTTTACTCCATGTTAAAATTATTATGTGTCACCTTTATATAATGTAACATTATAATACTCACTCTTTCTCTCATGCAATCTTCGCTCTTTGGCGCCACTTTCGTCAATTATTACAATGTTATTATATATAAAATAAATTAGATATTATTTCTTGGAAGTCTCTCGTTCGAAGTCATATTGTTTTCCCATGTAATTTTTGGGTATTCATTTCTTAGGTTATGAGTGTTTCATTCGTTTTTGAGAAAAAGAATATTATAAAGAATATGTAATTGTTAAAAATGTTTCCTATTCTTCATCTCATTCTGAGGTATAAACTTTTCCCAAAACCCTTACAATGCATCGCACTGAGTTCTTTTCGTTTCTCATGTTATGCTTCTCCTACTCAATTACCCTTCGTCTAGCAATAAGGTTGTCAAATACCTTGATTTTGTTAAATTAATGCCTTTAGCGTGCAAAAAATACAAAAATAATTTATCATCTCCCTCTTTCTCTCTCTCTTTCTCTCTAATGCTTAATCTAGTGGAAAATTCTTATCTTCAATCGTATGCTTTCTGTGTTTCACTATTTTCAGCACTGCGGAGAAGATCATTGAAGTGTATTGTAAGGGTTCACATATCTTTAGGATTCTCTCACCTACAATTCCGCCAATTTCTCCGTCCCACAAACCCGTATTTCGCGATTAAAAACCAGAACTCAGTTGAACTTTGTCCATAAGACATATATTTTTGCACTAAAACGCGCACTATATGTGCTTATTTTTTGTCTCTGGAAAAACTTTTTCATTCAAAGTATAATTGTAATTCGAGCAATTAAATTTCTCTCCACGATCAATGACTTGGATTCTAGCAAAGCCCAGACGAGCCAACATCTGGAATTTATAGAATCACTCACTTGATGGAGGCATTTTTGCAAATCAATATGGATAATATTGAAATTGTATCATTCTTCACTATATTTTCATCTCCTTTCGCATGTTTTCTTTCTCACTACGATTTTTTTGGCACATAATTCTCACAGTTGTCTGATCATTATTTTGCAGAATATGAAAGAAGATAGAGATAAAGAATTGGAATACCTGGAAGGATTGGCAAATCAATAAATTCTGCTCTAAATGTCAGACAAAAAGAAATGTTTTAGATTCTTTCCATTTCATAATAGGATTAACTTTTACAATCTTTATGCATTCGTTTTCTTTTATTATAAAATATGTCATTTATTTAGTATTTATGAACTTCTTGGAATAGTTTCTCTTCACATTTTATTTCCATGCATTTCTCTCAAGAACTATTTTATACAACACTTTGTTTTCATCCTTCTCGGAAAATTGAAATCCCTCCAAACACAAGAGCGCGATATCATTCTAAATGTCTTCCTGTATGAAAAAGATGACGCCATTTAATTAATATGTATTTCAAAAATTTATACCATTCCTTAGATTCTTTTTTTCTTTACACAGAAGTTTAATTTTAATTCATCTGGGAATAAGGATTTCTCCTCTGTTATTCTTCTCTTCTTTGTCTTGTTTTCTTCTTCTCTATTTAGGTGTCCGGGAACCGTGCATTTCATAATAATTTTGTTCATCAATTACTATTTAAAGTAATATTTTTAAATATCTCTAAAATTTAACAATTAAGTCTCGTCAAGTTATTGTTTTCCATTTAATAAATGTTTTTTTTTTCACTTAGGACATGTAATTTTTTTTTAACATAATTCTTTACGTCTATTTCCCTTGTTTTCTTCATTCAAGCGTGCAAAGTGTTTCTTTAATTGGATTTTTCACATCATATGAAAGTCAACAACCTGTTTTTCAATTTCAGTGTTTGTTCTTAGCAATTTCTTAGTAATTATTGAGTGATGACGGCATCAAAGTGTTGGGAGCTTCTGGATTACCAAGGCATTTCTCCTCGTAAACTTGTTCCTGAAAATATTCACATTATCACTTTAATGCAAGCACTTACATGTTTGTGACTTGAAAAGCAAAGATAATAACATGAAAAAAAGTCTACATTTATAATTTAAAAAGAAAATCCTGAATAACTACTCACTAATATGCTATTTTTTGATAGCTTTTGTCAGAACAGAAACAGCGAAAATACTAAATCTTAGAACATTTTCAAAGAAACGCGACAACACTTTGTAGATACCTTTGATTTCTTCATTTTTATGAGGAATTGGAAAAAATCAAAATAAGGGCCTCAATATTTTTTTTCTCTAGAATCACACAATCTTCAACATTTACTCACCGTTGATCTGTCGTATTTCAGTCTCTTCCAAATCCTCTTGGATGAGCCCGCCGAAGATTCCACAGAGGATTCCCCGTTGTGCTGCCCATCCGTGCCATTGTAGTTGGGATTCGTGAATGTGAGCATGAATCTGTTGCCGTTGTTGCTTGCGCGATTCTCAGTTTTACGTCGGCTGTTGAAGACCAGCACCAGAATGGCGATGATGACAATCACGAGGATCACCGTAAGAACGGCCGTGGCGATGATCACAGCCTGAGCGTGGCTGTCCTTCACCACAAACATCCCGTAGCCCTTGTTGTCATCATAGCCACCCTCAGGCGGGGGCTCTTCAGGATCCCCGGGGCGTCGCAGCGGCACAAGGAAGAGGGGTTCAGTCTTGCACTCGCCCTGCATCCTGTCCGGACAGGCGCACACGTAAGACTTCTCCCGGAAGAGACAGAGATGCGTGCAGCCGCCGTTCTGGTTGCCACAGGGCGAGTAGTCATTGGGCTGACGCGATGGCGCCACAGAGCGAATCTCCAGAGCTCCGGGAAGACCATGGCGAATTTCCTCAGCGGCCGGGTTGGTGGTCACCATTGAGGCCCGGAAGACGCTCTTGTTGTACCAATCCGTGTAGTACACGAAAGAATCGTACAGAGTCACGCCGAAGGGATGAACTGAGTGATGAACAACCACGTGGCGATTCTTGCCGTCCAGATCAGCAGATTCAATCTTGTCCTCAAGAGCATCAGCCCAGAAAATCTTGTTTTTCCTGCAACACAAAAGCATTTTTAGGTTAAATTCAATTGAAAGGGTCAGGAAATCCTTCGACGACTCACTTGAAATCCAGTGCAAGTCCATTGGGAAATCCCAGATTTGAGTCGATGATGTTTCTCCTCGAGGTGCCGTCCATGTAGCAGCGTTCAATCTTTGACGGATGGCCAGGCTTTGTGCCCCAGTCAGCGAAGAAAATGTACCCGTACTTGGGATAGACAATCATTGCTCTCGGATCATTCAGATCCTCCTTGAGAATGATCTTCCTGAAGGATCCATCGAGCTTGGCCACTTCCAGCACCTTCAGTCCAGTGTCTGTCCAGAAAATGTTGTTCGCCACCCAATCAACTGCCAATCCATTGGGAATGTTGAGCCCTGTCACGATTGTTCTGGTCTCTGAGGGATTCTCCAGATTCACCGACTTGATCACATCGATGTTGACGTCAGCGTAGAAGAGCTTGGACTCGTTGTAGTGATAATCCAGAGCCACTCCGCCGTGGACGCCTTCGATGGGCAACATGACGTCAAAGAAGTCTGAGGATTCCAGAGATATTTGGCCAATGCCGTTCCTTGAAGCGATTATGAGATATGATTGCGGAAGAGTTTCGCACTCTTTGTCACTTCCTGCCTTCATATTGAGTCCTGTGGGACATTTGCAGGTAAAGGAGGCGGCATTTCGGAGACAAAGATGACTGCAGTTGCCATTGAATTCACCACAAGTGTTCTTGGACACATCCACTTCCTGCTTGATGATCTTCACATCCATCAATCCCTCGAGTTTCTCAAGAAGAGTCCTGCTGGAATTGACGCTGATCTTGGGCGTGACATGCAGCGCCTGACTCTTCCAATCTGTCCAGTAAATCTCACTCTCTGACACAGCAACGCCATAAGGATGGGGCAAATCGGAAATCAACACCTTTCGGTAATTGCCATCAAAGTCAGCCGATTCAATGCAATTGTATTGCGCATCTGTCCAGTAGATCCTCTTCTCGGGCTCGTCAATTGAAAGTGCATTTGGCCATCCGATCTTGGACTCTATGATCTTCACTCGACGCTCACCGTCCATCTCGGCCCTTTCAATTCGCGGAATTGACCCAAAATCTGACCAGAACATGAGACCGCTCTCATAGTTGATGGCCAATCCGCGAGGCGACTCGAGATCCTTCCACACAAGCACGGCTCTGTTACTTCCATTCAGTTCACTGACTTCAATCGTGTGCCGCCCAGAGTCTGTCCAGTAGATCTTCCTGCCAATTGAGTCAATAGCCAGACCATCCACACTATCGATGCTATCATCAATGATGTGCTCAACCTCCATTCCGTCCACAGACGAGCGGATGATGCAATCCTCCACAGTGTCCGACCAGTAGATATAGCCTGTTTTGCGATCAACATCAATTGCCACAACATTGGTGAGGCCAGGAATCGGCAGAACCACGTCAATTTGATAATCCATGTCCAGAGAAATTTGCCGAATGTCAATGCGATGGGCGAAGATGACAAAGTTAGTGGGAGCTTCGCTGCAAGTCCGATTGTCCCTCTATAAAATAAAAAAAAATGATAAGAATTCCTCCTATAAGTTCCCCACATTCAGTCATAATCTCACCGTCAACTTGACACCAATTGGGCAAGCGCAAGAATATCCGTTAGCTGATGGGTTCAGGAGACAAAGATGACTACAACCGCCATTGTCAATTCCACAAGGACTATAGATTGTGTCCCTGTTCCTGTGGAAGATCCTGATGTCCATCAAGTCGCTGGTGTTACTAATGATCCTCTTGAGATCCTTTCCCGTTCGCTTATCTGCAGACTCAACACTGAAAGTCTCCCAGTCGCTCCAATACACGCGATTGCCCATGATGTCCAGTCCGAAAGGATGCAGTAACCCTGAATCTGTGAGAAGGTATTAAATTCTCTGCATTCTTGAACTGATCTGGAGACTTACTTATAAGGGTCTTTCGGCCACTTCCGTCAAAGTTGATGAACTCCAGGATTTTTGTCCCGCCGTCAACGAAATACAGTCGATTGTGCTCCACAGACAATCCATTGGGCCAGAGAAGACCACTGGTAACCAGACTCTCGCGGCCAATGCCATCCATCCCTGCCTTTTCTATCTGCGGCGTCTTTCCCCAGTCCGACCAAAACATCATTTTCGCATTGATGGGATCCACCACGATGTCTCTAGGCTTGTCCAGGCCCTGCCAGATGAGTAGCGATCGTTTCTTCCCATCACCAGAAGCCACTTCAATGCGATTTGTTCCTGAGTCCGTGAAGTAGATCTTATCGGTGATCCAGTCAATGGCAATTCCGGCAGGAGCCACTGTAAAAATCAGGATTATAGCCAGGAATCTTAACAGTGTTGTCACATTGAGTATCTTACCGAGATTCGTGGAGATTATTGTAGCTTGATTGCTGCCATTGAGAAAAGCTCGGCTGATACTTCCACGTCCAACATCTGTCCAGTAAATATAATCCGAAGAGCTGCACCACTCGAGAGCCACAGCGGACTTGAGTCCATCCAGAGGAACCACCATATCCACTTCAATGGAGGCATTTCTGGGCTCCAATTGCCGCAGTCTGATGTCCTTCTTTCGCGCAATGAGGAGCAGTTTGTCTGGCACAGAAGTGCAAGTTCTTCTGCAAAATCACCAAATGTCAGTTAAATGAAGCAAGAATATAGGATAGACAGTGACTTACTGATCTTCCTTCAGTGTCAAACCAATCGGGCAGGAGCATCTGCGACTAAACTTGTTGGGAAGGCAAAGATGACTGCATCCGCCCTTGAGACCTCTCTTGTCCAACTGGCATCGGCTCTTGTAGTCTGGCTGTCGAGCTGGATGGAAGCTGTGCAAATCCATGGGAAAATGAAGACCCTCATGAACTGTTCTGAAGCCCTTTCCGGTGATCTTATTCGCCGTGCTGATGCTCTTTGTGTGCCAATCAGTCCAGAACATGGAGTCCTCGAAGATCGTCAAAGCGAAGGGATGCGGCAAGTGATTGCTGAGGATCTTCTTCCTATCACTGCCATCGTATCTGGCGCTCTCGATCACGTGATGCTTGGCATCTGCCCAGTAAATCCTGTCAGTTGTATAATCAAGGGCGAGTCCATTTGGCCAGAACACGCCCTCAGTGATGATGGTCTGTCGCCCAGAGCCGTCGAGGAAGGAGCGCTCAATTTTGGGATTGGGTCCCCAATCTGACCAGAAGAGCAGAATCTCTCCTGGATGAACAACAATTGCTCTGGGCTTGTCCAGGTCATTAGCCGCAATCACTGCCCTCAGGGAGCCATCAAATGTCGTCACTTCCACTCTTCTGGTGCCAGAATCCGTAAAGAAAATCAAATCGTGAATCCAGTCAACGGCCAATCCGCCAGGAGACTCCAAACCCCACTTGATCACATCGCGAATCCCCGTTCCATTGATGTATGCCCTCTTGATGACATCCGTGGAGACATCTGTCCAGAATATGAGTCCGCGAGCGTAGTGAAAGTCCACGGCAATGGCATTGTGGAGTCCCTTGATGAGCGAAGTGTACTTCTTATTCAGAGAAATCTGTCGCAAGTCCGCACGATTGGCCATGATGAGTTTCATGGAGGAACCGAGCGCCTTGCAGGTTCTCAAGTCAGGACGAAGGACGTAGCCAGAGACGCAGGAGCACATGAAGGAGCCGTAAGTGTTGATGCAATTTTGAGAACAGACTGGATCCGATGAAAATTGGCACTCGTCAATGTCGGAGCAGCTGCAACATTAAAAGAAGCCTATGTTGAGGAAGAGGAGTCACGCATGAAATAAGGAAAAACTCACTTGTATCCATTGGCATGGAGGATAAAGCCCACTCTGCAAGCGCACTCATCACGTCCAGTGGATGTTGTGATGCACACTTGCTCGCACTTTGAATTGGGACCACAAGTGCGGGTCTTGGGGCAGTTCTGTTCATCTTCAGCTCCTGGACAGTCATTCTGGCCATCGCAGATGTGCTTCTGATTCACGCAAATTCTGTAAAACACCTTCGATTAGTACACCAGCGATCAGGGATTTCCAATAAAAATAAAACTCACTTGATATTTGAGGAGTTCCTGTGTGCTGGACAGGAGAATTGACCGATTTCGCAGTGAATCTCGCAGTCGAGTTCATCCTCGCCACGCTTGCAATCCGCAATGCCGTCACAGAGCCAGGATTTGAGGATGCATCTGCCATCGCGACAGGTGTGTTCGTCTCCGGCGCACGTTCTGTGAGCATCTTTGGAGCCATCTGAGCACTTCTTCTCATCCTCACCACTGTCGCAATCCTGCTCCCCGTCGCATCTCCAGCGATCAGGGATGCACGTTCCGTCGTCGCACTTGAACTCATTGGCTCCGCAGCTGACCACCTTCCGTGGGCATCCCTCCTCGTCACTCCAGTCGCCGCAGTCGTTGTCACCGTCGCAGCGGAAGCGCTGTTGGATGCAACGTCCGCCTGTGTTGCCGAGGCTGCCTGAGGCTCCGCGACAGCGAAACTCTCCCTCGGGACAGAGCGCCATGGGAGACTCGCAGGCCACCTCGTCACTGGCATCGGCACAATCCACGTCGGAGTCACAGCGGAAGGATTGTGAGACACACGCCCCGTCGGCACACTGAAACTCTTGTGGAGAGCAGGCCAGGCGCGTGCAGTTGATCTCATCCGAGTAGTCCTTGCAGTCGTTCTCGCCGTCGCACATCCACGTCTGCTGAATGCAGAGTCCGTTCAGGCACTCAAACTGGTCATCAGAGCAGTTGTGCCTGGCGCCGCAGTGTGTCTCGTCCGAGTAGTCGCCACAGTCGTTGTCGCCGTCGCAGAGCCACCCCTTGTTGATGCAGCGATAGGTTCTTGGGCACATTATGTGCAGCCCAGTGGATTCACACTTTGTCCTGATGTTCTTGACGATCTCCTCGCTGATGTCCTCACACTCCATTTCATCCTCCTGATCCTCACAGTCCGCCGTCCCGTCACATCTCCCGTCCTTGTGGATGCACGAGCAGCTCTCTGAGCACGGAAACTCCCACTCCTCGCACTGCAGATTGCACTCAGTGCCACCTTCGTCACCTCCGCCGCCATTCTTCATAATATCGTCATCGTCATGTTGGATACTGAAGTGCCCCACTTGAGGCACATACTCGTGAGTCTCGCCTGGATGGTGGCCAAAGCTCGACCGTCCCTCGTCTCCTCGGCGCTGCCCAAAGTCCCGCATGCCATACAAATCCACATTCGGGTAGGACCGAGGAGCGCCCATGCTTCGGGCGTTAGCCTCATTGGGCTGATCCGAGTTGCTGGGCGGCGAGTGAGGCTTCGTCACGAGGACTCCGTGAGCCAGCCGGGATGGCTGAAGACTGCCGTCGTCAGGTTCCTTGCGACGCGGCGTGGGCAGAGGACCCGCCGGACGCAGAGATCCCGAGCCGTACATTTGGCGTGCAGCGCCAGTGTTCAGAGGTCTCACTTGACGCCCGTAGTCTGGCCATTCTGTCGGCAACTGATCGTCCGCTATAGCATACGTCCCTGGTGGAAGAAAGGGTTGTCATTTGACCTATTTCACTGGGCGCAATGGAAAATTTGCAGCATTTTCTACATACTTTGGAAAAAAACAAGACATTGAACGCACAGTTTAAAAATATCCTTCCAATTATGCAGTCGTCCATTTTCCCGAAATAAATTAATTTATCGAAGGATGGCTTCAATATTGTGTGGAGGCTTTCAAGGTAAATCCAAGCGAGACTTTCACTCTCTATCGATTCGTAATTATCCCTTTTAGCGGGCTAAATTTAGGGGCCCCGCTTCGGGGCGCGATTTCAGGTGGTTGTCCGCCGGGGAACCGCCTGGATTGCATCAGTGCTGGCGTGTGCGAAAAGGGGCCAAGAAAGGGGGCCAGCGGGGCGGCGGATAGGGTGGATGGCGGAGGCGGTGGGTGGACGTGGGTGAAGCAAGTGGGGCGGCGAGTGGGTGGGAAATCTCTATGAATGAACGGTAGATTTGCGTCGGCGCTGAGTCTGATAATGAAATCGATATCACAGCATCCCACGGGCTTTTCTCAACGAACCACTCTTTTTTGCGCTCCACCATTTGCCCACTCCACGCCCTGTGGAATTTTCACCAAAAAAAGGGGAGGCTGCATTTTGGGGCTCATATGGCGTGGTGGAAAAGGGATGCAGAGAATATATAAAGAAAAATTACTCACTCGTGCCCAGAAGCAGCAACGTGAAGAGATAAATCATTTGTGGAGAAATCTGCAGAGATGCTGAGGAGTTGCGGTGTGGCGTTTTTTTTTCAGGGATGGTCACGCACTTCCTCGAGGTCTCGCCGCGGCACTAAGATGCTCCCTGGGGCGCTGGTGGAGCCATCCCCACGGAAGAAGTAGGTGACACACGCACAAGAGCAAAAGGAAGAGGCAGCCGCTCAGGGGATCGGCAGCCAGGTAAGTCTTCTCTTATAGCTGCGCCTCATGACGGGGCGAAGACACGAGAAAAGGCCACTCCTCACATTTGTCCCGTCAGCCAGATGTTGCCACTGCACTCCGGAGTCCTTCACATCACACACACACTTCACGGGCTGCCCATGCAGACTCCACTGAAGCCACCCACTGCACTGAAAAAGTTGCCACAACGCAAGACTCTCGCCGTGATGAATTTCGGGCACACACCCACTTGAGGAAAATTTTTTCCTCTCCCCTCCCCGTCCGCCCGCAGCAGCTCTTCCCTGCCTCTCTGGACAGGAGAGATTATTTTTACCCCAAAAACGCACTTTTCCGCCACACTTGAGCAATTCCACACACAGTGGCTATTTTTGCCCGCGACACTTCACCATCGGATACGCTCTCCAAAGCGCACACCCAATCTCTGATGGCTCTGTGAGTGTCTCTGAAAATTGGGACGCCACTCCACTGAGAAAACACGCTCGATTGGGCAAGATGCTGGCTTGATACTGATGGGAATTTTCAGAGGACCTGGGGTAACACAGCGCCTCTCGAGTCGCCTTCTCCTCTCCGGAATCCGTAAGGCTGGTCACTGCCACGTGCGCATGCCTCCTGGCTCGGGTGCACAGACTCCCCAGCATCTCGCTCAACAGATATGCCACGCACTCGCTTCCGCAGCATCGCGCGGGGGAGAAGGCGAATAAAGAGCTCATGAAGCGCAGCTAACAAGCCACGAATCTCTCAAGTTATCACTTCAAAACGCAATTACAGAGCATTTTCGCACACTTAAGAACATGGGAAAATTCAATCAGACCTTGTATCTCTGCAGCAGCGCTCGAGATTTCCACTTTCTGCTGCTGCAACATCATTTTGAGCACGACTCTGCGCTCGTATTTCCTCGTTCACCAGCTAAATGCGCATAAATCAGAGGGCGTGAGAGTGAGAGAGAAGTTTCTCCTTGAGTCTGCAGCATCCAATCGATATTGCCCCCACACTGAAGCCCCAACGATTGCGCAAGATCTCAGACATTACTTTGTGGGTCAGGAGTCTTCCCCTCGTCGTTCAACACCTCCGTCATCTTTCCTATCAAATTTTATTCTCCACATCTCAGGCGATAGACTCAGTTATCGCTCAACAACCACTGGCGGAAGAGAGAGTGACAAGATCTCCTTGCGATGCCTTGAGACGCCGAGGGAGAATAAAGATGATTTAACGCTTGAAACTTCATCTATTTGACTCCTTTCAAGTAACTCTATTGCGTGTCCTCTTTGTCCCCTGACTGATTGCTGGTGTCGCCCACACCGCCCACTGCGTCTCTCTTATCATTCCAACACGTAGAAGATCCAGTAGCCCGCATTGAAGGCGAGAAAGCTCACTGGGAAGACCACCCTCGAGTACTTATCAATGATGTTGACATCTTTGATTTTCGGCAGGGTGACTTTCAGCACAGAAGCACCCCGACGGATGGCGTGCAGCATTTTGGGACGGTTCTGAGCTGGGCCTGCGGAGGAGGAAGAAAGCCTTAGGCAAAGAGAGTCACATGGCAAACAAATTATCCCCCGGGCTTTTCCTCAAAATCCCATGAGATTTCCAGAGAGATAAATCGAGTTGAAGAAATGTATATTTTAAAAGATAAATTATATTTTTACACACTGTGACACAAAAGTTCACAAATTTCTCTGGATGGCACAGTGTGAGTGTGTTTGTGTGTGTTGACTTTCTGACAATGGAATATACGGGCGCTTCCAGGCATCTCTTGGGTTATAAATTTGATTTATCATGTTAGACAGAATCATTTGACCTCTGGATATGGGAAAAGGACGAATTTGCTCCCTCACAAGCGCAATATTCATTCACTTTATGGCTCCAATAGAGGCGATGTGGTCTTGGAAAATGGCACTTTTTGCACTCTTCTCTCATACGCAACTTGTTGATTTACTCACCCCGATTTCCGCGATATCGGAGACCACTTCTGCTTGTGCCGTAGGAGCGAGCGATCCGGAAGCTCGGTGGAAACTTGGCAATGTCCACTGAATCCGATCCCACAGCCCAGCCGATGTTTGATGAATTGTGTCGATTCCGCAGCGAGGCAATGGGACTCATTCTCACGTCCTGCAGCTCGATAATGTCCTCGGTGGAGCACGAGGTGGTCTCCGCTTTGGGTGACTTGCCTGCAAACGTGGAAATTGACTCTGAATGGCGCACAATTCATGATGGTCGCGGGATAATTTGGGAAATTGGAATTTTGCATATTTGATGCGTGATCACTGATGTTGTCAGGCCGCTTGGCTGGACGCCAGCGGACGTTCTGGACATACCTGTGACTTTCTGCTCTGCCTCCTTGTTCTTTTTGCACTTCTTTTTGGCTCTGGCACCCCAGTAGGTGTAATTGACGGCGGCGTACTCAAGGAGGGCGGCAAAGACGAACACGAAGCACATCACAAGGTAAATGTCGATCGCCTTCACATAGGAAATGCGTGGCAGTGAACTTCTCACGCCCGTGCTGATGGTGGTCATGGTGAGAACAGTGGTGATGCCCAGCGCCACTCGGGCGCTCGTGGCCTCGTGGTTGATCCAGAATGAGACCCAGGAGAGCATCACGATGAGGATGCTGGGCAAGTAGGTTTGAAAGACGAAGTAGCCAATGTTGCGCTGCAGCTTAAAGGATAGCGACAATCTCTGGTACGTCCCTGTGGCCAGTTCCTCTTTGCGGTCATTCGTCTCGTACCCAATTATGGTGAACTGCGGCAGCTCGGCCTCCTCCACCCCGCGCACAGGGGTTGGCTTCCAGTACATCACAACATCCATCACTGTGTATCCATCTGAAAAGCCACACAATTTCAGAATCAATTGGGCACTGAGATTGGGAATTAATCTCTACAGAGAGCTGTAAAATATTCCAATTCAGAATTTTCAGCATCCTCTATATTTAAGCCAAGGGGGAGATAATACGACAAAATAATACGGAAATTCTTAGATTTCATATTGTATGAAATGATCGTAATGTCCCAGGATTTGTCCATGAATAATTTGTTCTGATTTTCCAGTCTCTTTACTTTTCTTAATTTGCTGCAAAAGAAGTTTTTGAAATGCAAATAGACGAAATATTTTAACACTTCCGCAAAGATGTACACCATTTCCGACCACAATATCTGCCCCCTGATTTAATCTGCACTTTTGCATTCAGGTGGAAAATCTGGGATTCGCTATAGTCCAAAGAATTGGGTCATATGCAAAAGAGATGCTTCGCCGCTGCACGAATTTCAGAGGCAAGAGGTTGAGGATCTGGCATAACTTTGTGTGCTGATAACTCAATTAATGTCCTAGGGATATTTGCCAAGAGTAGCGACAACATTTTCGGATAAATTAACTTGTTTCTTGGCTGGCGTAAAACAACCAATTCAATTTCCTCCTCATTATGGACAAAATATACAGCATGAGACATTCCATATTAAGCAAACAAATCCATTTACTGTTAATTGAAGTCTCTTGACATGTTTCACAGTGCTTTTAGGCATGCAGGAAGAAATTAATGAGCTCACAGATTAACTTAGGAATATACTCACAACTCTCAATTTCAACTGTGCAATTCTGCGAGTCCAGCGGATAGTAGTGCAAATCCATCATGCAGGCCAGCGTCGTGGTGAACCTCATGCCATACGTCACGGCTCCGTCGCCCGCCAGCCGCACCAGCTTGTTCCTCTCCGTCACGTCGTGCAGGAAGCTGTTCTTGTCGTTGGCGAAGAACGTGTCCGGCACCCAGATCTTCTCGGCAAAGTCCCCGGACAGCGTGAGAGCGTCATTCGCCCTGGCCCCATCCTCGGGCTGGCTGAACGCATTGAAGGCCAACCGCTCGTCTCGCCAGTATTGATTCAAGTACATCGTGATGGTATAATCCTGGGTGGTTTATCCTTCTCATTAAGCATCAAATGGACTGGAGAGAGAAAAGGTCTCGCAGTTCACTCACCATGTTAACTTCCGAGATGGCATCAAAGCTGGCAATCGTGAGATCCATGCCCACAAAGAGAGGCTCTCCGCCAAAGTTGGGTCTCAGCCTGATATCATAACCCTCCAGCAGACGTGAAATGGTCTGCGTGACGTTCTCCAAGCGACTGGCAGCCATTTCTCTGAAAGCATAGCTGGGAAGAGGGAAAAAATGGGATTTGTTTTAATGCCATGCGAAGAGGTGAGATGCGAAACTCACCTGATTCTCGTGAAGTAGAGCAGGAAAAGAATGTATCGGAACATTTTCACCCTGACTCTTCCCTCTCCCGGCCCTGATGATGCCTTCGCGCCCTCAGCCAAGGTGCTCCCAGTCGATCAAAATTGACACAGCTGAGTTGGTGAGCAGATAAACTGCCTCAAACTATGCGCCTTTATGAGCATCTATATAGATTTTTTGTGTGCCTCTCTTTCGCAGTTCGTTTAATCTGGATATTTCTCAAGTAAATAAACCACCAACGACCACCCACTTCTTCTTGCCACGCCGCCCAACCCCCCGCACGCCCAGCGAATGGGACGCCCCTGAGGAGCGGAGAGAGGGAGTGGAAAAAGGCAAACGTCTCGGTGAAGGAGGCTGCTGAAACAATGGGGATATAAGTTTATAATGAGGTGACACACGATTGTGTGAAAGTGGAACAAGGTCGTGGTGGTGGAGGATTAAGCAATCCTCCTGGATGAGGGCGGATTTAATCCGTTTCACTCTTCTCTCCCGATCAATCACAGGGAATCTCACTTTTACTACACTGAGCAGACACTATATCGCAAAAAGGTAAATCACAAATTAATTTCCGAAGCAATAGCACCGAAGAATACCACATGAAATCCCTCACCGCCTTTGCACACGACGACGATCCACTCGAATTTTTTTTCCTCCCTGTCAACCCCCAAAAAAGTGATTCGCCGAAATCCGTGGTGTTCAAGTGAACATCTGATTTGTCTCTGGGAGCCGATTCTCTCAGAGACTCGAGACACTTGCCATCGCCATGAGAAGGACTCAATCTCATCCGCCACACTTGCGCATTTCATCCTTCAACACCGAGATTTTCCGCATCGCGCTGATTTTCTCTCCCACCACTTGCGATCCATCAGTCGCCATCTGTGGATTGGTACATTTATTGCCGCTCACCACTCAGGAATCATCCAAATCTCTGGGATTACACATTTCTCCACGACTTCACCCAACCACTCGCATGAATCTCTGCAGATTTCCCACGGATTTGAGAGGGTTAAATTCCAGAGAAATGGAGAGATTTCAGGAATTTTAAAATATTGACCGAGATGAGAAGAAAGGTCCACAAAGTCACCAGATTAAATTACAGGCACACGTCAGTTGGGGAGTCAGAAACATCATTCACAACTCCCAAAACTCACCCAGTAATTAATAGAGCGAATAAACGTACATTCATGGAGTATTCTTCAAGCATAATTATTTGCGGTAAGAAATTCAATTTTCCCAACTCATTCAGCAGAGCAATTTGGCACGAATTTGTGCAATTTCCTATCGAGTCCTGCAATCTTACTTCCTGAAGCGCGTGTTTCAATGTAACGATTAAGTTTATTGAACAAAACAAATATTCTTGAACCTTCGATTCTTTTATGTTATCACACTTTTAGTGGCATTTAGGGAAAATTGCATAAGGCACGCACATAAAATGTGTATTTTCAGAAGATGGTCACTCAAATCCAAAGCTTTTTCGTACCCAGTTTTACCGTCTTCAAATAAAAATATTTGTTTTGACAAATTATGACCCAATTCCCAAAATAAAAAATATTTCCTCCACCAAATGATTACCATGAGAATCAAAGATATTTTCTCGCTGAAACTCGCGAGTGTTTAACTTAAATTGCTAATCGCTGAAGAGCATTGAGAAAAAGTGTGACGCGGTTTTTTTTTCAATCAATATGTGATGTTCTCAATGAAAATCCCCATCGGAAAATGCCACATTTCGCTCTTCAATATTTCACTTTTCATAATCCTCTACACGACTCCCTGAGAGTATTTCCTCATTTCATATGTTTTCCCCCCACCCACTGAGACTGCCGAAATGTACATTGTTCAATAATGTACAAATATTTCGGATATATCAGGATATTTGAATTCTACCTTGCGATTCTCGCAATTTTTGTCATACGCCCCAAAACCCTCGCCTGGCCGCGCAATTTCAGCGATTTCATTTTCAATTCCACGATGCACCTCAAGACTTCCATTTCGCTGCACATGAAGATTATTATTTTCCAAACAACAATACCCATTCTTCTCCAATACGAAAGCGAGGATCAAGCGAGATGATTCAAAATGCACGTGAATTGGTGGATTGAATTGATCTGTGCATTTAAATAAATTAATTTGCTTACATTCTTTGTCCTGTAAATTCACACTATAAAGAGAGTGTTTAATCATTTTAAATAATTCTAACATTAATCTCAAGCTTAATATCACCGGATTTTCCCACTTTCTGCCCACAACTGATATGAATAATGCTGTTTATCCCAACTTTTAATCCCTTATTGTGGAATTTTCAATCAATTTTTTTTTGTTATCTGCTGCAATTTTCCACCCCCGAGAAAGCACTGCAGAATGAATTGCAAAATGAAATTTTTCATTATGTGGCCATCGAGATTGCAGTTAATCGTGATTGGGTGAAATTAGTGGATGGAAAAATGACGTGATGGAGTAAAAATGAAGAGGTCTCTCGAGAATAATTTCTTGCGTTTAAGCTTCCATCACTGCTTAACGTCAGCCTTCCTTAATTGGAAATGTGCTACACACAAATTGAGAGAGATTGAGGGTGGAAAGCTCTTGAGTCACTCCTTGTGAAATCCAGTGTGGCGCATGTGTGAGGGATTTTCCGGCGATGATGGGAAAAAATCATGAGATGCCTTCTCGGCATGAACATGAGTCGCATAACGAACTTCCAACGGACAAGTTGATCTGGTGCTTTAGAGAGAAGTGAAGTGGGCTTTTAGACTGGGTGGGAAAAATAGTTTCATCCCTGCTGCGGGGCTGTTTTTTTTCTTCATCCTTCTGGCCAAACGTGAAACCACCTTTGGCTCGAGGTCGGCAATAGTTTGTGGTTTTTGTGGTCAATCCTCAGCTCTTGAAACGCATCAAATCGTGGCGGAAAAGTTCATTCGGCCGGAAAGTGGCGGTTCAGAAGCACTCCTGAAATATCCCGTGGTATCAAATATTCATCCTTTCTTCCGCGCGACCCCCTAAAATGCTACATTCTTCCATGGTGAGCAGTGATGGTAACAGTAAGTTGTGGTGCTGAGGAGAATCTCTCGACGTGGAATTCTTGCCTGAATCTTCATGGGGCAGAATATTCTCAACATGATCTTAATCTGGTGAGTCCTGCAGAGTGACACAGAGAAAGAGAGAGAGAGAGAGTGGAAAAATTCGCCTGAGGATGTTTGTTTGATGTGAGAATTCAGTGACAATTTTCCACATTCCACATATCTTCCTGGGTGTCCTCCTTCATCTCGAAGGAAATTAGTGGGTTGATGGTGACAGAAATCCTTGGATGAGCTCCACATAAATATGTGTAGCCAACTCATGGATGAACTCCTTCATCCTGTCTTTCAGCTGTGGCAATTTTTCACGCTGACGTGGCTAAAAATTTCCTGTGCATCTTCTCCTTTTTCTGCCCTCTGCACGCCTTCACTCTCACCCATGAAATACACTGTCTAAGGACTTTGACGACTTGCAAAGACACGGAAGTGTTGGGGGTGAACTCTCTCATCATACTTCTGCTCTATTTTCCCGCGTGCTCTCTTCAAGATCATCTTCCACTTTCACTGACTTCGACAATGTCTGCGAGAGCGTGAATTAAGAGAAAAGTTCCTTCACGCTTTTCACATCAAAATCCTCGCGAGGATTTTCCTAAGAAATTATATTTCACACTCTCACTTGAAATGTCATATGTCTTGTATTTCAAAAACTCTCTTAGTTTTCTGTCATGTTTCAAGCTATTTTCCAACTTAAACTCCTGCAAAAGTTGAGTTATAAAGTGAAATTAATAGGAAACGTGAGAAGACGAAGAGTGTTTAAGAAGGATTCAAATTTCATGACTTTTGTCTTCACTTTTTGATATTGACAGAGTTTCAAACTCTTCTTCAGTTTCTGATATTATTTATTATACGTGAATTGTTATATTTTGCCTTATTGATTTTGTGTTGTGGTTCATTAAAACTTCGCAACATCATTGCGAGTGACTGTCGAAGCGAAACACTCTTAATTATCGCTTTGACATTCAACATGGTGAGCAGAAAAGCTCATTTCTAGACATGCCATAACTGATAACTATGTTAACTTATGTTCTAACTAAAATTCCCAGCATTTGCAAAAGTATTTGCTTAATTTATCGCAATAAATTCTCACAAAACTAATACATCACAGTTAATTTCATCAATAAATTTCATATTAATGCGATATTGAAGCAATCGACGAAGGAAATGACAAAAGCAAACTCTTGTTTCTTTTCAGTCTCTTCCTTATCGCGTCCCATCTCGTCATCCAAGGGCCGTCCTTTATGATTTACGAACGCTTCCCTGAGCATCGTCTCGGTCTGACACGATCAGGTGCAAATGACACACTTCCATCTGCAAAACATCTCAATCAGTATCCAATCGAGCGGTGAGTAGAGTTTCTATACAGTCTTATCCTCTTCACTTTGCAGCTCTTCTGAGAACTTTAAGTGCACACATAATTACTCTTCTTCCCTCTTTCAATGCCTTTCCTTGCAATTGCATCAATTTTTCCCAGTGAAAAGATAACCGTTCAGTGCTCTTGTGTTTTTCTCAAATCTCCTCTCGGGTTATAAAAGCGAGAAACACTAAACACTTCCTCATCAGTTCACCCAAAGAGTTCGTGATAGTGCCGGAGAGATGAAGTTCTTGTGGTTTTTCTGCTTTATACTCTGTCTGTTGGGCATCTCAGCGAAATATATCCCCTTCGGATATCCATTCGCTCCTCAATGCCCGCCAGCGCTGCCTCCAGTCCTTCCCACATGGGTTGTCGTGACCCAGACGCCCTATCAGACGCCCACCGAGGCGCCCACCAAGGCGCCCAGTGCCGAGGATGAGGAGATAGAAGTGTTCGACACGAAAAGTCCCATCACTCCTCTCCAAAGCGACAAGAGCACAACGGCTTAACACTCTTTCTCTCCCTCCACATTGCCTGCAGTCCCTCCAAATTTCCGTGAACATTTTTCCTTCTAGTCATCGGTCGCTCCAGGGGCAGCCCATTCATCATCCAAACATCCACGTGTATCCATTTATCAAAGCACTGCCAAAGAAGCGCACATCTGTGGACGTGAGCAAGAACATCTCGATGCTGCTGGAGAATCTGCTCAAGAGCTATTCCAACTCGCAGCTGCCGACGCACGGCCAGGGCGTGCCCACTGTGGTCAAGACGAACATCCTCATCCGCAGCATGGGACCCGTGTCCGAGCTGGACATGGACTACTCCATGGATTGCTACTTCCGCCAGTACTGGCGCGACTCGCGCCTCAGCTTCCAGGGCCCCATCAAGAGCCTCTCCCTCAGCATTTCCATGCTGTCGCGCATCTGGAAGCCCGACACGTACTTCTACAACGGCAAACAATCCCACGTGCACACCATCACAGTGCCCAACAAACTCCTGCGCCTCAGCCAAGAGGGTGACATTCTTTATTCCATGCGACTCACAATCAAGGTGAGTACTTTCTCAATTTTTAATTGTCCTCTTCATTTTGCCCTCTTCTTTGCCAACACAAAACACAAATTAATTTCGAGTGCTCCTTCACCTTTTGAGAGTCGCTCTTCTTGCTAATTTGCTTGATTGCACAGGCCTCCTGTCCGATGGAATTGAAGAACTTCCCCGTCGACCGTCAGTCATGCCCACTCATTCTCGGCTCCTACGCTTACACATCTCGCCAGCTGGTCTACGAGTGGCTCACCAGCGACTCCGTGGACTTCAATCCCGGCATGACGCTCAGCCAGTTCGATCTCATCGACTTCCCGCAGAGCAACTTCACCTTCATCCGACGCGAGGGCGAGTTCTCAGTGTTGCAGGTGTCCTTCAATATGCAGCGCCACGCTGGCTACTTCCTCATTCAAGTCTACATTCCCTGCATCCTCATCGTCGTGCTGTCCTGGGTGGGATTCTGGATCCACCGAGAGGCCACCAGTGATCGCGTAGGACTGGGAATCACAACAGTGCTCACACTGTCAACCATCAGCCTGGATTCCCGCAAAGATCTGCCGAAAGTCAGGTAAACACCACGTAAAAATGTTCGATTTTATGGAAAGTGTCGCGGACGAGAGCGCGAAGGACGTTTTCGACGAATTGGTTCTGATGTCTGCTTCTAAGATCCAATAAGAATTGTTTCCTAAGGTTCCTCCAATCTATCTTTCTCCAGATATGCCACTGCTTTGGATTGGTTTCTCCTCATGAGCTTCTTCTACTGCATCGCCACTCTTTTGGAGTTCGCGGGCGTGCACTATTTCACCAAAGTGGGCAGCGGAGAGATTCCACTGGACGAGGACGAGTGGGAAGACATTGGAGAGCCAGTGGAGAAGATCGGCGGGAGACTCTCCATCCAACTAGACTCGCCACAGCGACTCCAGGCTGCGCGGCGCAGATCTTCTCTCATCTGCCCGATTTACAACGACGCGACGCTCTTCAAGCCGGCATGCTCCAAAGTCTCCACAATGGAGCGCACGACGCAAACGGATCAGCCCAAAGCGCCCAGATGGAAGCAACTGTGGCTCTGCATCTTGGGCGATGACAAGTTCAGGCGCATGAGACAGCGAGAAGCCACCCGGAAGGACAATTCCACCAGGCATGTCAACAGCGTCTCTCTGATTGACCGCGTGGCCAGAGTTCTCTTCCCGCTGTCTTTCGGCGTGTTCAACCTGATGTACTGGCTAGTCTACGTGACCTATCAAGAGGATGACTTCCCCTGGACTACAGTTAATTGAATCTCTAGGCATTTAATCAGTCAAAACACGAGTTATTATTAAGGGCCTTTCGGCGCAACATCGTTACATAAATTAGGCAGGAAATAGAGGTGATGAAGGCAGAAAATGTGTACTCACTCCCCTGCCGGCTCCTCTTCGCACTCCTTAGCGTCCTCCGGAGACTCCTCGGCTTTCTCTTCCTCTCCGTTCTCCTCCAGCATTTCCGTCAAAACTCCCACCAGTTCCTGCGCTTCAGCCAGCATTTGACGCGAGACATCAAGTTCGGCGTTTAGGGAGGCTATTTTGCCGTGAAGAGCTTCATTCTCACTCAGAGCATCCTCCAAGGCCACGCGGCGCTTCTCAGCCAAAATCTCCCAATACTTCTGACTTGGTCCGGCTGTCGAGGTCAAATCTGACTCGGTGATCTGTTGAACGTCACAGCTCTCCTCTGAATCGGTCTGAACGTGTTGCGTTGCTGTTGACGGCTTCCGCTTCTTCTGGACAATCTTCTCCTCATCAAATTCACTGGAAAGCAAACACAGGATTAGAAAGTCGTCCACAGGAAAAGACAAGAGTGTTCTTTCTTACGCCTTCTGTTTCGTGAGAGCCTCCTTTCCGGCAGACAAAATGGGTCGCCCAACGAGGTTCTCTTTGTCTACGGCATTCTTCTGGAGGATCTTGAAGGTGCGCCGGCTGTTTTTGAGATTCTCCTGGAAAAATCCATGAGGCCAAAGTGAGGTTAGGTAAAAAGAATCTATTTGATTGTCCGCTTTTCAGATGAAAAATCTCAATATACCTGCTGCACATCTTCGGATTCCACTTGGATAAACACTTTATTAGAGCTTGCACTCATTTTTCGTCTGCTTTGCGGGTAAAATAGCGATAAAAGCGAAGGAAACCAAACACCGACCGCCAAAACAACTTTTTGTTTATGTGGAACTCGTGGAATGCAAGTGTGGAAACCGTTTTCGAAAATAGTCGATGGGATTTTTCGGCTCACTTCTCTGTCGAACTGTTCAAATATTTCACTAAACCGTTTGAATCCTTGAATTCAGAGTTAAAGAAATGGGTACTTTTAATTAAGAAGTACAATTAATCGCTAAATAGTCTTATGAGAAAAGATGGGTTGTATTCTGAAAATGATCTAGAATAATTTAGTGAATATTCTGTCTAAAAATACGCTCAAATAATTGAATTTTTGGAGTTTGTCAGTGTTGGTATTTTTATTGTTATTAAATTGACTTAAAAAAGTTGAATTCTAGAATGTGAGTATAACTATTACTTATAAAAATGCGGTGAAAGTGTGACAAATACGACAATTAGATGATCTCTATGTTAAGGTAATTTGCTTCTAATGATAAAGAAATCATCTGCTTTTTATGTGTTGCTTTTTAGATAAAATAAAGAAGATAAAACGATCATGACAATGATGAGTATAGTGAAAAATATTTCTTGGAAAAACTTTAAGAAAAACTTTTATTTGTCATAAAACGTATTTTTCAGTTCACTTTAGCAACAGCAGAAGCTCTATAAAAGCAGATTCTGGACTGAAATTCACTCAGTTTGTTGTAGTTAGTGAAACAGTGATTGAAATAAAGATGTTAGTGACAAAATATAATAGTGAAGAGAGAATTTGGAGTGGCGGTGATGATCTGAGTTCTCTGTTTAGTGAGAAAGTTACTCTTGGCCGTGCTGCGCTTTATGTTCTCAACTTGAATCCTGAGAAAATTTTCCAAATTAGTGCTGACGACGGAAGCAAACGGACGAACGGCGAAATCTACCAATCGACGCTGAAGATCGCCTTCAATCTTCAGAAGTTGGGCTGCGCGAAAGGCGACGTTGTTGGCTTCGTTTGCAGAAACAGCCATGATTTGACTCCGGCATTCTTAGCAGCTCTTTTCCTTGCTGCTCCCACAAATGCTCTGGATGTGGCTTTCTCCAAAAGTTAGAATTTACATTGAAAATAAAATCGAGAATGTATGTTAGTGATTCATCTACTGACATTTCGTGTTTCCAGATGAAATCCGGAACATGTTCAAAACCACTTCACCCAAATTCGTGTTCTGCGATCACGACGTGACGAGAACTGTTCAGAAAGCGCTCTTGGAACTCGGCAGCAACGCCACAATCATCGTGATTGGACAGAAAGATGCCGATTTCACGCACATCGACGACCTTCTTGACGATAAGGGCTCTCAAATGGAGATCATGTGAGTTGAACAAGTGATAATGGAAAGTGTGTGAAGTCAATAACTGGCTGATCTTTTAGGACACTGGCAATGAATCCTCCGGAAGTTGACAAGGATTCCGTGGCAGCAATTCTGTGCTCCTCTGGCACAACAGGACCATACAAAGGAGTGATATTTTCTCATGAGAATATGATACGCCGTTGTCAAAATTTTCCTTTTGCCAATTCAACAGATATTTCGTTCACTTTTAGTTCCATTTATTGGATAACTGGGTATCTTGTGAAGTTTATAGGCATCTTTTTGGGTGCAACAAGAATAATAACAGCAAAACCCTTCAGCCCTGAACTGCTGATATCCATTGTGAAGAAATGTAAAGTAACAATATTACTCACAACTTCAATGTTTGTAGCTCAGCTTGTCAATTGTCCTGCATTGGAGAAGGACTCTTTGGCAAGCGTTAAGAACTTCCTTTGCACTGGAAGTTTAATAAGCGAGGAATTGTGCAACAAAATACGACCATTCATTGCAAATGGTCATTTCACTATTTTCTACGGAATGACTGAGATTGGAATCGTTTCTGCTCAGTTTTTACCGACTTCTAAACTTTCGGTAGGACGTTTAGCAGCGGGTGTGACTGCTAAAATCCTGGATAAATATGGACAGCAATTGAGAATCAATGAAGATGGAGAGATTGTTGTTAAGACTCAAACACAATTTCAGGTAAAAAATCTATTAATTCCAAGCGCGTATTGTTTTTTACTTAAATTCGTTTTTCTTACCATTCTAGGGTTTTTATAACAACTTAAAGGCCACCAAAGAAGTCCTGGACAAGGACGGATGGATTCACACCGGTGATCTTGGTCATTTCGACGAGGACGGACTCCTGTTCATCACGGGCAGGAAGAAGGACGTGATGAAGTACAACAACTTCCACGTTTCCTCTTCCGAACTCGAGGAAATCCTGGAAAAACATCCCGAAGTTGGTCAAGTTGTAGTCGTGGGAATTCCTGATCCTGAATATATAGAACTTCCCGCGGCTTTGATTGTTCGAAGAAATGGGAATTTAGTAACCGAGGATGAATTGTTAAAATTGGTGGAGAAGAACGTGTCGGACTTCAAGAGGCTTCGAGGAGGAGTTTTCTTCGTCAATGAAATTCCAATGACGCCGTCTGGGAAGATTAGGAAAGTAAAAGTGGAGGAATTGGCAATTGAACTATTTAGATTGAAAAATAGAAAATAGTTTTGTATTTATTAGACTTCTATGACCGAAAGTGAAGAAATATTTAGGTTAAAAGTGAAAATAATGCTGCACTTGGCCCAGTTTTAATTTTAATGATAACCATGAGAATGTAATTAAAAATCTGCGTAATTTAATGCGTTTTTTTCCTTCAAAAAGCGCTGAATTATTTTTTTTATTTATGCAAATGACAACAGCAGAGGTTAAAAAAGAATGTGAAATGAAAGGCGTTTTATCAATAAATTGTGTATTGTGAAATGAAGCTGAAACATTCTATAGTATCTGTGAATTCGTTTGGTTACTACTGAAGACGTTAGCTATTAATAATTCTTTAATCTAGATCTTCTCAGATACATTTCAATTAGATAATTGCGATTAGCAGCCAATCTAATTTGTTGTACAGCAATATAAGGACTGGCTTCATGCTCTTGAATAGTTAGTATCAAATTGCATCGCCATGGCGATAATTCGAAGACTCGGTGGCGTTTTGAGTGTCCAGAAAATAATTATATTTCCCAACTTTGATATCTTCTTTGCGCAGAGAAGCACAAAAGTTTTACTTACCTTCATTATGAGAATTTCTCTTTGTACACTAGTTAACATTTATTGCATGTATTATGTATTCAAAGTGGGTGAAGGAGTAGACTTTAAGATAGACTCGATAAGTCGAGTTCCAGATACTGTAGGATTGTATGATAGAATGTCTAATAAATTTGGTGTTCTCGTATTGAGTGTCGTTAGTGTCCTTAGAAATAGGAAACATTTGAATTTAATTTTGAGCTTAGAAAAACTGGAGACGGAAATTAAGAAATTCTTGACTAAAACACTAGCAAAAAGATCTTGGCGAATTAATTTGCAAGTAATCTTTGTACTTCTATATAATACATTCGTAATATCAATGTTTTACCCTGTTCTTGTGCAGTTTTATAAAAATTGGATTTCTAGTTTTGAACACTTCTTCTTCATCATTATTTCGGCTCTTAATGACTTTTTCATCATTTATCTAAGTAATTTTATTAGAATGAACGGAGTTAATACGTCAAATTTAATTGTTATTCTCAAGAAGAATTCCGATAAAATACAGCCTGAACTCTTCTATTTGGTCCATAAGTATTTACATCTTCATGAAGAAATGAATAAAGTGATGGGAATTTATTTCTTCATATCTTTCATTCATCGTCTCTTAAGAGCCTGTCTTACAGTTTATTTTGCATTTTACCTCACTTTCGATGTTACGGACTGGATTACGGAGAACAATGATATCAGCATAAAATATGTCGTAGTCCTAACAAGTTCCATTTTAGCTTTTGCACAAATTTTCTTTCTGGCTTTTCTGTCCTGTTCAGGAGGATCTCTTCAACGGAAAGTTTGTTCTCAATTTTCTACTGAACATTTCTACAAATGATAGTTATAGTAAAATTTATCATCAATTCCAGATTAGTGGATTATTTGACATATTTAATACTTGGATGAACGAGGAAGAATACTTCAGTGAAAGCAGAATCACGCTTAAAGGAAAAACTATTCAAGCTATTAAATTTAATTCACAACAATTCCAATTGAGAAAGTTTCACCAAAATACTGAAATTTCCGCTTCAGGATTATTTGAAATAAATTATTCGAGGATATTTTCGGTGAGTATCTTTATTATTTTCACAAGTATTTACTCATTACTATTAAAAGATTTCCATTATACAGACACTCTCATCTATAGTTACGTATTTGGTGGTGTTTATCCAGTTCAAACAACTTGAGGACGAATTTACTGCGTCACAAAACTTTATCTACTATCAACTCTTCTCGGGAAATGCTACTCGGAATATTGTATTATAGTGAACATTAAATAAATCATTGTAATTGGAAGGCTGATGAGTTAATTCGTTTCAAGAGGCACAACAAAAATCGATAAATACCTCAATATACGCTTTCATTCATCCAAATGAGGCACACCCACAAATATGGCACGCTGACTGATTACAACTTGTGGAAAAGGCGAAAGATTTTCCAAATGGCTAATCAAACACGTGTTCAAATAAATAATTGCTCGATCATCAACCATAGAGTGGCTATTTTGATAACAGATAATAACATTGGAATTAGAGTAAAGCTCACCGTGTTCACCTCTATCTGACTATGCAATGGTGAGAGCATGATTTTAGCTTTGTGGAAGATATCTAATCTTATCAAGAGACTATAAGAGCAGCGAACCGTTTCATGAATCGTCAGTATTCCAACAATTCTATGGGCATCAACAACAGTAGTCAGAAAGGTGAAAAAATGATGTCGACAAAGTATGACAGTGATAGAAAGATTTGGAGTGGAGATGTTGGTTCGACTCCCTTGTTTCACGATAATGTAACCTTGGGACGTTCTGTGCTTTATCTTCTCAACTTGAATCCTGAGAAGGTTTGCCAAATTAGTGCTGACGACGGAAGTAAGCGAACGAACGGTGAAATCTACCAATCGACGCTGAAGATCGCCTTCAATCTTCAGAAGTTGGGCTGCGCGAAAGGCGACGTTGTTGGCTTCGTTTGCAGAAACAGCCATGATTTGACTCCAGCATTCTTAGCAGCCTTCTTCCTTGGAGCTCCGCCAAATGCTGTCGACGTGGCTTTTTCGAAAGGTAAAACATATAATCTTCCATGCCAGTGAAGCTTAAACCAATATGTAATTTGTGATTGCAGATGAAATTCGGAACATGTTCAAAACCACTTCACCCAAATTCGTGTTCTGCGATCACGACGTGACGAGAACCGTCCAGAAAGCGCTCTTGGAACTCGGCAGCAACGCCACAATCATCGTGATTGGACAGAAAGATGCCAATTTCACGCACATCGACGACCTTCTTGACGATAAGGGCTCTCAAATGGAGATCATGTGAGTTGAACAAGTGATAATGGAAAGTGTATCAAGGTATTAATTGTCAAATTTTATAGGAAATTGTTGCTGAATCCTGCGGAAGTTGACAAGAGATCTGTGGGTGCAATCATTTGCTCCTCCGGCACTACTGGCTTTCATAAAGGAGTGGCTGTGTCTCATAAATCCTTACAATTAACATTCTGTAACCCAGGAATGGGTCTTTTCGTCGGACCAACTGATAAAATGTTTAGTTTCAGTTCACTTTATTGGCTTTCTGGATACACTGCAATGCTTATGAGCATTTTCTCTGGTGTGCCGAGAATCATGACGACAAAACCTTTCAGTCCTGAACTTCTTCTATCTATTGTGAAGGAGTACAAAGTGTCAATGCTGATCACTCCTCCAGCACATGCAGCTCAACTCCTCAATTGTCCTCTCCTTGAGAAGGACTCTTTGGCAAACATAAGGAACTATATGTGCGGAGGAAGTTTAGTAACCGCTGAATTAAGAAACAGGATACAGCCTTATCTTCCCAACGGACTGTTCACTATTGGTTACGGAATGACTGAAGTTGGAGGAGGAGTTTCCGCTCAGTTTCTTCCATCATCTAAAACATCAGTGGGAACTTTGGGAGCAGGAGTGACTGCTAAAGTCCTGGATGAAGATGGACAGCAATTGGGAATAAATGAAGACGGAGAAATTGTCGTTAAAACTCAAACACAATTTTTGGTAAAAATCTGTTTTTACAAGCGCTTATTATTTTTCTAATGCCACTTTCCCTCTCCTTTTAGGGCTATTACAATAACTTGAAGGCCACCAAAGAAATCCTCGACAAGGACGGATGGATTCACACCGGTGATCTTGGTCATTTCGATGAGGACGGACTCCTGTTCATCACGGGCAGAAAGAAGGACGTGATGAAGTACAACAACTTCCACGTTTCCGCTTCCGAACTCGAGGAGATCCTGGAAAAACATCCCGGAGTTGGTCAAGTTATAGTCGTGGGAATTCCTGACCCTGTTTTCACGGATCTTCCGGCTGCTTTGGTTGTCAAAAAAAATGAATCGACGGTGTCAGAAGAGGAATTGATTGAATTGGTGGAGAAGAACGTGTCGGACTTCAAGAGGCTTCGAGGAGGAGTTTTCTTCGTCAACGAAATTCCAATGACACCATCTGGAAAGCTCAGGAAAGTTAAAGTAAAAGAATTGGCCATTGAGTTGTTCAAGGCTAAACATTCTGCGAAAAATGGAATATAAAATTTGTTAAAATAAAATGATTAGTCAAGTGATTAACGTGCTTAGTTTAATATCAAATCGTTAGAACAATTCGTATGTGAGATAGTAAATGTCATGATAGAAAATAAAATTATCAAGCAATAGCGGGGGAATATATGTTTACGTATGTGTTAATGACATCTTGCACAATGATAAGAAGAAAGTAGGACTTAACTGAACGATAATGTGATGGCTTTTGATTGGCGGCATTTCAGATAAAATATCTCTTGGGAAAGGTATAAGAGTGGAAAATTTCTTGATTTTTTCTTAGTAACCCAAATGAACCTCAAAGTGAAGTGAATAATTCCGTTTAGATTCCTACTTAACAAAGCAAAATGGTGAATACGATATTTGACAGTGAAAAGAAAATTTGGAGCTGTCCAGATAATCCAAGTCCGCTCTTTCATGAGAAAGTTACCCTTGGTCGTGCTGTTCTTTATCTATTAAATATGAACCCTGAGAAGGTTTGCCAAATTAGTGCCGACGACGGAAGTAAGCGGACGAACGGCGAAATCTACCTATCGACGCTGAAGATCGCCTTCAATCTTCAGAAGTTGGGCTGCGCGAAAGGCGACGTTGTTGGCTTCATTTGCAGAAACAGCCATGATTTGACTCCAGCATTCTTAGCAGCTCTCTTCCTTGGAGCCCCGCCAAATGCTCTGGATGTGGCTTTCACAAAAGGTTAAATTCTATTGCAATTTTCACATATATATTCAGTATAGTATCTTTTTCTTTCCTTTATAGAGGAAATAGTTCACATGTTTAAGACAACATTGCCTAAATTCGTCTTCTGTGACTATGATAATGTGATGAAAGTACAACTCTCTCTATCACATATCGACTCTGATGCCAAGATTATCGTAATCGGACGAAGAGCACCAAATTTCGCTCACATTGAAGATTTGTTGGACGATGGTGGAAATCTAATGGACATCTTGTGAGTAATTATTATTTTATACACTTAATGTGCTGACTTCAGTATCCTTTTAGGAAGCTGGCAGTTATTGCCCCTGAGGTGGACAGAAAATCCTGTGGAGCGATTATTTGCTCATCCGGAACTACGGGTCTGTCAAAAGGTGTGGCAATATCACATGAGGTCCTACAACTAATGTTCACCAGAATTTCAATGCGTCAGTTTGTCGAATCGACCGATTGCGCGTTCAATTTCAGTTCCCTTTATTGGTTATCAGGATACATAATCTTGTTTATGGGTCTCTTTATGGGCATCCCAAGAATCATCACGACTAAACCTTTCAGCCCTGAATTGTTCCTGTCAATCGTGAAGAAGTACAAAGTGTCGATCTGCTTTTCATCACCTAGTAATGTTAGCGAATTGCTAAATTGCCCACAGCTGAATAGGGACTCTTTGGCGAGCATAAAAGGCTACTTGTGCTCAGGAAGTCTGATCACTAATGAGTTGTATAGCAAGATTCGCAATTATCTCACCAACGGTCTCTTGCTTATGGGTTATGGCATGACTGAGTGCGGAACGGTTTCGTTCAATAATCTGCCTTCAGATAAGGTGCATGCGGGCCAATTATCTTTTGGAGTACGAGTGAAAATTTTAGATAAACCAGCAAAGCAACTAGGAATCGGGGAAGACGGTGAAATTTGTCTGAAATCGCCCACTCAATTTTTGGTACGAATGTCAAAGAATAATCCAAGACAGTTTACTTATTGCTTGGGCCTTTTTCCCAGGGTTACTATCGAAGTCCTGAAGCCACTGCCGAAATCCTGGACGATGACGGTTGGATTCACACCGGCGACATTGGTCACTTCGACGAGGACGGCAACCTCAATATTTCTGGCCGATGCAAAGATATGTTTAAATACAGCAATTATCATATCTCTCCGGGTGAGATTGAAGAAATTCTTGAATCACATCCAGAAGTCCTGCAAGCTGTCGTGGTGGGAATTCCTGATCCTGTTCACATTGATCTACCAGCTGCGATTGTTGTCCGCAAAAGTTCTTCTGTGTCCGAAGATGAACTCATCAAGTTGGTTCAAGGTCGTGTGATGGACTTTAAGAGGCTTCGCGGGGGAGTTTTCTTCGTAAATGAACTCCCAATGACGGTGTCTGGGAAGATTAAGAGAGCAGAAGCTACGAAATTGGCAATTGAATTGTATAGTAAAAAAATTGTGTCCAAATTATAAATAAACACACTCTTAACATTCAATGCTCATTGTGAAACAGCTGTTTCGGAACCAAAATAGAGACGATTTCAGCTCGTGCGATAACTGAGCAAATAAATGGAATGATGAGAGAAAAATCGTATTTACATAATGACAATGTACAATCAGTTAGAGAAGATGATAAAGGGAGGATTGTGCATTCATCCACTCAGTTCTTACTAGTTGATCATCGAGTGCGAATCGTTCTGTCCTCATTGCAAAATGAATAATATTTTCAAGTCAACCATTTTCGATGAGAAGACCAAAATATGGAGAGGAAGTCACAGACCTATAATATTCGATCCATCCATTTCTCTGGGAAGAGCTATTCTATTTGTTCTCAACAGAAATCCGGACTTTGTGGCTCAGATCAGTGACAATAGCGGAGTTCGGAAGACAAACAGAGAGATTCACGACGCAACCCTGAAAATCGCGGTGAATCTGCAGAAGATCGGCTGCGCCAGAGGCGATGTTGTGGGATTTGTGTGCAGGAATCATGAAAATCTCGCTCCAGCGGTTTTAGCATCATATCTCATTGCAGCTCCAGTGAATGCTCTTGATTTCATGTTCTCAAAAGGTTGATTAGCAAAAAGAAATTATTTTACTGTGCGTGATTTCAATGTGAACAACATTTTAGATGAGATAATCCACATGTTTGGAATTACGCGTCCCAAATTTGTGTTCTGCGAAAAGGATAAGTTTAATGTCCTGAAAGATGCGCTGAATGTACTGAAGAGCGACGCTAAAATCATACTGATGGACGAGAAAGTGAGTGGTTTTCTGCACATGGAGAATTTGCTTGAGGAATCTGCTGACTTGGAAGATTTCTGGTAAGACAAAATATCACATTCCTCTACTCACTTTGCATTATTTGATCTTACGCTTCTGTTCCAAGTCCTCCTGACGTGGATGACAAGACGTGTGCAGTAATTTTGTGCTCTTCAGGCACAACAGGAATGCCCAAAGGAGTCTCGTTAACACACAGGCATCTTCAGTTCGTTGGAAGCTACGGTTTCTTTGATGATGTGCTGACGCCTTGCTCAATGATTTGCTTCAGTTCTCTCTATTGGTACTCTGGCTTAGCAACGCTTCTAACGACTAGTCTTATGGGAATCACGCGCATCATTACAACTGATCCGTACACGCCAGATCTCTTCTACTCCATGCTGACGAAATATCGCCCTGAATTCATATTTTCCGCCCCCGTTCAGCTGTCTGACATCCTCAGTCATCAGCTCTTGGACGAAAACACTTTGCAGTCCGTCAAGTATATTTACAATCATGCTTTCATATCTGACTGAAGAATGAGAGTGAAAGGTCTTTTCAGGTGCTACATCTGCGCTGGAAGTACTGTCCATGAGCCACTCTGGGAGAAGGCCAAGAAGTACTTGACAAATGGAGACATTTACAACGGCTATGGAATGTCTGAAGTCGGCTTTATTTCTCGTGAGCCTGTAAAAACGCCCAGATATTCCGTGGGAAAGCTAATAGCCGGACTTGAGATGAAAATTATCGATGAGAATGGTGAACAATTGGGAATTGGACAAGAAGGAGAGTTTTGCATGAGGACAAAAGATATGTTTCTGGTAAAGATTACTGGACAAACCACAAACATTTGCTGTAAACATCTCTCTTGCAGTGCTATTACAACAATCCTGAGGAAACAGTCAAGATCTTGGACAAAGATGGATGGGTTCACAGCGGAGATGTTGGATATCTCGATGAAGATGGACTCCTGCACATTATCGGGCGAAATAAGGACATCCTGAAATACAATAACTATGTCGTGTCTCCTGTGGAAGTTGAAAACTTGATCCTGACAATTCCCGGAGTTCTTCAGGTATCCGTTGTGGGTGTTCCTCATCCGACTCACATTGATCTCCCAGCAGCTGTAGTTGTTCGCAAGATGGACTCTTCTGTCACTGAAGCAGAGATCTGTTCTGTAGTCGAGAAGAGATTGAGTGACTCGAAACGCCTACGCGGTGGAGTTTACTTTGTCGACAGTCTTCCTTTGACCCCATCTGGGAAAGTTAGGAAGAATATCGTGAAGGAAATGGCTAAGAAATTCTACAATGAGAGAAATGTCTAAAATTTCAACGTAAATATATGAAACTAGCAAAAATCTTGTGAAAAAAATAACTAAAAAAATGTTGTAATAACAATAACGACATATGATCATTTAGCAAGCTAAAATAAAATGAAAACTGTTTTAATTAAGTCAAAAGCTTTTTATTCTTCTCTTCGTATTTACAATAATAAAATGTTATTGTGTTCTTTATGGATGTTTTGATGTTATAAAGGCAGGTAATTCTCATTTGTATCATAAGTTCACGAATGAACCTCAAGCGTGATAGAATATTTCTACGAGATTAGATCCAAATGGCGTCAACATCGTTCGACAGTGTTAATAAGATTTGGAGCGGGGGTGTTGGTTCGACTCCCTTGTTTCACGATAATGTAACCTTGGGACGTTCTGTGCTTTATCTTCTCAACTTGAATCCTGAGAAGGTTTGCCAAATTAGTGCTGACGACGGAAGCAAGCGGACGAACGGTGAAATCTACCAATCGACGCTGAAAATTGCCTTCAATCTTCAGAAGTTGGGCTGCGCGAAAGGCAACGTTGTTGGCTTCGTTTGCAGAAACAGCCACGATTTGACTCCGGCTCTTTTAGCAGCATTTTTTCTCGGTGCTCCTGTGAATGCTTTAAGAGAGAGCTTCTCGAAAGGTTTGATCTATTTTTTGTTTCAAGAAATCCTGAGATAATTAATTTCCATTCACAGATATGATTACTGAGATATTTCAAATTACATCGCCTAAATTCGTCTTCTGTGATGATGATGTCGTGGATAAGGTTGAAAAATCTCTTTTGGAATTGAATAACAAGGCAACTATCATCGTTCTTGGACAGAGAATTGATAACGCGCTACATATCAGTGATCTTCTAGTGAATAACATAAATCAATCGGATATTATGTAAATTTATCTACAGTGTTTACGTGTTAAGAAATAGTGAAAAAATTTTGTCTTTCAGGAAGATGATCATGCATCCGCCAGAAATTAGTAAAAACGCTTGTGCACTTATTCTCGTGTCGTCAGGAACCACTGGACATTCTAAGGGAGTTTCTATGTCTCACAAAGCTCTAGAATTAATGATGTTTAAGCAATTTCTACATGAAGATGTCGGACCGGCGAAGTGTACTCTGTTTTCTTTATGCCCAATGTTCTGGATAACTGGGTATTTAGCATTATTTGGGAGCATTTTTGCGGGTTGGCAGAGAATTATTACAGCAAGGCCGTCCAATGCAATGATTTTGGTTAAGATTATAAAGGATTATGAAGTTTCTTATCTCCTCTCAGTGCCTTTTATTGCTACTGAAGTGGTTAAATTGAATCTGGAGGAAAACAGTTTGCCCAGCATTCGAAAATGTATCCTTTGTGGCGGTCATGTGACCAGTGAATTAGCTGAGAAGTTTAAGGCACTAATGCCAAATGGTGTCTTGAATGTTAGATACGGAACAACAGAGACTGGGAAAATTGCTTGCATGAACAAACCGGCGAACAAGAATGGAACTGGCTTCCTAGACAAAGATGTCATGATTAAGATCTTGAACGACGACGGAAAGTCACTTGGCATTGGAGAAGCGGGAGAAGTTTGTATTAAAACAGGGACACAATTTCTGGTAATGAAACTACAACAATGGTAGTTTTTCAATACTTATGATTTTTCTCGTGATTATCAGGGCTATTTTGGCAATCCGAAAGCCACAGCAGCGATTTTGGACGAAGATGGTTGGATTCACTTGGGAGACATTGGTTATTTTGACGAGGAAGGACTTCTCACTTTAACTGGTCGTAAGAAGGACATCATCAAGTATGACTATTTGCACATCAACCCAAAGGATATTGAGCAACTCCTGAAGCGGCATCGCGGAGTTCTCGAAGCAGTTGTTGTGGGAATTCCTGATTCCGCTTCCAACGATCTTCCAACTGCGATCGTCGTTCGCAAGGACGACGCGGTGACTGAAGAGGAACTTGAAAAGTTTGTTCAGGACAATGTGGAAGACTTTATGAGACTTCGTGGAGGAGTTTTCTTTGTCGAGAAACTTCCAGAGAGTAAAGAAGCGATCAGAGAATTTGCAATTAAGTCCTACGAGATAAAGAAAAACCCTGAAAGCTCATAATTTTGTGGGGAGTTTTAGACAAGGTCACGTGAGAACGGTTAAAGGTTTTAATGGTTTGTAGGCTCTGGAATTTCATTCACAAAATAAATCTCTGGAAAATTTAAAGAGAAACTCGAATATTTTTTTAAGTATGGAAAAATTACGTTTATTTGTGTAATTAATCTCCTTGATCTACATTTCTCACGATTTTTTCCGTTTCACTGTAACTTTTTGCACAGGATCTCTCAACTTAATGAAATATTATAAGAAAGAGTGTAAAAATCTTTATTTGTGAAATAATTCATAAAATTTTCCATAACAACTAGTTTCATGTTCAACACGTCAGCTTTTCATAACTAATCAACTCTCTGCTTTATAAAGAAAGATCGTCTAAAAGCGTCAGTCAGTTATCATTTCTCCTCCTCACAATGAATACCAGATTCAGATCCACAGAATTTGACAAGGACAATAAAATATGGAAAGGAGCTCCGTTCAAACCATTGATGTTCGACTCGAGAGTATCAGTGGGAAGTGCAGTGCTTTTTTGTCTGAATCTAAACCCGGATTTAGTGGCTCAGATCAGTGACAATAGCGGAGTTCGGAAGACCAACAGAGAGATTCACGATGCAACCCTGAAAATCGCGGTGAATTTGCAGAAGATCGGCTGCGCCAGAGGCGATGTTGTGGGATTTGTGTGCAGGAATCATGAAAATCTCGCTCCAGCGGTATTTGCTGTATTACTTCTTGCAGCTCCGATGAACACCCTTGATCCAATGTCTGACAAAGGTTATTTTGAAATGCACAGAAAGAAAGCGTAAAATTAAGTAGATTTTTTTCATTTCAGCTGAGATAAAGCACATGTTCGGAATTACATGTCCAAAGTTTGTTTTCTGTGAGAGACACAAAGTGCAAGTTCTAAAGGAGGCTCTTGAAGAACTGAAGAACAATGCAAAGATCATAGTTTTTGGCGAAAGGGTTGGAGATCTTTTGAACCTTGATGATTTGCTTAATAACCCCACAAATGTGGAAGACTTTAGGTAAGTTGTTTAAAAGATATCAAAGATCTTTGATTATAAATATCTTCCTGAAAGTCCTCCTGATGTGGACGATCAAACCTGCGCGGCCATCTTCAACTCTTCCGGAACCACTGGTCCGCCGAAGGGCATTTCCGTGCCTCACAGAAGCATGCTTTTCCGGGCTCTTTATGGGATTGTGGACACAGTGAGAACTCCCGGCGCAATTCTCTGCTTCAGCTCACTCTATTGGTACGCTGGAACGCTGGCTCTGCTAATCGGCACTCTTAAAGGCCTCACTCGAATCATCACAACAGATCCCTACTCTGTGAATCTCTACTACACCATGATTCAGAAGTATCGCCCAGAAGTTCTCTACTCAGGATCAGTTCATCTGATTGACATTCTGAGTCACAATCTTATAAATGAAAGCACAATGGACAGTGTTAAGTATGCTTGCTTCGATCCCAAGTCAACAACATTAAATACTAATGCTGGAAACACTCTTTAAGATTCTATATATGCGCAGGAAGTGCAATTCCTCAGTCTGTGTGGGAAAAGGCTCGAAAGCATCTGCGAAATGGACACATTTACAGCTGCTACGGAATGACGGAAGTGGGTACAATTGCGCGAGAATCGGGAAAAAGTCAAAAGCATTCTGTGGGCTTTCTAATGGCAGGACTCAAGATGAAGGTCCTGAACGACGTTGGGGAGAAATTGGGCGTCGGACAGAAAGGAGAATTGTGCATTAAGTGGGAATATAAGTTCTTGGTGAGTACAAGCTGAACAACGATTGTTTTGCAAATATATTTATGCGGGTGTTTCAATTTACAGGAATATTACAAGAATCCAGAGGCGACAGCCAAACTCCTGGATAAGGACGGATGGATCCACTCTGGAGACATTGGATATTTCGACGTTGATAATCTTCTGCACGTTGTTGGGCGCAAGGAAGATATCATACAGTGCAACAATACGATCATTTGTCCTGCAGACATTGAAAATGTTATTCACACCATTCCAGGAGTCGCGCAAGCAATTGTTGTTGGGATTCCTCATCCTGTGTCTGCAGAACTTCCAGCTTCTGTTATAGTGCGCCAAGGCAATTCTTCCATAACACAGGAAACAATTCTATCAGCGGTTGAGAAGAAATTTAGCGATTCAAAGTGTCTGAAGGGAGGAGTTTACTTTGTGGAAAGTCTTCCCTTAACTCCATCCGGGAAGGTGAGGAGGAATAATGTGAAGGAGATTGCCGCAAAACTGTACAGAGAGAGAAATAAATGATTATGGGAAGACTTCAACTGTCACTCAGTTTGAATGTTGAAATGTCGAAAAACTGAACTGGCGCCCGATGTGAGCCGACGTGGCGCCTTTTGGGTCTCTTTCGCCGCCATTTCGAACATGAAGTGTGCTCGAAAGTTGGCCATATTGCTTCAAGACAGCGAGTTTGGTGCGATTCTGCCGTGAGATTTCTGTGTTTTGCTGCACAAATAGCGAAGCTGGTATTGAGATTTGTCGTGAAAATAGCGCGGAAGGATGTCAGGTATAGCAATTGCGCGTCTCGGTGAGGAGAGGAAGGCGTGGCGGAAGGATCACCCATTTGTGAGTTGTTCTTTTGTCTGCGGGCGCTTTGGCGGACACGATGACTGAATTTGGGGCGTCTTTTCAGGGCTTCGTAGCGCGCCCCACGAAGAACCCGGACGGCAGCCTCAACCTCATGGTGTGGGAGTGCGCGATTCCCGGCAAGAAGGGGGTAAGTGTTGGACGCCCGCTGAGGCGCGCGTCTTCGAGAACTTTCGCTGACATTGGAGGCTCTCTTGCAGACGCCCTGGGAAGGTGGCCTGTTCCGGCTGCGGATGATCTTCAAAGACGACTTCCCCACGAGTCCGCCCAAGTGCAAATTTGAGCCACCGCTGTTCCACCCCAACGTCTATCCGTCGGGCACCGTGTGCCTGTCGCTCCTGGACGAGGAGAAGGACTGGCGTCCGGCGATCACCATCAAACAGATCCTGCTGGGCATTCAAGGTGAGCCACAGCGCCTCCTGGCCAATTTTGGCCCTGTCGCCGCGAGGACAGAACAACTGTGAAAGGCTTCCAGAGTAGACGCGAAGTGGTTGCGCAAAATGAGATTCACTTGAAGACCAACCAGGAATGCGACCTTATCTGATGGACCGACTTAAGGTCGTTCCTCGTGGTCGTAATAACCTTGAAAGACAAGTTTACTATTCAGCATTTTACAGAAAACCTTTAAAATGTGTTCGCTTTGATTTAAACTGTCTCCAAATTGAACAATTTTCATTACATTCAGAATGTGTGGTTACGTTTTGATTTTTATCCTTATCGCGTGGAGAATTTCATCTAAACCTAGCTAAAGGATACGTTCAACCGATTTGCATAACCGATCAGCATTTTTTCAAACTGAAAGATTACATTTGATAACATTAGCGCCAAAATTGTATCTAAACAGGAAATTGCACGCAATTCCTATCGATAAGTGCCGGTATTGAGAAGAATTGACTGACACTTCAACAGAGGAATAAGCGCTTATAATTCGAGAGATTCTGGAACTCTTAAAAATGACCCCTTTTAGGCTTGCACAACTCTCCGGGTTAATTAGATGGAGATGTCGCAAGATTGTGCAATTGATTACAATAGTTGTGACTTTGTAGAGCAATCAATGTCCACTCTATGCAATGCAATATGGCAGCCTTTCCTCCTCTCTCGCCTCTCAATAACAGCAACTATTTGGCACGCGAGGGGAAGTTAATGACTAAAGTCTCCCATTTCCTTGCAGAGCTGCTCATGGAGCCCAATATCAAAGATCCTGCGCAGGCGGAAGCGTACACAATCTACTGCCAGAACCGACTAGAGTATGAAAAGCGGGTGCGAGCACAGGCCAGGGCCATGTCGGCCACGGAATAGGCGCGCTATCTCACACTTGTGGCTCCTCTCGCGGATGGATTCGGCCCGCGGGCGGCATCTGTCCTTTCACCACATAGATTTTCTTTAAGTTCACTTTCAATTGACAATGACTGGTCAGAGGATCGCATAATTCCATTAATTTAACTTAAATCTGCAGTAATTGTCCTAATTGAATTGGTTTTGCTGCAACAATGTAGAGAGAATTTTCTGTTTTTTTTCTTAATTCTGTTTTTGCTTTTGGCCGCTGGCGCGAAAGCTGGCGGTCGATTAAAAGGAAAAATCTTCTATTGGTAAATTATATGAGAAAACAGGAGACAAGGCGAGGCTCAGGACCTTTCCTCAATTGGCCGATGGGATTCGCAGAGAAGTGAGAAATTTATACACGATGAGGTTAATTTAATAATTCAAATTTATTGTAAGGAATCTTAAGGATTAATAATGAGTGAAGTATAAAACGAAAAATCATTTTCATTTCATGATACAGAGAAAAGAAGAGGTAAAATGATTAAATAATTATGCTTCTTGTTTTTTTTAGTCTTCAGTATCATTGCTGTATTTACACAACACTAGAGAAAAAAAATGAGTTTCTTCTTAAAAAAAACAACAAAAAAAATCTTTAGTTCGGGTTAGAATTTCCTTTTTTGCGCTTCCTTCCTTCCGTGAAATATATTCGTGTTTTCGTCTTTATTTGTTTAAATTAAGGTAATTACAAAAAAAAAGAAAACAGTGAGAGAGAGAACAATTATATATGGCATTAGAATAGAATATTTTTCTTCACAATTAGATTCTTCTTCGTTTTTTTTTCTTCTTAATACCTTTTTTTAATTTGCATTCTTAAAATTGTTAGTGACATCACCAAAAGCGTCTCCTCAACCCGATATTTCGCACAGTTCCGTGTCCCAATTTGTTGTGCGCACACAATTCTTTTTCAGGGCGACTTTTCTCTTACAGGAAATACAGTAATAGTTTTTAAATAAATGGAATATATAAATATACTTGATTGCTATTTATCCTCAATAAATGGAATTCCTTCACTAAATTCCATTAGAGTTTCTGTCTCTTCTGTCAATTTATACTGCGCTGGTTTCAGTTTTCTTAGGATTCTTAGACTTGCTGGACACGGAACTGCTGAGGACACGCGGAGGATTCAGTGGCGCGGCGAATTCCCTCTCACTTCGATCACATGGCGGTTGAGGAGGTGGCTGTTGTGCAGATCCGGCACGTAGCGGCTCGTCGTCACGGACTTGGTCTTGCTGGTCTCGATCACGCCCTTGCCCGGGATGGTTTTCTTGCTGAAGTTCTGCGTGGTGTTGGTGACGCTGGGCCGGCGCGGGTCGTCGTTGCGCGTGGTGTAGTTGTAGGTCTCCGCGTAGTCGTCCGTGCTGGAGCTGCCGCGCCTGATGATGCTGGCCGTGTCCTTGTTGATCGTCACCGGCGATCGCGTGCGCATGTCGCCGTTCCTGTGCGCCACCGCTCTGTCCACGGAGAAGCGCGAGTAGTTGCTGCGCACCGGCGACAGCTCGTCCTCGCCGTGCAGCGTGCGATACAGCTCCGGCGCCTGCTCCTGCAGGCCGCGCAGGAAGAGCGACTTCTGCGTGTCCACCTCGCGCGTGGGCGTCCCGATGGGGCGCAAATCGCGCTGGCTGCGACTGATCATGCTCACGATGGACGGACTCTTGAGATTCAGCTGCGGATTGGACTTGTACGGTGTCCCGTTCGTCTCACTTATGGCGTGCACGTTGAGGCTCTTGCTCCTGTTTAGCGCCTTGTAGGAGCGCGCGGGCTTGGCGGGGCCCGTGTTCTGCGGGGGCGCCACGGTGTTCACGATGGACACGTTGATGGTCGAGGAGTGCGCCGGACGATGCTCCAGCTTTCGCGGCAGCGTTTGCGAGGACGTGGCGTAAGTCGGCGTGCGCAGCTGATTCGTGGACGCGCTGAATCTGCCCAAAGTGGACGCGTGCGTCTGGTAAGGAGAGTAAATCCTGGAGGGAAAAAGGGATAATGCGATCGTGTTCAGTGGATAAGGTCAAGATATTTGCTTAAAGGCACTTTTAGTTTTGATCATAATAATTGATTATTTTATTCAAATGATTAAGTTTTTGAATATCGCCTTGTTATTTCCCCCTTGGCTTCTTTAAACACAATTTCCTTTATCTCAATCTGACTGGCTCAATGCATATAATTTCCCGCATTTCCCACATTAGCAGCGTTCAATGAGGGCCTGTCAACTTTTCATTAAAACACACCATTTAGAGAGCAAATGAGTATTTTCTTTCTTCTCAGCGAATCATGAACAAATTGTGTGACTGAAATGAATTCAATAAGTCATTCTTCAATTGAAAAAAGCACCAAAGCTCTCACTTAAAGTCAGTCTGTGTGCTAAAAAGCGCTCTATTTAATAACCAATTTCATGTGTTAATTCACGCGTGTATAAAAAGCTCTGTGGCTTGTGAAGTATTTTTCACAGGAATTATTTATGGTGTTGGCATTAAAATAGTTAAAACGGTTATTGATATTCTCGTTTTTTTTCCTATTCTCCACTCCAGTTTCCGCACTTGTTTTGTCCCCACAATATCATCAATAATGTATTTCACGGTTATGCTCGTTTTTATTGGCAATTTTGGTGTGTTTCTGAGTGGGTTTCAATCGCACTGAATTGATCAGCAATTCAGCAGAATTATACTTTGTGACTCTTAGACTTTATTGAGTGATTTTAGCTAAGAAGCTCTCAGGATTTTTTGACATCAATCGGAGATTACGAAAACAAGTTTCTCTTTTCTCTACACCTTCTTTAACCACTTTTGCCAACACACAGTTGCGATAATTGTTCCGAAAATCAACACAAAATTGCATAAGTCTTCATGCTTCTGATGGAAGTTCAAACACTCGGACTATTAACACTGTGTTTAAGCGCTGTTAACAGCGATTGAGTAATGCTTATAAATAATAACCAGACCGGCACAAAACAACAGAATTACCCAAGAGATTGACACTGTAATTGCATTGAGTGATCCTCACCCACTCTAATAAGTGCTCTCTTGATAGAATTGTCGATAAATTGTCATTTTTTATTGAATCGTGACCAATGGCTGGAAGGAGTGAAGATCACTTCTTAGGCCTCGATCGCCTCGAATTGATTGAGAGGCGATTGTGACGACAATTATGGAAACATCGCGCTGAATTTGCAGCTGGCTCGAGAGATTGTGTGTCTCTCCAAAGTGTGTCCACAGAAATCGGCAGGGCGTCTCGTGAGACAGACATCGATGAATGATCGTCTCTCTTGTTCACATCACAGTCGCGATCGTGAAATAGTTTCTTACCTACGCAACGCGCAGAAAACCCACAGAGCCTCAGCCTTGATCTCGTACAATATTTTGCGCAGTGCAAAACGCGCCAGAAACTCACCTGCCATTGCGATAAATCTCCTCCTCGGGATGCACTCTGTAGCTGGAGCGTCTCTGCACCGGACGCTGGACGCCGTCGTACTTGTTCTCCCGCCCGTAAATGCTGCTGCCGTACGGATCCTCGCCGAGGTAGAAGCGCTGCTTCGGACTCACCATGATTGTGGGCTGATCGACGATATCACCTGAACTGCGCCGCTCGACTGCTCGATCGCGTCTGGGATCGCCCACGGCACTCCTCTGGACAGTCGTGTGCGGAGTCTCGATGTGGCTGTCGATGTACTGGTCGTACTGCTGATACTCGCCATTCGCGTGGCCGCCACGATGCTGCGGAGGCTGCTGTGGCGGCGACATGGAGCGCTTCGTCTTCAGCTTCGCCTTCCGCTCCGCAATCTTCCCCACGAGCTTCCTCAGCGAATTCCCAATGGCCGTGCTCACCTGCCGAGGCATTGAGAGAGTCGCATTGAGCGAGATCTGACACTGGATTTTATGCTACGTGTCAATCATTATGTTAAATTTGGCGTTTGCAACTTTGAAGCCGGATAAGGTTGATCAAGGATCACTCGTCAATCAAGCGTCATTATGAAAATTATGCTAGGCATTCAAGGGGCGGATAGGCAAATGAGTCTTATGATGAGTTAGAAATTTGAAATGAGTCAAGAAGTGCTGTGCAAATGTAAGGCATGTTATCTATCTCTTCTTCTCACCTTATTCTTGTGTGCTGGCGACGGCGCCCGCGGAGGCGAAGGCTTCCCGTAGCGGCTTCTGATCACACTTGGCGACGCAGATCTCATCTTCTCGTGATCCTCCTCTGCATCATTGGACTGGTACATCATCTTCATCTTGCGCTCCAGGGCGCGTTTCCGCTGCGGCGCCACCGGATGCGGCTCTTCTGGCTCTGCGATTTCCTCCTCTTCGCGCAGATATGTCACTCCATTGGGCATTGGCCGGATCTCCCGGTGGAAGCCGCCATTCTCCCGATACACGTACTCCACCGGCCTGTCCGGTGATTGACGGCGATAGTGATAGGTGTTCTTGGGCGACACCACATAGACAATATCGTCATCTTGCTCGCCAGACCGATAGCTGCTGATCTTCTTGGACTGGGCGTAGAGACTCTCCCCATTGAGCCGCTCCACAGATCCATTCACAGGCTGCCTGAGCCGACGATTCCTCTCCACAGTGCCCTTCAACTCCTCCCTGAAGGCATGTCCAGAGAACACTCGCGCTGGCGCGGTGTCTTTCCTCTCCGCCCAATTGGAGATTCCCTGGAAGTACTTCTTCGGCTCAGGCGGACTCGGAGCTCTGATCTTCTCCCGTGGCGGGGACTGGAAGGTCTTCTGGACTGGCGATTGCGGAGAAGCGTGAGACAAAGGAGTGGAATTGGGAGTGGATTTGATGGTCACGTTGAAGAATGTCTTCTTTGTTGGCTCAACTTCTACATTCTCAATGTCAGCATCGCCATTCCTGGAGTCCCTCGAGGAATCACTGCCAAAGTGACTCTCCAACCACTTGCTAGTCTCCAGTTTTCTCGTCTCTTCCTCCTGATCAAAGTCCAGGGGTCTCTTTGTTAACGCATCCTTGCGCTCCCCGTCAAGAAGGGCGTCTGCGGAGGGAATAAAACTGATCAGTATTTCTTTATTTCACCTTAAAGTGCTGCGTTTTTACCTCTGTGTTGCTGCAAGAGTGTCTTTCCTCGCCGCCTCGCCTTCCTAATCCTATCCGAGAGACTGTCCCAGTCCGAGGGATTCTCCTCCGGACCATCCCTCTCGATATCCTGATTCTCTGCCACGTACTTCATCTCTCTGGCCACCACTTTACCATCCACTATGTCCTCGATCGCTTGCTCATCGCGTGACTTGTACACACGTTGAGAGGACTCCTTGAGAGTACAAAAAGTTGCATTGAAATTAATTTATTGTGGCGAGCAAACCTGTATAATTTATTGTTATTGGATGTGGAGAAAAAAGGGTTATTCTTTATTGAGCCATTCTGCTTTGCGCTCACTCAAATGGCTTGTTATCTAACACAAAGAACGCGAAAATGTATACGAAATGGAGAGACTTGAGATCACTTTGTGATTTCAAAGAAGGGTTATTAAAATCGTATTTTGCATAAATTGAATCATGACCGCAGCACAATGATCAAATATATGAATCACCCAATTTGAGAGTGAAAGGGAAAAATGGTTTCTTCACATGCAATCCTTACTTTCGTTGTTACTTTCTCGTGACTTCCTGTCGACAGTCGATCGTCTTCCTCAGCGGGCACGTCCTCGTCGAAGATCTCCTCGTGCTCTGTGGTGCGCTTCTTCTCCGTGACTAGCGTCCCGTCCGGCTGCGCTCGACACTGCAGATCCGTGTCCTCAGTGTCCACAACCTTGTGACTCTTCGCCGACTGGTGGACCACGCGACAGCCGATGGGCACCAATTGCTGCTGCGACTCCGGCGAGTAGAGCACGTCTTTGATGTTGTCCACGCCACTGTTCGCCGCCTTCACGTAAACCTGTTGATTGACAAGTGTCCAGTCTTCGTGAGAGAGTGTTTGAAAAGAAAAGCAACATGCTTTCTCCGCACTTTCGTCAATATATGTATATCGAGGAAGAAGCGCGTCTCATCGGCAAAAAAAGGCACCACATCAAGTGATATTGTGTGAAAAGCTGGTTTATGGGAATTGGGTCATGAGTCTCGTTGCAGAAAATCCACCTCTCGACGCGACAACATCGCCCCGAACAAATCCACAGCGATCATACATGCTTAATTATGATTTATTGGCTCATACTTAATCGCGCCTCGTCTATAAACTCCCCACCCATCAAATCGCAGCAGTACAAGACGAAGAGAAATATTTCGACAGACGCGAGGCAATCAGAAAGTCACTGGCAAGATTGAATCACAGCGATAAACATTTGCATTTCTTTCCTTCCTGTTAATTTCCTCAAGGCAGACAGAAAAAAAAGTCCCACAGCAAACACAAAAAAGGCGAATCACACACTGAAGACACAGACATCAATTTAGAGGTGTAAATTTATTTATTGTACCGCCCGAGAGTTTTTCCGAACAAGAAGGAGAAAATCACCTCTAATGATGGTTTATCATGCAAAATGCACATTCCGCAACAACTCTATTTAGCGATCGCAGAGACGCGAAAAAGAACTTTTCGCCAAGGGGGAGATAATACAGTCAGAAGTGATGTACAGAGCTCAGCGGAAGTTATAGAAACTGGATGAGTTCCGAAAGATTGCTAGTCATTGAGAGAATTTAGCATTTACAAGCAATAAACTTTGCTATTCGGAACTTTTGATGCCAAGAAATACTGTAAATTGTGCTAAGATCGAACGTAACCTCAAACATTGTAATTTTTCCTTGGAAAATCTTTATTTAGACAACTTTCTGGACAGTTTTTGAGTTTATCGAAATTATGTGCTAAGTATAAGAATTTCAATTATTGACAGTGTTAAGAAGTGGTGTACAGATTTAAGGCATATTATTTTCCCCTTGATTTTTTCACACTTCCTTCTCTGCGACTCAGCCGCATGAGATTGAAAGGGAATCTGCTTGGCTGGGTTGAATTTTATTGCGGGCACAACTTTTTGACTCACTCTTTCATAACAACCATTTCTCGATCACGAGACTTTCAAAAAGCACACTAATTGCTAGTTAGTGGCATTGAAAAAAGGCGACAACACTGCTTGAGAGATAGTGTGGCTAATGTGCAAAGTATGCAAAGTGGAAATTGAGTGACAAATCTTGCACAGAGGAAACCTTCCTCTTTTTCTACCAACACTCGCACACACAGTGTGTCGATCGCGGTGTCTCAGCGTATGATTATTAATATTGAGAGTCTTCACAAATTTAGCATTTCATATTTAATCTATCATTTGCATTATAAACAATTTGTGAAGTCATATTCAGCGATTAGAGAAAGGCCTTCGATTATAAATCGTTGTCCAATCAGCATAGGAGTGTCTCTATCTCTTGCCATTCTCTCAAATCTTAGCATTAAATATCACAGAGCGAAAGCACAGATGAGATAACATTTCCAGCGTATTTTATGATTACAATCGGAGAAAGAAGCTTTCAAAATAATGTCCCTGGGATAGAAAGGCGGCGGGAAAACACTGGGGAGAAAGACATTCTCAAATTAGACGATGTTTGTAGTTGAGAAGATGATTTATGTGTCTCAAAAATTGTGCAATTGTGCCTCCAAATGAGTTCTAGAAACACAGATAACATTCTCAGCATGACAATTCTGCTGAAATGCAACACATTTCAATGGAGAAATTCTCATGGCGGTTTTCATTTTTGCAATAAACTCATCAACAAATGCTCTCGAGACAATTCTTATTAGTTTATTATGTTGAGTCTAGACAATGGCTTATTAATGGTATTCTTGAGATAAATTTTTCCCCTTTGCCAAAGTGTGTAACATAATTCTCTCCACACAACAAAAGGCCACGGCCGAGGAGAGGAGAGCCGAAGGTGGAAAACAACTAAATTGTACACATTCACGGGAATTCAATTGAGAAAAGTGATAAAGAAGTTTTCTATTATTGCTCGATGGTGCTTTTGTCTTGTGCAACTCTCTCTCATCTTTCTTCACCTCTTATTAGTCTCTGTGTCTCCGGTGGTTCACAAAATTAAGATACTCTAAACAAACTTTGTATTGAATTGTGTGAGATAAATGGAAAAGCATTTTCCATTCTGCATCCCTCAAAAACTTCTTTGAGTTCATGAACCATTTGTTTTCTCTCTTGCTTATCTTTGAACAGGGAAAGAAAAAAAAGCAGCAACAACGAAGAAAAATCCACACAATATAAACTTGGAAAGTTCACGGTAATATTGTGTCTCTTATGGTTTGGCATTTATAAAATGGAATGTGGTGTACTTGTGAAAATTATAAGGAAAACTTTGCTGTGCCAGCCAAGAATGGACAAAGAATTCTTCCACCTTCTGCACAACCATCGCTCTCTCTCTCTCTTTACTTCTCTCTCTCTCTCTGAGCTTCTCCATATTCTCCACTGTGTGGCCGCTTAAGGAATATGTCTTTTCTTATATGCATATCGAACGAATAACTTTATAGGGTCATTGTACGAAAGTAACATCGTCAATCTAATAACTTTTCCTCCATTCCCCACCACGCCATTGATCCAGCATATCTCTCTCTATTCTATGTAGAATGCGAGGAAGCGCACAAGCTGCTGGGTAATTGCAATTTAAACACATTCTCCCGAGAGACTGTGGACTTCTTGAGCATAGGCAGAAGAAAATTACCCCGAGAAGCCCGCAAAACGAGTGACTTTTTAACATCCTCCTAATTTATGGAGTGTAATAATTAATATTTTCTATAAACTTGAGCATTTGTGTCGTTTTTATGGTTCAACAAATTGGCTTGATGCGCCGCGTCTAAACAATTGAGTGGCTCTTTTGGTGATTACTTCACTAATTGAATGGCAAACTTTCCTTTCTCATCCGGCAAACCACATCACATTGGCTCAGTCCAGGTGTTCTGAGACTCATGGATGACGAATAAATGTGAGTCAATAAAACATGATATTTATTAATGCCTTTCCATTAATAAAACGAAACGCTTTAACATGCGATAATGTGCAATTTATTAAAATTATTGATTTCCATGTGAAGCAGTGAATGTTTTACGGAACATGGCAATTATTCCCCGAAAATTGCATTTCACATAAAATAGTGCGCGATAGAATCATATTTGTCTATGGAATTATTGATATAATTTTAATTGACCAGAATGCAGAAAGCGTCGAGCATAAATTGTGCAATTTTTGCACTCCGGAAATTTGCATAAAATCCAGTTCAATCTCACACGAAATTGCGGACAAAAATCACACGAGTTTATAAGTTATAAATATTTAGGGTGTAATTTTTTGTGCACAACTCAAAAGCGTCTCGTGTGGAATTTGAAAGTGAAATGTCGCCGCATTTGTGCTGTCTTGAGCTATTAATTCTCCGCTACCTCAAATGTGTTTATCAAACTGGCATCAGTGCTGTTTTTCTTGATCAATTTGCCGTGTGATTTGTTGCAACATTTCGGTGTGACAGACGCTTGTATGGGAGAAAGTTGCCAATAAGTTAATTAAATAGGAAATTTTGCCCATATGTATTTGCAAATCAGCCACTAATTTAATTAAATTCCATGTTGCACATTTTTCCTCTCCCTCTAAATTGCCAACGTTTGTCTTCCTCGTCTCGAAAAGCCTTCTTTCGCCCGGTAATTTTCCAGTGCACGTTTTTTCGGTCTCCGCAGTTCGCCGCCAATGTTGTATAAATATAAATATGCAATGAAATTCTCACCCGTGGTCAATGCTAACAATCTGGATATGCTCGAAGAGATTCCAGGAAATTTCCCGCAAAGATGTGTGTGGAAAATTAATCACTTGAAACTTGAACTTCACCACAAAATGCTGGAGAAAATGATGATATTCCCAGGGAGAGAGAAAAAAGAACACTTCACATGAACACAGTGGATCAAGAGGGCGCAACAGAGCAAAAAAGTCGCTCTAACCGAAGACTTTGGGACACGACGTGGATGCTGTAAATTGATGAAAACAAACAAGAGGTGCGGAGCAAAAAGAATTCCATGAACTCTTGAACTCGGCGCGAATTCGCGAGAGAGATGTTGAATGCTGGCGAAGTGAGAGACAACTGAATCGGCGCCCGCAATGGACAGAGTAGTGAAGCGAGTTGATGATGATTCTGGTTTTCTTGGCTGCAAAAGATCTTCAATACACTGTTTGGCATTCGCGCGCGATGCTGAGAGAGAGTCCGCGGAGAGTCTCTAGTGGACTTCTCTCAATTATTACGAGCCTCTGCACGCTTGATCATTGGATGAAGCACTGGCACAAGGCCAGCTGCCAAATTTTCAGAATAATGGCTAATGACTGCCTTTTGAGGAACTCGCTTAATATTTTCAGAAGCGAGATTTTCTGCACAACCGGAACTGTTCTTTTAAAAACTACCAAACAAACATGACTAATTGCTAAGGGATTTGCTATTAATTCACAAGCCTCGCCCACTTAGAAGCCCCGCCTTCTTTGCTGCAAAGCGAATTTCTGCATATGCAGACACAATGTCAATATGAAGAGCTAAAAACTTGCGATGTTTCTTTCAAATTCTCCCCAGAAAATTACTCTTAAACGTTATTGATGTAAGAGAAGAGTAGAACAAAGGAAGAAAGTCATTCAAAAATGTGTGGGATTTGGCGATGACACAATATCTAAAACAATTCTCTGATGTTTTCTTCTCGTGGTGACCGCTTGAAAACTAGTCATAAATTTTATTATGCGCTATCCATGTGAAAAATGTTCACATAAATTATCTAGAATAATTTATGACTGATTGCTTGATATCTCACTGCAAAGCTTCCAGCAAGACAGTGTTCAATAATCGCCTCATAAATTCCAATAGCCAAAAAGAGTAAAGCAAAGTAAGAAGCTTATCATAAACACCACAGATTAATGCTCTACAATTTCATAGTACATTTTCCTCGAAGACGATCGCGCGCGCGGTCATTCTTGTGGATTGATTTTGAAAGAATAAAATTGATTGCATCGTGAATGAAACAGAAACTTTCACTTTCTAATCCGCAGCGGATTCTGCACTCTTTGATAAATCTCACGTGGGAATAGAAGTGATGATGATGACATTTTTGATACATTCAATTTTCATCTGATACCTTTTAAATATAACATGTGCTGTTCGTGAATTTATTCAGCAGCGAAAATGTTGGCCAACAAATATTTTATGACGTGTCATTTATCATCAATTGTGGCTGCTGTTAAATCTCATGTTGGACGAGAATCACATTGAAAATAGAAGTGGCTTCATGAATAAAAGAATCAGTTAGGAAAATATAATATGAATGATTAACGAGGAATATGGAATTGCGGCGGGTGAGCAGAATTTTATCGTTCGTCTCTCGCGCACCTCAGCTTTTCACTTTATCACCGCGACGACGATGAGACGAAGTGCAACTTTATTTGTTCCTTTTTTTGCACAAATAACATTTCAAATTCAATTGAAAGCACACACACACACAGCAACCGGGGAGGAAGAGCGGCGAAAAAAGTATTTGAAAACTAGTTTTAGAAGAAAGAGAGACTTTCAACAGGTTTCCTTCCACACAAAACACATACTTGGAAGTTCACCTCTTCCATAGCCAGATTATCTTTTGCCCAGCAGCCAAAAGAGTTCCGCAGAATAGCACTCAAGATCAATCGGAGAAGGGAGAGAATCCCATGCAGACGTGCCGCTCATTGGCAAAAACACCGGCACAGCACGAAATGTATTAAATCCATCAAAGTGCATTAATTTTATGCATTTATCACTTCGTTTGGCGAAAATCTAGACACACGAGAAATGCTAATCACAGTTTAAATAATATTTGACCATTCATTAGGTTAGATATGATAAAATCATGCCAATAATCTGTCCATGTAATTTACATTCAATATAAATGATTTTCACCATTGCAAACATCACTTTGAACACAAATTTGTGCATTCAATACTCACCAGAGACACTTGATATCCAAAATCTTTGATGAATTTAATATGAATCAGAAAATGAAAGCGAGACTTAAACCACAAGTTCATCTCCACCACAAAGCGTTGAAATCATCTGAAATTTATCGCCCAAAAGCTGGAGTATTTTCCCAACATATTATTATCGCCGTTTCTGACATTATCACACGCCGAAATCGTGACAGAAATCGATAGCAATTTGAAACTAATTGCAGCAAATAACCTTAACTGCTAATGCCACTCTTCCGAGATGACTCAAATCCGCTGAAAATCGCCACTCCACACACAATCCAGGAAATGTGATACTGAAATTGCAAATTACACAGAACTAATTGATGCCCAATTTGCTAGTTTTGTCAGAGCGCAAGTGTTTATAATCTCTTACACAGCGTCAAGTACGTGTGTTGAAGCTGAAATTCGGCGACACATCGAAGGTGCGATATTTTAGTTGGACGGCGCACACAAAAAGGCGTCTAAGACAGATGAGATAATGAAGAGAAATAAGCTGTAAATCGTGGGGAATTGCTGAATTGCTGTATGTTGTTATATTGTGGCGCGAAAAATTTACATTCAATTGCCACGTTTGTCCTTCCGCAACATTGAATCTCGCGTATTTGACGAGGGCAGGGACGCGATGGCGCAAAAAGCGACACTCACAGACGAATTAAAAGTGTATCTCTCTAGAATCTTTTCATCTCCCTTCATGTGTATTAAATTAGTGGAAGAATTTGAGTGCAGAGAGAAAAAAGCTGCGGAGAATAGGAGTAAATTACAATTGTGAGTCTATATTCTCGTGCACATTCGCCACACTGTGGCTTCGCCGAAGCCCCGTGAGCTCTATGGGAGTTGTTCGTTCATTATGATGAGAATTTTATATTAAATATAGCACAGCACACACACCACAGTCGCGGTGTATAATTGTGGATGAAATATAATCACGAAGAGTGAGCCTCTTAAGGTTATTTGTCCATAATGGCTCATTTCGCGGCAGAGACGCGGAGAGGTGGAATTGAATTTGAGGTGAGACTTGAAATAATGCAAACAAGTCACTGACGATGATATTGTGAACGACTTAATGCTTGGGGAAGGCGATGCCGTGCTTCAAACAATCCCGGCAATCACCTGTCTCAATCATCTCGCAGCTCTCCTCATTCACATGAAGGTTACCATCGCTGAGACGCGATGTGCAATAGAGAAAACAATGGTCAGTGCACAAAATTCTCACAGACTCAATTCTCCAGGTGGCCGAGACGCGAGGCGAGTCGGAAAAGCCGCGCGTTCTTTTATGCAATCTCCTCAATGAATCTTCGTGAGTCACCTCAGGGAAGGGGTATAATTTTCACTCTTCTTTTTGCCCACTCCACCCAATCATCGTAATTTGACCAAATACACTCGGAAGCTCAGCGACGTAGCGAGAGCTTGAGCTTTCCCAGAAGACGCAGTCAAGCCCGCACTCGCTACGCCTCTGCTGCACTCGTGGAAATACACAATTACCCAATGGAGCTTTTCTCAATATTTGCAAAATTATTACTATTGGACTTAGGGGAAAGCGAGGTAGTTTGGTATGAAGATCTTTAGTAATGAATTCTGATGCATTTTCCAAAAAAGAATTATACAAAAAGCCTTTAAATGACTGATAGACATTATTTCACAGCCAATGGAAAGAAAACTTATGGATTTTCATTGGGTTCTCTGACTTAGCAGAGACACATTAGCTGAGCTCCATTTAACGAAAGATTTATTTTCACGAATTCTCGCAAAAACACCAAAAATAAAAGGAAAAACATCAAGATATACAACTATATCGGTGCTTTATAATTGAAAATAATGAAAATACGTAATTTAACTTCAATTTCTGTTCGAAAAAGGCGCTGTCTGACTTTTCGTGACACCCACAAAAACCGCGCCTTTTTCCACAAAAGTCATTACGCTGAAACGAGCTCTAAATGCGCGAGAAATTATTGAAATAGTCGAATGGACTTTGTGTACAATGACTTGTGAATGTTGAACAATAAACTGAAATCACCTGTACTATTCTGCCCCGCTCTCCCCTACTGTTATATTCTGAATAATCAACATCACGGAAGGTGAGTTTGGAAGGTTTTTCATCGAGTTGCGCTCAAGTTACTCACGATTTTTCAGTGAAAAGTGCAAATATTTCAGCAGCTCATCACACATCTTTTATCATTTTGATTGAATATGCAAATTTCATTTTGACATGATAAACGATGGAAAACAGATGGATTTGCACATCTTTTTTTCACAAACTTTCCCCTCAATTTCAAGTATACTTTTTTTTATTATTTCACCCATAGATTGACCTACTTTTCTCTTTCCAATGCCTTCACTTCCCTTTTGGCAAATGTGCAAGTGCAATTTTGCCCCCATCTGCGCTTCATAACATTGTCAGACAGATACACATATAGAGAAAAGCTGGTGCACTTCACCAGTGAAGGAGAAAGTAATATATGAAAATTGCACTCAGACGATGATGGAGTAAAATTACAATCATATAACATGAAATGTTGGGAAATAATTTTCCCATAGTCTTTGACTTACCTCATCGGAAAAGTCACCGAGGTGCTTAACGTCTTCTGTCTCGAGGAGTTCCTCCTTCTCCTCGCGTGACACGATCTTCTTCTCCTTCACCTCGCGCACCACCCCGTCGGCGGGCGCGGCGTGACCCAGCAGCGACACCGTCCGCTTGCCCGCGTCGACAGCCTCCAGGGCGCCTGGCTCATCTTCGCCCTTGTCGCGGCGCTCCGTCGTCTGGCTCTCCTGCTTTTCCGTGTCCTCCGTGGTGTTGGTGGACACAATCGGCCCGGAGTCATCGACAACCTTGCCATCCTCGAGTATCACTTGGCGCTTAACGCGCGTCTCAATTTGTCGCGTTGTCGTCAATTCCGTCTTTTTCTTCTTGATCCATTCCTCTGATTGTGTGCCATTGTCCAGTGCGGCGTGTGTTCAGCGGGGGGGAAAGAGGAGGAATAAACAAGGAAATAAATATTTTGCAAGAGAGATTTTGCGGAGAAAAAAAGCCACAGAGTGGCATCTCTTTGTAAACATGCATAGGTTGTTCGAAAAGCTCGTGGTCTTAGCGAATATCTTATGTATAAAAGTTTTTAGTATTAGAATGAAAACCGTGTTATTGACATTCTTGCCAAGAATGCATAAAAATTCATTGCATAGCTCATGTGGCATTTGAAGTCTGTTAAAGGCCACTCAAGGAGGAAATAATATGACTTAAATCTGTGCATCACGCTTCTTAACACTTTCAGCAAATAGTCTTAGACAATTTGCGCACTAATCCTCGAATTATCCGATATTTCTGCAAGAATCGACTTAAGAAAAACATTATTATGATTGTTTCTACTTGAAAAATCAAAATAAACCCAAATAATCGATATAATTTGGCAGTAAAAGAAACACTGAAGAAAGAAATATTGTAAGCTTTTGAACACTTCCACTTCCCAAGACCACTTGACTGTATTTTCTCCCCCTTGAAGCTACTTTATTGTCAATACTGTCTCTTGTTTGCGTCATGATGATAAGAATTCCTATGTGGCATTAATTAGTTAACTCTTTGAACAAAAGCTTTGGTTTTTCTTGACTTGTTTGTGTTATATTTTCCACAGAAAAGTTCTTTCATTGCAACACAAATAAAAACTCAAAAACAGAGTCTTCTTCCTAATGAATCAACAAATGAATTCTATGTTTTACTTTGCACACATAAACTGACTTCTTCACAGGCCACGCATCTTCGCAACAACCCAATGTGCATGAAGAAGGTATTGTAAGATTTTCTCACCATGTTTCTCGACTCCCTGCTGTGTTGCACCCTCTGGATCGTGTTCCACCTGGGAATTTACATCGGAAATGTTAATTTTTGTTATGTGTCGCACATAGAACTGCTCTCTTGGTGTCTTATATGTCGGCCGAGATAGGTAGAAGCTGCAGTTGGTGTTATTGTTCCGATCGGGCGTCTTATCGCGACTACAATTGCTTGTGGCTACAGGTGACACAAGTAGAATCACAACCATTCGACTTTCACGGCGTCTCTTCCATGAGGAAGTTTATCACATAAATTGAGAAGAATTCAATTGACTTGCCACGATTCGTGCACACTTGTCGGAGAGTTGGAAAAAACAGTCTCACAATCGATACATTGTCTGACGCACTGAGAGAATTAAAGATTATGAAGTGAGAAAAAGAACTATAAAGCCTAAGACACAATCAAATTTCTGGCTTCCGCAGAGACGAGTCAAGGTTGATTATGTGGTAAATATATATTGAGTAATGCTGCTCTTTTTTCCACAGAATCGCGCGCGCTTCACACGCACTCCCCTCGCGCCCAAATGATTGGATTTATATTGCGAATTATTTGACGAATAAATAATTCAATTCACATAACAATTAAAATACACACACTGTTCACACTCAATCCGACTGGCAATATTGCTGGAAATTATGTAAACGCAAATGTGTAGACTCTTTTTATCGGATTGAGGAAGGGTATTAAATAACACTTCTGCAGTAATTTTAATTGTTTTGCATTACCACACCTGTATTTATGGATATTTTTCGGTATGGGCCTTTTATTTTCAAATGTGCCGACATTTTTGGTGTAAATAGCACTGGGCAAATATGAACATTATTTTCAGTGGCTTTCTGTAGTGCCGGAGTTTTGTGGTGTGATTTATGATGATTTGATAGTAATAAGTATGGAATGTAAGGAGCGTGAACTCAACAACTACACGCACTGCGAATAGTCCTATTGTGATGTTGCTAATGTTTTATGCTTGTCTTATGTTGGGAAATTCGTCGTATTTGTCTTTGCTCGAGTTCAACAGCACGCGGATTTTTCCATAATTCACTTTGCAGGCTGAATAACTTTGAATATTGTTGGTGACAAAGTTCAGAAAATGCCTTCAATGTTGGCGATCCTCCCTCTCATCATTAACACACAATTGTATACACAAATTGGGAGAGGGAAGAGAATTCTTTGGGTGTTCTTCGCACTGAGATTCCCATCAATGGAATATTTTCCTCCTCTTCGATGCTCTGTCCTCGACGTCTGCGGATGGATGATGGAATTTATTGAATTCCCTCACAGATGATTGACTCTAAACAATTGTACGCCGCATTTACCATTCAATTTGACTGAAGCCAGCGAAGACGGTTGGAAGGAATGGCAAAGAATGGCGAGAGATCTGTGCAGATGCGGGTGAGAAGAAGCAAGACATGTGCAATATACACGCAATTTATTGTATCTCATTCACTTGTGTTTGAGAGAAAATGAACTGGGCTATTATGTAAGATCGGTCGCTCCATTTGAAAGTAAAACAACGCGAGACTCCCACAACTCAATGAGCTCCTAAAACACGTCTTTTTATCTCTGTGACTGTGTGGATTTATGGAATTTCGGATGCACACACAGAGTGTTTAGAAAGGGATTTTCTCCCTTGACAGACACACCAAATAAATCGATCCTCTGGGTGGGGGTGGAAAGTGTCGCGAAAACTCCGCACAACCCTTATTCTACACACCAACGATAAATTCAATCCATTCTACACCCGGAATATTATGAGATATTCATGGAAAATCGTCTAATTGTTTCCCACCAGCAATTTTCACCACCCATCCAGACAAACCCTCACCGGAATGGGGCTGGAAAGTGCACAAGATGAGAGTTAAGTGGAAAAGTTTCGTACAATATTATAGCGTTCAATGCATGGGTGAAACATACACTTTTCAATTTATAATGCGCGAAACTAATATGGGTGTTTGGAATTTATTAATGAATTTCCCATGTGGAAATTGTCACACAATTTCACTGTTATTATTAACTCTCCAATGTGCCGCCAACCGAAGTTACACTTTGGCTATACAGAACGGCGCTCTGGAGTCGCACACACGACAAAATGCACAATTGCAACGTAGTTTAGCATCGTCCCAGGAGCAACTAAAGAGCACACCAGTCACTTACGAGAGATACCGTAGTCGAGGGGCTTTTCTATGTGGCGGGCGAGCGCACATAAATGCTATTTGTACATGACTTTTGTGCTGTGTAGTAAATTGAAGCTAATACACAGGTGTATGGAGCTAGAGTGGCCGCTCAAGTACGAATCTTGGCGTCGTGAAGCCCCCCAAAGAGAGTGGAACAGTGGGGCAAAGTTGCGCTTCACTGGGCAAAATTCCACACGGAGAGCAAAACACCTCACGTGGTGAGGCAACGCCATGTGAAGCCAGAGACAAACACAACAAGAGGCTCAAAAGGCGCCCATAAAGAAATTCATACGCTTTTCACCACCAGGAAGATTCAGCTTCTATACACAACACATGCACGCGGTCGCGCAATTTTCTATTTACTAACAAATATTGCACCAGCAGCGCGGCGGAGGCCGAAAAAAAGGCGCCAAAGAGAGGTAATTTATCCCTCAGATATGTGAATTATGCCACATAAAACTCCAAGCAATTCAATTAACTTGACTTCAGTGATTTTCTGTGTTATTCAAAGTGTTTGCGAGAAGGGGCTGAAATTGCAGCAATTAACGTCTTGCTCAAGTAGATAAAAAATTGGTAAATTCCATCCTTAATTGGTTCATTTCTCGAGCAGGAATTTCAACAACTCTTTGGGGAGTTATAAATTCACTCTCTTTTTTCCCCGTGCCAAGTGACTCACGTGTGAGGTCGATGGGATGAATTGCAGGAATTTTTTAGAGGCTTTCAATGCCTCTGAAAATTCTCAATGTCATTAAGCAAATGCCTAAGGAAAGAATACCATTTGATATGTAAGAAATTGTGCACTTTACAATCTCTCGCGGAATTAGACTTTGACGGAGGAACAAAATTACATTGAAACGCAGTGTTTGATTGATTTTTCAGAATCAAAGGATCATTGCGACTTTCTTTCATGACATTTTAAATAAGCTGTCAAAGTTATAGATTCGCAATATTTATAAAAGTGAGGTATTATTTTCAGATAGCTGAAATTCGTGCTTTACACCAGCGCCGCCAATATAAGCTATGAAAAACGTAAAGTTGCAACTCAAATTCGATACTTTTACGAAATGTATGAAGTTGTAATGAAAATTGATGATATTTTTTAATATAATGCATAGAATTGCGGTTGAAATTTAGCATTGAAATACATTTAATTTCGCGCAATCATGTATTTTTAAGCTTTCCAGGTCTGTAAATCTCGGTGTATTAAGCTAATTGTTATTGTTATATCCAAATGCAAATGCGGTCAATTAAGCTCACAATTGCAGAATCGTAAAAATGGCTAATGAAATAGAAGACACACATTTTTGCGCGCGAGAGTCAATGAGTTGGTGCAGAGATATTAAAATATTTTAATTAATTAGTGTGGTTTTTATACGAAAAATATCACTGCGGTCATCAATTGTGGGTTTTCGCCACGAAAAACGCTTGTAATTGGCCACTCGTTTTACACCCAATCTAAAATTCATGGTATGGCAATTCATCATACAAAGGTGAGCCTGAAATCGACATCATTAGTTCGAGTATCTCAGGTGTGACTGTCGAGTAGGCAGCATAATCAGAGATGTGTGTAGGAAGACTTTCTGGAGGAAGACAGTTAAGTTTTGATATGAGACTTCTCTTATCTCACTTTCACCGTATTATCTGGCAATGTCCGACGGAGAACAAAGAAGGCACACCGCAGGTTTATTGCCCACTGAAAATTCATTGGGAATCCTCACCTCTGCATAATCGTCGTCTCTATTATATTCAGTTCATGCCGAGCATCTCGCTCACTTGCAATTTCATCTCTCTGTTGCACACGAGCAACACCGAGAGTATACATATCCACATAATCGTGAGGCACTGCTGTGAGCATTATTACGTGCTTTTATGTAATTCCTGTGCCTCTGGGAAGCGTTGCGAGTGGAGAGAGAGTGAGAGAGGAAGGCTTCACGGTGGAATTCATTGAGAAAAACATAAGTAGAAAATTATTGTTGACTGCTTGTCGCCAGAGAGCAAAGACAAATACGTAGGAATTATTGATCTTGTATCGATCATGGAGTGATGATGGTATCAGTGGAGAATATGGACTTACCACGTCTCTCGTGGGCGGCTCCAGGACAAGTCCCTCGTATTTTTGCACATCCAAAACCGCTGCCTTGGCGGATGACTCCATTCTCGGACTATCGTTCTATCGTCTTTCTGTCGAGACCTACAAAATTGGGCAATTTTTTTTCTCTCTCAGAAAAGCCACAACATTCCCCATGAGATCAAGGAAAATAAGAGGAAAACAAACAGTTGAGGGGCAAAATAAACGCCTACATGTAGACAAAATTGTCCAAGTGATCTTGCATGATCTCATATGATCGTCGGAATTTCAACAATTTAATATGCATAGAGACTTTTTTGCACTCAAAAATCAAACATTAATAAACAACAACACACACTTTTCGCACTCTTGCATTCCATTAGAGGGTTTATAGCAGATCACCGTCAAATCAATCAGTTTTTTCCGCATATCACAAACTCTGTCACATGATCATTTCCCCCTTTCGTGACTGTGCATGTGAGAAATCCCTCAGTAATTGCCCATATGTTCGCCAAAGTGTTAAATCACAGCTCTTTTAGCATGACAAAGACACACACAATTTCCCGCCACATTCAATTAATAACAAAACGATGCAATTGTATCACGCATGAGGATCAATAAAACTGCTGCTCGAATCCATGTTAAAAAACAGTCAACATGATGAAATTGAGCCAGGTTTAAGTTGCACAAATTGGATATTATAAAACTGACCGGGTGCTTAATTGAACAACACATAATTGCACTTTTTTTATATTTCAACAACACTCACACTCCAACTGTGCAAATGTGGGTTTTGTGAGATGGTTACAGTATTGTCCTTGTTTACCCTCCATATTAGGTGCTAAAATGTTAAACTTTTTTCTTCAATTTCTCGCTCTCACTCACTCTGATGGTGTTGTAAAATTCGCTGAAGAGTGATACAGTGGTGTTCAAAAAGTTCACTCAAAAAAAGACCATTGTAGCTGGAATGTGTCCAAAAGTATTCAAATGCCAATAAAAGAGGATTTATTGGCAGTTGCAGGTGCTCTTAGTGAACTTTCTGCTACAAAAATTGCTTTTATTACTTGCCAACATCCATCAATATTATACGATGAAAGTTTTTTTTTCATTATATTGAGTCTACTCAAAAAAGCGTTTATACGCGCTTCATTTGTTAATACGTTTACTAGCATTGAACCTGAGCACAAGAACTGAGCACAGATATTCAGAGTCCTACTTCCACTTAATTGTTGGGTTGCAAGAGGACAAAAAAATTCACTTAGTTGCTCAAAAATGGACAGATTTTCAGCATTTTTCACTTCCTGCTTCTTCTGCACACAGTTTCCAGCAAAAGGATCTCTTTTTTTCTCATTTGAGCAACTCATTATCACTGATTTTTTCCGTTTGTCAATGCTTAAAATTGTCCCTTCAAAAGAATTGGGCAGAAAATCATTCGTGTGTGTTAAGGCGGTTAGAAACAAGTGCGTAAAGTGAATTTCGCAGAGTTGACGCACAAGAAGCAGACACTTTTGTCACTCACTGTTTGAGTACATTTTAGTATTTTCATCATACGCCATCAACAGTGTAACACAAGGTTAATTCACTGCAATACTGAACAATTTTCCTTCTATACCCAATAAAGCACATAATTTATTTATATTGTTTTGGACCCGAATGGCGGAGGTTGCACTGTTTAAAATGTGTGTAAAGCACCTCATTGATTGCACACAACAGTGCGGCTCTTGTGTCACACACAATAATAAACCACCTCCCGGTGCTAAAACACTGGGCAAATTGTGGCCTCTCTGTCACTTGGCTGTTATCTCAGGACGGACATTCTCATTTGCATGCATTTCATCTGAGGGGCGCGCGAAGAGGTGGGCAAAAATGGTTGGTGTGTGGAAAATGCAAATAGAGTCTTACCGCGCGAGCCACTCTGCCGAGTGACGTAATCCGCATTGAGGGAATAATAATCCGGAGTGGATGGGAGCGAATTTAAGCACTTTGGAGAGCCGCGCGCGTTGTCGCAGGACAAAAAAGGCAGCGCGAAGCACCAGCTTCTTCTTGTCTGCAGATCGCGATCTTGGCTGTTCTCGCGGACTTCCAACTCTCAGAGACACACAATATCAATTGTTTTCACACAATTTTCTCGAGATGAATTGAAAAATTCCTCTGTGGCCGCGCGAACAGCACAAAAAACACCCATGAATTGCTTCACTTGTACCTCAACCTCCAGGATGAATCGATGATTGATCGTGGTGAGATAAGTATTTTTTCTCTCTCTCGTGTTTTTCGGTTTCCTCCACAAGTCTATTAGGGAGTCAAGAGATGAGATGAAATCGCGTTGAGAAACACTCTGGGATGCTCACGAGGTGAAAATTGACTCGCAGGCGAGAATGCTGGGATGTTTACCGGACAGAAATCGCGTCACGACTATTCCCACTTCCATTTGCCTATGTTGGGTATTGGTGTATAATGCCAACGAAAATATGAATTGGAATTAAATATATAAAACGTCGATGAGTGGCGTTGTGTGTATTACCCGCGGACATGTGCGGAGATTGAGACAGGCCGATTCGGCCGTCTCTCTCCGCCAACTGCTAAACAGGTAATTCGTGTCACCTGTGTGTGGAGCGACGGAGCCACACAGGTAAGCCTTGATTGCCATATATTTCCATCAATATCCGACCATCGCACCAGCGAATATTGTGGCAAATTTCTGACACAATTTTCCAATAGCATCAACACTCATATCGCTGCCGATGTAATACCATCTCAGCACACCGAAAACAACTCATTCAACTTTTAAGCCTCCACGTGGGTCGCTCGGAAACGCAGTGAGTCAGAAGAGTGTGTCGATTTTAAGCAGTTATTTGGTAGTTTGCACGAATCAAATGTGAATTCTAAGAAAGAAAAAAACTTAGAGAATAATTGTGAAATATTGTACAGATGATTAGTATATTTTTTGTACAGATATTAAATATTTGCTAAAAGAAAAGAACAGAATAATGAATAATGATGTCTTTTTATCGCGAAATTACTTTTTATCCTAATTATTAAGTGGTGTTTTAATGATTTTGGTAAATTTCACGATTTTCTCACTATTTTAATACTGTTTTAGCGAGAATAGCAAGGACTGTTTTTCCTTATTTCCAGTGAATTTCACATATTTATTTCTTCACTCTGCTTTATTCGCATCTGTAAACCAAAACTATAGTGCCAGAAAGCTGCACTGGTTTTCCAATCGACCAGCTCGCCGTCCACAAATTGCGGGGGTTCCATGGAAATTCTCTTTCTCTGGGTATTGAGCGAGCCAGCAAAGAACGTGGGCCGCAGTGACAGAGACGAGTGTCGGCGTTACGTGAGACAAAAAGCATCTGTGATCTTCCAATATGACTGTTGGGCCGAATGTACATAAGGAAAGGCCGCCGAATGAGCAAATTTGGTCAACGCAGAGACGTCAAGTTAAACTTGATTTCGTATGCAGGGAATTTTCACATGATCAACAACAACACAAAGACTCTTTAGGGAGAAAGTTAAATGCAGTAAATTTTTTTTCCACACAAAAACCAAACATTTCTCAACACCTTTATTCCCCACCCCAGTAGGAAAAAAACACAGCATAAGATATAACATAAAAAGTATTTTTTCTCGGGTTGAAAAGTCACCCATTAAAATATACAAGTAAAGTGATTGAGCTTTTTTCACGGAATGTGATTTTCACCAGAAATGCCAGGAGAGAAAAAAAAGAGTGTTTAAGCATATTCCGCTCTTTCTTCCCTCTCTCTCTCTCTCCCGAGAGACTAATTTACACAATTACCGAACGACACAAGTTCTGCCCGAGTGTGGCCAAGAGAGAGACACAAGCAAAGTCAGTGAGGGAAAAAAGAGAAATATTTCTTTGGACAGAAAATAAATATCATTTCCACCCACTCCCAACTTTTTGTGCCATTTGTCCAAATACAAGATTTACATGACAGTCGTAAAAAAGCAGCGAATGTGTGTGGATTGAAAAATATCTCCATAATGCAAAATGTGATGATTATTTGCACAAAGATATAACCACACATCGAGCATCAACATTTTTAGCTCTTTATATTAATACTAGAGTCAATATTTGTCTCTCGTCCCCACCAAACATTTCAAATAAGTGTACATAGCGCCAATACACACAGCTGAAAAGCTCTCTGTTGGACCACTTTAAGAGCTTTCATATGTTTAATTGATTAATTTATGCAAATAATTGTGGAGTATAGAGATTGTCTCAATACACAGAGAGCAACATGATAAATTACCACACAGAGGCTCGCCTTCTCAGGCAATATTAAATGCTTCAGTTATATTTTTCCCACGATATACCTAAGATAACATCACGCCTCACTTTGTCTTATCATCGCCCATTTTTTGTGTCGCCTCAATCGCCACGAGGGCGCGATATCGCCGCACAGCCAGATACAAATTGATCCCATTGACAACATATGTTGACACGCAGACAATACAAAAGTCCTCCAGGACAAAGTACAGCAAATACGCCAAGTAGAGTGAGAGCAGGTTGGAGACAATGCACAGATAAATCTGCACTCGCGCCACCTTCGAATCATTCACAAAGCCTGCAAGTATTCAAGAAGAAAAAGACACAAGCACAAACTCTATATTTTCCATCCGAGTCAACTCTTATTTTCTGCAAAATTACAAATACCTTCGCAACGAGATCTCGCACGATTCACAATGCAGATAAGCCATGCGAGAGATGCAAAAGAACAACAACAACAACAGTAAAACTGCAACACACAGCATTGAGGGGATAAAAGAAAAACCAGATGACCTTAAGACGATATGAAAACCATTAGAAAAAGATTATTTCCACGGAAACCACGTCAGAATCTCTGCCTGGCAGAGCAATTTAATAGCTCGAGCACGAGAAGAGATGCAGATGAAATGTTTGCGCGTATGACTGGACGAGATGAATAAAGTGAGAAACGACAGAGAAAATACTCGAGAGTTGACGTGAAATGTGACTACAGAAGAGCTTTCAGCAGAAATCACCTCACATTTATTATAAAATTCTTCTACCAACGAGATAATGAAAGCGAAGATAGCGGAACAGTAAAAGTTCTTTTGCTCCATTATCGCGTCTCAAGGAAATTGCGAAGAGGAAAAGATTTTCTAAATATCTCACAGATGATCTCAGATTTATTGATGCACAGTGAAATCTCAACCAGAATAGCAAATTGATTGGCAATACTTTGATTTTATTCCTGCGATAATCGATGTTTCTGGCAGTTTTGTTCTGCATTAACTTTTTATCAAGCTTTGCGAGCATTTTATTAATCACACACTTGAATTTATTATCGCAAATTCGTGATCCCCAAAAACTCACTAATAAATCTTGAAAGCCAAAATCTCTTTCAATTGGCATGCATTCAAAAATGCATGCATAAAACCACTAATAAACCGAGATTTTCATGCTCATGCAAATGGAAAGCGTTTTATATATTGTGCAACATCCAAAATATGCCTCTAAAATCCCAATTTATGCCAAAGAGTGAAAAGTCATTGGGGCGTCGTAATTAAATTAAAAGGGCCTTTGTGTGCCTCCAAAAGCCATGTCAATAATGTCATTTGTCATTTTCTCTTTTATGTGAATATTTTTTTTCGCCCGAAAAAGTGAAAATACACATTTCGGTGCGCTGGAACTAAATCAAATTTGAGTAGTGAACAAAGGGTTTGTCCGAAAGGCTTATATGGAAAAAAATGGAAATGCAATTAAGCACAATTAAATTGGAAATATATTGATTTTGTATGCTGACATCAAACGCTCAATATATGTAATATTTTACCCAATTGTGGACAAAATACAGTCTAAAGTGAAATTATAGCAGTTTGGTAAACAAGCGACATTAATTCTGAGCAAACACGACACGCAATAGAGAATTTCATAAATTTGCAAAGTGGGAATATTTTAAGAAATTAGCTCAATTAATCACAGTGGAAAGATACTAATCCACGAGGAGAATGACAAATTCCATTAATAACACACAGAGCGATAGAGCTACACCTTCCACAGCAGTTGAAAGGCAAAGCAATGAGATATTCTCCTGTGGCGGCAAAGCGTGAGACTCTCGGTGCAATTATTAAATACCTTGTACAGAATTACTCACAGAGAAGGGCAATGAGTGCGTAGAAAAAGATGCCGAAGAGGCCATTTGGCTGATTGAAGATTGACTCCTCGCCGAGAAGATGGTGAACAATGCCGAAGCCTTTGCCATATCTGTCGACGAGGAAGAAGAAGAGGTCATAAATAAATGTGTGACGCTCTGGCATGTGAAATTACAATTAATTATATCAATACAATTATCTATCAGTCGAACAGGAAAGTGACAATCAATGTGGAGAACACATTCTCAATAGAATATGTATAATATATCGCGACGGGTACCTCGAAAAGAAGCAAAAGTTAAAATCGCTTAACTCACTCTTATCGTTTATTAAATTAATAATATTGGTCAATTCCAATTATTTTCTTTAACTCTTAGATGATTTCATTGGTTATTTATCGAAATATTAACTAAATTTATGGACGAACTCATGATATTGAGTACAAAAAGTCGTTTTTCTATCCAAAAATATATAAGACGTCAATTCTCTTAAGACGACTTTTGATAGTTTTCGAGGCAACCGTCGATATTGTAATGCGAGCATGATTTATCCAATTGAAAACGCACACAGATGGCAAAGAGAATGTCCATTCTCTCTTCCGGCAAAAAAAATTGGCAAAGAAAAGAGCCAGCTTTCTGGAATTGAATTGAGAAAATGTTAATGGGGAGCTTTTGAATGGCACAGAGAGTTCATAAAAGAGCTACAAATATTTTATGGACTGGCGAGAGAGAGCGATACTTTTGCACAACAGATAAAGGAGCTCCACAATGTAGCAGACTTACGCTGAATTAATTCATTATCTGATGATAGAATGAGCGAGAGCAGATGGAATAATTATTATCGGAGGATTTAATAGGAAACACAAACACGAAGGCAGTAAATTAATAATGGGGAATGAGAAGCGTAAAAAACATCATCCTTGCGATACATCAATATTCTGATTGTTTTTCTTTTTCCTTTTCCATTTACAACATTTTCAATTTCCTTATACTCTAGAGCGCACTTTGCCTTCTGAGTTATGTGCGGAATAAATTGAGTTCCATGATTGAAAATATGCACAACTTGTGTGACTTTATCAGTTGCAATTATCTCATGAATTTTTATTTAAATTAATCTCACTTTCCACTCGCTTTCATGCCAATAAAATTAAGTAATTCGATCAAGACCATAAAACTCACTGCGACGAGAAGACTTTGGTGCAACTGATCCCTTCATTTAAATCACAAAGGGCCTCGTAGTCATTGTCCAACTCCAGCTGAATCTCCACGTGCGTAGTGTAGATGGAGAGAAGCAGTCCAATCAGCGACGACACGACCATCGACGAGGCGAACTGGCACTTGCATTCAGGCACGGACATGGCTAAATCACTCTTGCTCCTCGCCACTTTTCCAGAATCCGGTGCGGGGGTGGAATTGGCGACAATTTGAGCGCCGCCGAGGGAGGAAAAGTGGGAAGACCTCCAACTTGTGCGACTGTGTGGAAAGAAATGAAGAGGAGAGATAAGTTGACTTTCTCAGGGATGCTTCAATCTCTCTTCACGTTCACAATAGATTTTCTCCATCCTCCCACACACACCGTAATTTTCCACCCCTTTTCACTTTGCTACACTCTCTGCACAGTGTGTCCAGGCACTGATGTTTAGATTCGACGGCTTCCTCGAAAGGTATCAAAAGTCGACTTTTGATCATGAAAAAATCTGATCATTGCAGTTATAAATCCTATGAATTATAAACAAAATGCACAGAAAAATGTGAAATGGAAAAAAAGCACAAAGAAGACTATCAAAAACCGACTTTTTGTACTTAATATCGTGAGTTTATTCATCAATTTTTGCTAGTTTTCGACGCACCCGTCGAGATCGGAAAAGAATCTATCAAGTCCCGCCCATTCAGAAGCCCCACCCCCTTTGCTATTGCATGCCAAACTCATTAAATTCTTTTCACTAAACACACAATATTTTCCAGGAATACAAAACCATAAATACTTTACCCACTGAACGGGTAAATTAGATTCCCGCTTGCAGCACATTCCGAGCACAGTGTTTCATCAGTGCTTCAGGTCGTTTCGGCGGGGATGGGAAAGAGTGGGTGAGGTGGAAATTAATTTCCTCCCGCACTTAATGACAAACATCCACTCTCCTGTGACGCTGGCGTGTGATGTGATGCACAATGACGTTGGAAGGATAGTCATCAGGTTGGAAAAATCAATGAATTGATCACGATTATTGTGAATTGATCGGCGCGCATGATAATGAAATTGTTACACTCCGCTCTGTGTTTTGGGGTGGGTGTTTATTGGATCATTGCCTCAGAGAACCCTCCATGAATGCCACACTTTATCCCTCACCCTCTCCATCGCAACTACGGCACGCCAGATATATTTAATCTAGCGAGAGAGCAAGTGTACAGAGATCATTTGTGGCATTTCGCCCTTTGTATCTGAAGGTGGTGTCCTACTTGTCTGGCAACAGTATCAGCAACAGCATAAAGTACAATATTCAGTCGCGCGAGAGCAAATAGAAAAGGAGCAACAGACGTCTTAAAGTTGCTCTTTCTCATCTCAATCTTCGCCACATTCTCATCAAATCAACCTCCCTCGGAATCGCAGTCTCTTGCCAAAGAGAGTTGATGGAAATTTTATCTAGATGATGCAGAGATTATTTCTAATTGAACAATTAGTTCGTCTCCCGTCTTCAATCTCCTTTTGCGTCTTTCGCAAGACTTTTTCTCCACTCTTAATTAGTCACTTTTTGCGCTCAATGAGGTGAAAAACATGACTGCACTAGATAAAGCACAGGAGTGGAGTAAGATTAGCCAATAAAAAGGGCAGAAAGTTAACTTTTGGACTCCCAACAGGAATGCGCATTGAAAATCCCCATCAAACAGCGTTGTTAATTGCCCAGATATCGATCGGTAATCAAAGTGATGTTCAACTGTAACGCAAATAACCACTCACTTATCTCTTCAACTATGCCTAAACTAATTAATTTCCCCTTTTCTCAACTTCACTCCCATCAAGACAGCCTCTTTATCACCACATCTTATCTCACATCTATGGCAAAACATATCAACTCGGCGGCCCAGAGCGAATCCACAAATTTCTCTTACCCATTGTAATAAAGCGCTGTTGACACTAACATCACACTGTCTAAGTGGATACATAAATTTTATGTACTGTAGCGCCGTTACATTATTTACACTAGCGCTGTGGGTGAAATTTTTCTCGCAAGATCAACCATCGAGGGTGAAAAGTGACGATGAGATTTTCATGCTTTGCAAATTTTCCCTCCGGCGCACAAATCAAAACTAAATTCGTGCCGCGCACTTTTGCCTATCCTCAGGCGGTATATCATTTTTTTTTTCAAATACACAACGCTCAACACCTTTTCCACGCAAATCTCTTCTCGCGCCCTCAAACGCGCACAAGCACCCGTCAATTAATCCCTCAATTATTGCCACAAAGTGTTACTTTAAAATTCACGCCGACTTGCAATTACCGAGGATGAAATTCCCATCGCGGCGCTTGTGTTGGTCTCGCAAAATGGTAATGAGGCTGACACGGAGGAACTTCTTGACGGATGTCTGTATTAAGCATTAAGTAAAAGCAAGCGTGTCGTCACGAATTATTCTTCGCACAGTAAACGCAAAGTGCCTTTTTCTTCCATTTCTCCGGGGAAAGCATTGATTGAGAGCAGATTTTTTTTTTTAAGAAAGAAAAAACACAGAATTTTTCAGGAAAGCAAGTTGAGAATTTTGCGCTAATATTGGTGCAAAAATTGCCGAATTTACCTCAAACTGCTTCTAATAATTAATTAAAGTGCTAATATTACTCTGTAAAAATTATTTTAATTCATTTTATCCCAACAAATTTTCAAAAAATCTAATTTTCATACATTAAATGTACTTTTCTTGATGGTGATTAGTTGAAAAAAAAAAGCCAAATATCCTCATTTATTTAAAATATTCTCAGCACTTGAATTTTTTTTTAAATTTCAGTCCCACAAGATGCAAATTTTAATTTTTTTGCTATTAGAATAGATCAAATACTTAATAGAAATTAATACAATGTAAAACTTTGATAAATCGACTTTTCATGGTTTTCGATTCACTCGCCGAAGTGGAAATACTTTTTCGGAAATTTGTGCTCAGATGATTCATAGTAATCTTAGAGGGATCACTTCTTAAAAAACCCATTTTTTCATGAATTTTTGTACGAAAACTCTACTCGGAATAAACCAAAGATCAGTGAAATAATTTACTGTTGAGAAATAATTTTATCTAAGGTCCCCTGGATGATGTCTTACAAGACGGAGTCTCAGTGAAGTGAAGGCTTATCGTGAATTTGTGCTTTAAGCCTTCAATGCGATAAGGCGCCGTCCATTGAGCAAAAGGTTTATCAACAATTGCAGCTTATTTGCGCGTCGCTTTCAGCCAGAACCCACGTTTGGGGACCCCTTCGGGGCTCATTAATAACTTTCCCTCAGCGTAAAGGTAAATATTTCCTCGTAACTGCGGAAAATTGCGTGGATCAATTGGCTGCGGTGATTTTCCATGCGGCGCCCCGCGGAGCCCATTTTCCAAAGGGAGTGTGAGGTCACATTTGAGGAATTTTCATGCCTCATCACGCCTCAGATTTCTATCGGCGCTGACGGCCACAGTGCGATCCTGACCAAATTAATGGCAATTTGCGGGCGGCGAAAAGGTCTTTTGCCTTGAACGCGCGGCATTTCCAGGTGGGCGCAGAAAAAGAGTGGATCCGGGATCGCCGGATGGGCTTTCTGTTCTATGCGACCCGAAGAGCCACCATGGGTGGGAATTTGCCTTCCATGTGTGACTTTTTGCCGAAGGGATGCACAGAGAGAGGGTATAAATTTGGGGTGGAAAAATGACGAAAAGGGAGGGAGACAGATGGTGAGTTTGTCTCTGCGCATGGCGCAAATTTAAAATTCAGTGTTTGATTACCTTGTCGGCGATTGCAGTGTCCTCTCGCCTGGGCTGATGTCGCGAAAAATGCCCGCGACACGGTGGGAAATGAGCTAAATAGGCAGCAAATCGGCGCGATATGGAGCGGTGAAAATATAAACACTGCGATGGTCAGAAAAACAATACATATGACATCACTAGACTGCAGGCGGGTTTTCCGTGCGAATCTGCAGATTTGCCGGCAGATTCCCGCGTGGCAACACCATTTCTTTGTCCTCCGCGGAACTCTGCAGTCACCAGTGCAAAAAATGCGAAAACATTGAATTTTCCTCTTCAGCATTTGGGCGAATTCTCACGGCGGAAGGGCCCATGGGGTGGGCTGACGTGGCGCAGGGGCGTCGTGGAAAAATACTCCGGGCCATAGACAGGCGATGCTGGGTGAGGAAATGCATTTGAAAGGTGGTGACGCCCGAAAATGATTGGTGATTTCTAGCGGTCTGCGCGGCCGTGGCGGAGTGTGGCAGCACTGTCGCAAAGTAGTATAGTGGTAAATTGTAGAGGCGATATGCCATAAGCAATGTCCGTCATTTTCTCATCGAAAATGCGCTATTTCCCGACGTAAAATCACGCGTGTGACGTTGTGCAGTGTTGCAAAGTGTTGTTGCGTACCCGTGGCAGTCGTGAGTGGTGCGAAAGTCACGCACGCGGTGGAGTTTCAGTCGGAAAATCGGGTGCTCCGTGACGGGACTGGTGTAGCGCATCGCCGTGTAAATTATCATGTGTGACTGTGTGTGACTTTTTTTGGGGGGTGAAACGTGGACAGTGAGCGCCCCAAGGGAGCCAAGCCGTGCCCATGAGGCACCCAGCCATCGCCCATAGTGGCCCCGAGACGCCAGCCCGGCGCAAAAGTGATGCGAAAAAGTTATTTTTCTAATCATCACCGTCTAATTCCACATAGCAGCCATTAGTGGGCGCTAGTGTGTTATTGTATTGACTCGAATTCCACACACACACGCGCGTCGCTGAACGTCAAGAATTTTCTCACGTGTGAGTGTTGGTGATCCTATTTTGACGGATTGTTGGAAAATTATTTTATTGTTTTGATCCGTTTACCATTTGGGCGATATTTATAACGCCTGGGAGGACTTTTCGTGCGCCACGCGAGGCGGTGTCGAGGCGTCCAGGAAATGACCGGACAGTCCTGCTGTCCTCCTTGGAGCGCCCCCGCGGGACAAGTGGCCACCCTGAAGACTCGCCTCCTGGCAGTGTGTGTCACGCTAAGTGGTGAAAAGTGACTCTGGCTGAGCCTCAAGAGGGTCACACACCAACAGTTTTTCCGCCTCTTCGTGTGAGTAACCTCTTGAGAAAAAGTTTGAGCCACTCTTGGTTGGAGTGAAGAAAGTCGTGAGGCTTCTGTGACTCAGTGTGTCGCGAAATTGACGGTCTTTCTCTCAGTGTGTGTCAATGGACTCACGAATCCTGTAGAGTCCTTGGAACTCATCTGTGCGCGGTGATGAGATATTGAGATGCAGCGGCGTCAAATTATCCACTTAATCAATTAATTACGCGTTTAATTAGGAAATCTGTGTGCTATTTGTGTTGACTCTCGCGGAGAGTGAGGAGATTCTCGGAAAAAGAGAATCACAGCGTCAACAAATCGTCAACATAAATACGGGTTTGCGGAGAAGTGCGAGAGTGAGTGAGAGGGACGAGCGAGTTGGAGGAAAAATCGGGGTGTAGATCGTTGATTGGCAGTGCTAGATCTAGTGCTAGATCTGTGCTAGGTCGTCTGTGTGGAAGTGTGAGCCGAGAAGTCGCTGCGTCCGCCAGGCGAGAGGAGAGAAAGGAATACCTGTGTGAGATTCCAATAGGGTTTTGGAAGTTGTGTGGGCAAACTACAAAGGTATATTGCCCTGGAGTGTGTGGCGAAGAACCAGCGCGAGAGAGAGAGAGAGTGAAGTGCGTGTGATGGTCAATGAGGCAACAATTGGAGTAAAAAGTGGTGTTTGGCAGTGATATATAATATTGTCAAGCTGTGGCCCGAGATAAATTCAGTTATTATGTGGCTGGGAAATGATGGAAATTGATGTGAAACAGAGAAATCAGCGAATACGAAGACGGGTGAGGGCTCAACGCATGCAGGCTGAGAGAGACCGAGACGTCGTCGATGGGGGCGACCCCGATAGTGCTGAGGAGGAGCAAATTGCAGCACGTGAGAAGCCGGCGAGGCCCCCATTGCGACGGAAGAAACCAAAGGAACCAGCTCCACTCCTTGAGGAAGACATCATTGATGGTTTTGCCATCTTGGCTTTCAAGTCCTACGAAGATTTAGAGGTGAGTTGATCTTCCAATCTCCCCTTGCTGACAACCCACGAAGTCATGGGGCGGCGAGATTGCGCCGGAAATGAGGGAGGATCTTTTAATTTGTGTATAGGAGAAAAATGGGAAGTTAATGAGATGCCAAAGAAAGAGACGAGCAATTGCGATGCAATCTTGGATCAAAGATGGGTTAAAATGAGGACGAAAAGGGTGGGAAAATGGGTGGAAAAGCGCAGTATTTAGAGAGAAAGAGATATAATTCAAATGTGATGCTCTAGGATATATTTGCAATTTGTCGGGATTCTGCCATTCTCTTCCTCAATACGCCGCCACACAGAGATCAGAAAGGTGAAATGAAAATACAGTGAAGTCCACGAAAAATGCAATCACGTCTCCCAGGGCTTCTTTCAATGCAATAAAGGGAAAGAGAGAGAGAGAATGAGAGAAACTTGTTTAGCGTGCGCCTCAGAGACAAAAGGAGCGTTTTATCACCCATTGATTATTTTATTGAGACACTTAAGATTAAAGAGAATTTTATGATTATGGCCAAGAGTGGAGGTGCAAGAGGTCGTGTCGCTGTAAAAATTGCGGCTCCCTCATTTTAGCGTGTCAATTGAATTCTGCACTTGAATTGCGCGGTTGCAAAGTAGGGATTTTAGATATTTCTTTGAAATTTCGATATCAATTCAAAGTCTTTCAGACCATTTCTCGTATTCAATAGACAGTCAATATTCCCCTTTTTGTTTATTTTACGGACCCAGAGAAGAATTGAAGCTCTATTTTAACAAAATGATCTAAGAAATGTCCATTTTCGAGGTCAATTTGGCATAAAAAGCTGTTGTAAACGTAACTTCTAAAAGTTTCGTTGATTCTAACACAAAATAGGCCCTAAAAGATCACTAACTAATATCAAAGACGAACGTTGTGTTATAGAAATACGCGCTCGATGTGGTGTTTGTGTCCTTTATAAAATCGAACAAAAAGAAGGATTTTTGGTTATATTTATTTCATTCAAATTCAGGATTTTTCTAAACTATTTCTACTGTTTTGTTCCTCTTGGATCCCATTATTTCTTCAGCCACTTTACTTCACTTCTGGCGGAGTTTTGTGTGAGGAAAAGATGATGGGAGTTGTTGAATAGGGTAAATTTATATTCAATTTCATGAGATTTCATCTAGAATAGATTCATCAGTTTTTTTCTGCGTTCAAGCAAGAACGAATGATGGGAAGAGGAAGAGGGGAGGATATTCATTTCAGTCACAATAAATAACAACAATCAATAGATAATTTAATTTGCTTTTGTGGACGGAGAGAGAGAGAGAGAGAGAAAAAAATGTGGCACAGAGCGATGTGGTATTATTTTTCATTGGGTTAAATGAGACGAAACTGTGTAGGAAGCTTCTCAAATTACTTGTGATTTTTATGTGTATGTATAAAATTTAAAACCACAATAACATAGTAAATTGCTCAATAATTAACAAGTTGCGAATGAAAGATTGGTATTGATTACATATTCATAAGTGTTTCTGCGATACAATGTGTGATATTTTGTGCTGTTGAAGTAATTTGCGAATATTCGCGACTTGTGGCGGTGTTTCGGCGGTCGGGAACTGTTTTGCAATCTGATGAGATGTTGAAGGAAGAACAGAAGGAACAATGGAGGGTGAAAAAAATAAGCGTACACAGAAATTTGAGGGAGAGAAAAAATGATGAGGAGAGAGATAGAGGGAGAGAAAGAGTGTGTAAAGAAGGGCTGTCACAGCTGCTTCTCTTACCTTTGTGTGCGCCAAGGAGGGAAAAAAAAAGAATCTGTTTAAGAAAAAAATTCTGTAGTGTTTTTTGAGGTTTTCTGATGCAATGAATTGACCTCGGTTCCAATTCACCACTCTTGTAAGTTGATTTTCTTCCATGTCTTTTCTCCACAGTCTTCAAGCTGATTCTCTTTTCGGGGAAAAGATGAGGAATTGTACTATATTCAGCTCACATATATGTATATTTTCCTTTCATTCCTTATATTTGTGTACTCTCTTCATACCTCTTGAATTTATTGTTGATGTTTTTCTCTCTCCTCACTCTTCGTGTGCCATTGAGAAGTGGATACAGAGTTGAGAGAAGGAAGAAGTGTGCGGTGAAAAAAGTTGAGAAAAAGCACGACATATTTAAGTGTTGAATGGGCGAGAGCAAGAGGTTAAGGTGAAAAGAAGTTGAATGGAGTTGCTTTGCTGCTCAGCATCGGGTGAAATTGTGTACAAAATTCTCTAAAGTGCATGGAAAAGCTTTAAAGCTCTTGTCAAGTTTCTCATGGCTTTTTCCTATAATCCTCTGTCGACTTTGTGGTGGTTTTCTTTCTGTGTCAAATAGTTCTGGAGATATTTTACCAAATGGCATTGCATCAAACCTATTAAAAAAAAATGTGTTTATATGCTTAGTGGATTTTCGCAGGTATTTAAGAGGAAAGTGAGCAACGACAATCAATTGTGATGTCTTCAACTTTTCCTACTGTAAAACGCAGTGTCTGTTATTGAATTTGTCCAAAATTCCCACTCTAAAGGCAATCAATATCAATCACTGAGTCACTTTTATTGATTCCTCAATGGCTTTTTTCGGCCAATTCGCATTGGGAATCGGTCACAGTTGAGTAGAGAAATATTTGTTGGGAAAACTTCAAGTGGAATTGACAAGAATCCAAGGCAATTTGACCTCCCCCTTTTTCTTATCTCCTTGTTAAACACGTCCTTGCCATTTTCCAATTCGCTCCGGAGGAAATTAAATGGTCTGTGGGCAAAGAGCCAAAAACAGATTTTTTATATTCTCAGCCATACTTCCCATCCCCACCCATTTCACCCTTCTGTACATCTTTATTGTCGTGTGGAGAAGACATCAACAACAGGATGGCGTAGTAAACTATTTTATGTGTAACGCTAAATACTCCTTTTCGCATCTCACCTTCGCATCTTGTTCTTTTCTCTCTACGACACTTGAGAATGACTTTTTCCCGTAGTTTGTGTTTTTTGGGGAACTCAAAACTTTCCCATCTTTTCCTGTGCAATCACTGAAAATTCAGCCCGGATGGTGTTAATGAATGTCACAAAACTTTTTACGACGATGCATCTTGTGAATAATTCAATTTTAACAATATAAATATGAATAAAATATTGTGCAAAAATATGGGGAGAATTAAATTTGACTTCATTATGCAATCATTCCATGTCCGACGGGTGAATCGTAAACTATGAAAAGTGGACTAATTTATCTTTAAAAATGGCTAAAAAAAATTGCAATCATTCGTTTAAAATGATCTCTTGATTTTCCTAAAATGTTCTTGGACTGTAGAGTATAAAAAGATGATTTTTTAGTAATTTTTATTGGATTAAACGTACTGAAAGACTATTAAAATCTACTTTGAAAAGTATTATTTGCTGTTTTTCAAAGAACTTGCAATATTTCAGTAAATTTTTTTTAATAAATACCAATAAAAGCAACTGAAAAAATCCAGAAAATAATTATAACAGAGCAATATTAGCACTCTAATGGTCGATCGGAGGGTGTTTTGAGGGTTTTAATGTAAATTTAGCAAATTTCGCAGCGATATTAACGCAAAATATTGAACTCGCTCTGATGAAAATGGAGATTTTAACTTTTCATAGTTTTGGATTAACCCGTCGATGTGAATATATGATAATAATGGAATGGCATTATTTAATGTGTATTAAATAAATTTCACTGTATTTTACTAATTGATAATGCCATTGTGCAAAGGTCATTTCAATTTGTGCAATAATGTATTAATGAAGTTTAATGATTGATTTCCATCAAAGTAAAACCACAAATCATATATCCCATTGCTCGTAGTTATTAATTAGTTTGCTATGAAGTTTATATTCTTGCTTTCAATGTTATTTTGAGAGAAATTTATATGGCATGAAAGAGTCATATTGATTTCACTGACAATATGACATATGAATGTGTGTAAAAGAAAGTGGGAAAAAATGATAATTATGGAATTTGTCAAATATTTTATTTGCGTGTTTCACACAGAGGAAAATCAATGGGACAAAATTCTCAAGCAGAAATTAATTAGTGCTTGGTGTTCAATTTGCTAATAGATTTTAAAAACACATTAATATTTATGTGCTGAAATGTTAGGCGTGAAGAGAGGCTCCCGTTTCACATGCTGCCCGATGAATTCTTCTCTGTTTTGTATGGAATGCGAAGTATTCTCGTGAAGAGCATAAATCACAGTGACGCCTAAAAATTAAGTTATATATGTGTGAAAGTTGAGAATTGTGTGGAGAAAGAGAGATAGAGTCCTTAAATTAATTTTCTCACCCATTTTTCCCACCCTTCAGTTCATCCCACTTTCTCTCCGCTTTTTTTCCTACCGCCAATTACCTCATTCGGTGAAGTTTTCTGCGGGAAAATGCTTGAAAACATTACGTGATTCATTTCTGCACAATGAGTGGCGAATGCAATATATATCCCTGCTTATGGCGCCGCCCTTTGGTGTGCGGCGGGCGGTGAAAAGGCAGAATAAATAAACGGACATAGTTCAAAGGTGAAAATTACACTTCCTGGCGTTGGCACATTTCATCATTGCTGTGTGTTTAAGCGTATTTTTAGTTGAAATGCCGCTGGTGTGATGTGATATGGCACAAGAGGTGAACTTGATGTGGGAATATTGTACATTATATGATGAGGAATGATCGATTTATAATTATTTTGGTATTAATTAAATATCCAATGCTCGCAACTTCCGATCAATTCATTTTCCACATCAATCTTCACTCATCAAAAATTTACTATATATACTTATTCTCATGCAAATTTGATATGGAGGAAAAACACATTTTTTCTCTGCTTCTTTGTTACATAACAGACTTGAATATGTTTACATATGAACAGTAGCGAACATTAGTTGAGGACACCTACGAAATTTTGGCAAAATTCTACATAACTTTGATATTTTTGTGTGCTACAATCGCTACAATTCTAGGTTTTCTGATTAAGTACAATAAATCACTGTTTTTTTGGGCGTTATAATAAAAAATTGACTTCAAATCATACTTTCTAAGGAGCAATTTGATGACATTTTCACGACTTCTTACTTGTTCTTGAACGATCAACTTAAACTCCTATTTTATACTTCACAAAAAAGCCTGTGAATAAGATTTCGACCACGGTTGTGCCGATGAAATGCAGCAAAAGCGTTAAATGGAAGCTGAAAACACACAAAAAGCAAGTTGACAAGTGCAAATCAGGGCATATTGTGATGTAAATGTCTGCTAGACATTCCAAACTCATGATTTTATGCGGTTATCCGAGCCAATTTTATGGTTACAGCATAGATTTTGAGTAAAATAGGCAAAAAGAACTGAAATATCTGTGAAAGGTCATAAGATTCTGATCATTTTTATCTTTTATATCTCGAAAAATGACAAAAATATTGAATTTTTAACACAAAAAGGGAAATTGACCAAAATTTCTCAGGTGTCCAAAACAAATTTTCGCTGGTGTATGTATTATTTTGACACGCGGGAAAAGTGAAAGAGAGAGAAAGAAAAAAGCTTGTGAGGATATTAATGTGAATTTAAGGCCATAAAATGTGATGCGGTGTCAAGAAAGAATATTTCTGCGAAATTGTTATCATTATTTAGGCATTCATAAAGTCTCGCGCGGAACACATTGTTGGGGGTGGAATTTGAGAATTTTTAACTTCCCTCAGTCGAGCAATGAGCATAAATGCGATGGTGAAATAGCGCCTGGCCATTGGTGATGGAGCAAATTTAATCTGTTCCCGAAATCCCTCAATTTGCCCCTCTGGCCAACCCCAAAACTATTCGCTCTGCATAGTTCACTGGCTGTGTTTGTGTGCGCAACAACTCTGTCATTCACTTGCGGTCTTTCCCTCCCTTTTCTGGCATTTGTCCTCAATTTCAGCCACTACATATTGTGCATCAGATGGCATTTGGGGTTGGGCAATCATAATGTCATCATATTTACACACAAAATACGCGATATTCATTGACTATGAGTTGAGGGTGGGTTTCGGGGGGCGGAAGATATCAGAGAAAATGCTGTTTTCTATTGAGATTAAATGTTTTGATATATTTGGGTGTCGCTTTTCGTTGAGGGGGGGAAAAGTTTCCATGTGCGCATATATTTTTCGGTGCTGGAATTGAGGAGAATAAATTGTATAATTTACCAATTTATATTTATTGAAGTTTTGTAAGTTTCCAATAAATAAAGTCGTAAATTGAGAGAGAGAGAGAAAATCTATAGAAGACATTTTATATTATGGTTTGTAATTCATTTTTATTCTTAAATTATTAAAGTATAATTTGAATTTTAAATATAAATTTTTGTGTGTTGCTTTGTTAGCTTGAATTTTTCAACACATCCAACCGCGTTTGAATAATTAGGTTAATTCTACATTTCATATTCAATATCGATGGTCTTTCCAAAGGTGGCTCAATTACCTTTCATCCCATAATTGCTAGTTTGGCGTACAATAGAAAGTATATAGCGACTTGGCAAACGAACAATGACATATTGCTAATCATCTTCCTATTGCAGAGTTAATTGATTCATGTCTGAATTGACTGAGTTAAATGTGACTCCAATAAATTTGTCATGATGTGTGTCAATTTGCGTTGTGTTTTGCACAACAGTTTAGATAAATAGCGTTAATTTGGTGATAAAGCAAATTGATTAGAGTCTCCAGAAGCGCCAGAGAATAGTAATAATCACATAAATCAGGTGTTGTTGCACAAAGGATGATGAGCAAATACGGTTTAATTAGCATTTTAGCACGTCATGACATGTCATTTTATTGAATTCTCATTATCGAATTGAGTCATTGGAGTTATTTTGCGTTAACATAGAAATTAGTTGATGAGTGAGTGGAAAAATGTGATTTTATGGAGTTGAAAGTGTTGTATTTAAAAATTTCATTTGACAAACAGTTGTTGACGAGCTTGCGGGGGGTGGAAAAGGGGTGTTTTTTGACCGAGCATCAGGGATTGGGATTTGTGTGGCTGAAACCACAACCATTAAATTGAATTATTATTAATTTTTCAGTCCAACCCTTCGTCAAATAGTGGGGTAAAATTGGATTTTCCATTTCCGCTTTTCGCTATAAATTTTTGAGGTAGTTTTATGTGCCTTTTTCACCCTGCAGCAGTATTACAGCAATTCCCACATCGGGTAATCAATGTTCTCTGTAAAAAAATTGAAAAAAATATGTATTTTCCTATTGGAAGTTGATTTTTTTTATACTGTGACTGGATGATATTTCACATATTGGGTGAATGTGTGCAAAATAGCGCGGGCATCAGAATCACTTACGGGTAAATTGAGTGTGCAGAAGAGAGCGTTCACGATGTCGAGAGTGATGGTGCAAGAGAGTGTCGAATGGTGGTTTAAAGACAGACAAATGGACAGACTTGAGCAGGGGGTGGAAATGAAATGGTGGAAAATTTCATCATTGTTCAACTCAATTGCACTAACATAAAAATTTGCTACAATTTCCTTCCACACCCACTGAATCCCTTCTTCTTATGTACATTCACTGCCTTCGCACTCACTCAGATGGGTTTTCTCTGAAGGAGGATGCGAGCGCTGGCGGAGGAGTGCAAAAGTTACACATCCCTTCGTCGGGTGTAATTCAGTTTGAGGGGCGAAGAAGGGGAGGAAAGGGGTGATGTTAGTGGGTTAAGAAGATTTCGATGTAACGAAATTTCATCGTAGAGTACTGAAAATAATGATATGGCTATATTTGTGTACTGGAAGTTCATTAGTTATTATCAAAGGCTTATAAAACCCAATTCCATGTAATCTAATCAATTCTCGTAAATGTACAAAAGCCAGGTAGTTTTACTATCGAACTCCTAACAATAAGAAACTTGGGCTTCACTGAGAGAAAAATCTGGCTAGAATGTAGATTGACGAAGATTTTCGTCTGGATTTTGAACAGAGAACACTAAAATCAACGCTATTCGGTTTAAAGTTATCTTATTCTGTTGAAAGCAGAACAAAAGTGGACTAAAATTAAGTAAAATTAGACAGATTCAGGCTAATTTCAAGACATTTTTTAGCAACTATTTGCAAGAATACTCATTTCTAGGTTTCAGAACATTTTATTTTTCTGAGTGAAGGTTTTGGAGATGTTACTCAGACTTTCTAAACTCACATTTCCTCCTCCTCCTCCGCCTTCTCTTAGATTGTTGTCTGCTGTGAAAGACCACAAAAGAGCGGAGACACCCTTAAACTTTGCACCTTTTCCAAAGTGTCATTGGTGGTTTCATTTCTTGTTCACTCACTGTCGTCTCAATCTCTGGGCGAGGAGTGGAATAAAGGAGGCGACATCTCATTCCGCTTATTCGACTTATTCGTAGACACACATCTTAACGGGCCTCTCTTTTTATTGAATTTTTATCTGCTTTGTATCTCGCTTTATCGTTTCTCTCTGCCTGTGTGTATAGATAGATTCAATGTGAAATGTACAGCAGTGCATGGCAGAGAAGATGTTCATGCGCTGCTCTTTATTCAGCGACAGAGAGTGAAGAAAATCCGTGAGGAGGGAAAAGTGTGTGTGTGTGTATTGTCGGGAGGGAAAATCGGGGTGGAAAAAAACACATCCTATATGTGGTAGTCACTCAAGCTAACACGATATAAAATGAGGAGGAAAAGGTTTTGACTCGCTCTGTTTTTCCATGCGGCTGCCCCTCATTTTTCGGCGAGAGGGGTGGCGAGAAAGCACTCTGCTATGCTGCTTTTTTCCTCGCCTCTCTATGCCATGAGGCCCTAAGAAGAAAAGAGGTTGCGGACGAATTGCTTTGGAAGGCATTTCCGTGTCCTTTTGACTTGGGTGGAAAATTGGTGATTCCGGTTCAGTGTGTATTACATTAGATGGTCAGAGGGAGAGTGGATGAGATGATGAGGGGTGAGCGTTAAATGAGAAAGCATGATGGAGAAAATGGGTGTAAGTGTACAAAGTGAGGTTCTTTTCACATAATTATTATTATGCTTAAATTTGTATTTTCCACCCAAAAGTCTGATGGCGGAGAATGCTTTTGGGAGGGAGGGTGAAATGGGATGGAAAGGACTGAGAAAAGGATCTCTCTCAGCATTCATTGCATTAATTAATGCCATAGAGATAAATTTTAGATGATAATTCTTTTACATCCCGCTCTGGATTATCTCGTGAAATATTAATATAATATTGCGCACAAAAGTGTTCATCTATGGTTCAGACCTCAAGATCTTTTTCCCTGTTTTTCTTTTTTTGCAGTACGCTATAAAAATTGCCAACAAACGCAACGAGAAGAGATTATCGGCCATCGCTGAGCTCACAGCTTTGGCCAATGTGGATGAGAAGCCGCCCAAGATTGATACTGGACAGCGAGATAAGGACCGAGATCGCGACAACAGAGACAGAGAGAGAGACTGGCAGTACCAAAATCATCACATCAACAATAATCACAGCAATCATCAACAAGGCAATCTGGTGGTTAATCATTTATCACATGTAAGTACGATGGCTGAGATTGAGGGTGATGGCAATTATTGCCCGCCATTCCATTTCCCCTTGTGTCTTATTCTTTGCCCAACTCACTCAATTGTCCTTCCTTCCGCCTCCGTCACTCGTGCACGAGTGGAGAGAAGGGCAGTTTTTTCCGGTCGTGCGTGCTTCTGTAATGAGGACAAAAGAGCTTGAAACGATGATATCGAAAATAATCCATGATATTTTCATCCTATCGAGAGGAGATTCTCGCGTGCATGGATTACATGAGATTGTGATGAAATGATAGGCTATTTTGATCCACACAACTCGGAAGTTGATGATGGATTGAAAGGGCTGAAATATCAATAAAATTGATTTAGACGTGGGAAATTGTTGTATGAAGTATATTATGTGAGTTTTTGTTCGGTGACTGAATGAAATTTGTTCCTTATAAAGTAAAGTGAAATTCATCTTTACATACTCATTATTTTACACAACATGAAACATGAAAGGAGGTAGTGTTGTTTTATGGAATTTAACACAATTGTTTGTACTTCTTAAAGTCTAAAATTGACGAAAAAATTAACTGATAATTGATAATCATCTGCAAACGATAATTTTGTTTTCGAATTGATTGTGTGTTTTTCTTTTTTAAATATATTCAGCTGATTTTTCAAGAAGAGATCCTAAAGTTGAACCATTTAGAACAACACTGCCCCAAATTCCCCCTAATTGATATTATCAAAAGTTTGTCAGTTTTCAAGAGCTAAATGTTAGCAGTTTGTCTATCGTTTGGCTCTCACTCTCTCATAAATTTAAGATTGATTTCTGATTTAATCCTTTAACCAGCTTATAGGTTTAGAGAGAGAGAGAGTGAGTGGAAGTTTGAAACTCAGCGGAGTTGTGCGTGATTTTCCAGAGCATCACAATTTAGTGCAAAGAGCAAAGAATAGAGGCACTTCTTGGCGAGTAGCATTAAGTGCTTCACCATAATTTAAACTGGTTATCTGGCTGCCTCTTTGCCCCCTGATTTCTTTTCAATATTCCTCCCTCCATTTTCACTTCCATCGCGCGCACTTCTATCGGCTCGTGCAATCGATATTTCCTCTTTTTATTGTTATTGCTGCCATGGGTGTATTTTTAACGATGTCTCAAGCCGTGTCGTGAAAAATTAGAGGAAGCGTAATTTTCACTTTTACAAGAGAGTGAATTTTATGAGTATTTGAGCTGGAGAGAATGCATAATACGGGAAATTTTATTCCTATATACTCTGTGCTAACGTCGCCATTCCATTGGGAGGATTGAATTAAAAATAGCATTTTCAGTTCCTTTTTTTTCTCCTCTCAATTAAAATTTAAGAGAGAGACCGCGCGAGAGAGAAAGAGAGAGAAAGAGAGAATTTGTAGATTTCTTCTTGTTCATGCAGAAGATATTTCAATCTGTGTTTGACCTTATTTTCCGGAGCCATTGCTATGGCATTTTCAATCAATAGTTGAAGCTCTCCTTGGGCAGTGTATTAAGCATAAAAGGGGAGTTTGTATGCTTCAAAATAATAAATTATTTAGTGGTTAAATTTGTGTGTTACATTTTCATGCTTCAACATTTCTAATTACACTGTTTATTTATAGGCAAATGGTTTATTAAAGGGCTTTTCTCCTCTCTCTCTATAATATTGCCAGTAACAATTCCATCCCTTCCTCACATTTGGTTTGATGTGCAAACAAAGGTGGAAAGGTGTGACGCGGGGTGGATGCGAATTGAGGCCCAATTTTGGGGTTTTAACACAGGAAGAACAGGAAGAATTTATGATGATTCTCAGTCTGATGTAATACTCTCAAATGTGAGACACGCGTCGCGGGGGTGGAAAGTTTTAATTGTTTTGAAAATGCTGTGTAATTTCACGGTTCACAGTTAAAAGATTTTCAAATGTTTTCTTATGTAATATTTTAAATCAACACAGAGCGAGCGGGAAAACTGACTGGGCGCGCGAAGCGCGACGTGGGCAAAGTAGAATCATTTTGCTTTCAGACTTTATTATAATTATATTATGTTTGCCAGGAGACACTGGGAGAGGTTTAGGCGTTGTGGAGATTTCCTTTGGGTGGTGAAGCTCAGCGTGAGATTTAGAGATAAGTTTTCCAAATGAGGGTGAAAAGGAAGGTGAAATTGGGCGACTGGATGGGGGTGGAGGGAAATGAGGGCAAAAACGGGAGAGAAAGTGATTAAAATACAACAATATATAGTACTGGGTGAGTAATTTGAATTTATATTAGGGATAAAATTATTCTGATGTACACTCTTTATATGTATACGTGGAGTAAATTCCTAATTATGCACCGCTCGTGTTGCCCTAATAAATTCTCAATGAGTCTCATGGAAATTTGCACTGTGAGAGATAATCTTTTGTGTCACTTTTGGAATCACTTCGCTCGCGTCCAGCGGAAAATGAAAGGAGTTACATTTGGATTTTGCCCAGTGATGATGAGAATTAACTGTTCTGGTGGTTGAATATTACGGAAAAAAAGGGAGAATCAGCCAAACTTTCTAATTCGACTTTATCCACTTTTGGCAGAATTGCAAATATGCATGTGGTTTTGCTGGCTATTTTATCCCGCGCACTCTTGCTATTCAACTCTTGTGGCTTTGTGAGTGAGGAAAACTTTTTCAACCCACTAATTCTGTCCAATTTTCCAGCATTGCTTTATCTCCTGTGATTCAGCTCTTCATCCATAGTTACATATAGAGTGTGTGTGTTGGGAGGAATATATGCAAATGGGTGACTTTTCGAGAGAATTAATTCCGATTATTCCGACATATTTCGCAGTTGAAAAATTATCGCTGGAAAATTAATTTATCTACTCGGGAGAAAACAGCATTTTGAGCCCTTGCGGGCGCAGGAAAGGAAGAAAAAGACTCTCCCGCACTGAATACAAATGAGAAATTCTTCTATTCATTGGAAGCTTTTCCGATGAGAAGAACCGAGAAAGAGAAAGAGAGAGAGATTCTTCACGAGATACACATTGAGTGTGGTGAAAAGTTTAAGTGATTTCTTGAAATGTTTTCTGCCGAGGAAAGAGAAGATCGACAATTTTCTTTGCGGTGATGAGTGTAAATTGGATTTGGCTGAAGACAAGAATGGGTGGATATAATGAGACAGAATAAATCCGCAGTATCACGTGAGTGAAATATTTGAGTGGCGTTGAGCTGTGTTGACAATTCTCAGCTAAATCGCGTAAGATTAAGTATTTTGAAATGTGGCCAAATAGCAAATTGGAATTGATGTGTTTAAACTATTCATTTAGTCGCTGTGAAAAGAGTCTTTGCCACTATAAAAGTGGTGGATTATGTTCGTATTTACTTTGGAATGTTGGATTTTGGTTATTGCTTAACGAAGCTTCCTTGAATTTTTTTATGCACTGTTTTCAGTGCACAAAGGATGAGTTTTTCTGTCAAATATTTCTACTAAAGTATGTCTGTTTTATTATTGAAACTAATGAAATTCCTTAAGTCTTAAAGACTGTCTGTTTCATTCTTTTGGGATTGCGCTCTAAAATAACTGAATAATGTGCTTTAAAATTGTCCGAAATTTTCTCACAGCGAGGCATTTTGTCCAAAATACCGTGAAAAAGAGGCTGAATGGAATTTCCTTCCGATGTTTCATCTTTTTGGAAAATGCATTGAAAGCCGATAATAAGTTGTTTGCACACCAAACTGCCCCGCTTTTCTCTAGCGAAAAAGTAAACTTTCGTAATAATAGTAGTGAAAGTAATTCGAGAAAGAAAGACAGGATAAAAACATGCAATAATAATTAATAATCGATAGTTTCTTTCGTGATTAGAATTTTGTTTTTCTTCCTAAAATCAATTTTGATCTAAAAGGCGTCAACTTATCCATATTCTCGCCCTGGTTTTATTCCAAATTTCCCTTCCGTTTACCATATAATTTTGTGTTTCCACCAAGAACTCTATTTTCTTCTTATAAATTCTCGACATTGTCTCGTGCGCTTTCCATGAATGCCGCAAGAGAGGGAGAGAGAGAGAGAGAGAGAAGGAGTGAGACAGAGAGTGAATTTTGGTTTGGAAATTATGAGCGAGAAGGATAATTACCGTCAATTGATGCTAATTGACTAATTGGCGGCTTCAATACAATGCTATGGATTATTGTATACTTATGACAAAAGTGTTTAGCTATAGGGGTGTGCAAAGGGGTGCAAAGGGGGTGGCGGAGCGTTTGGGGAAAGGTGGATGAGTAGATTACATAGAATTACTGCTCGTCCCACTGAATTTGTGAGCCATTCGTAAATGGCGGCGATACGGCGTTCCTCTATCGCTGGCATCGCCGCCCACCCACAATTGTGCACCTCCATGCCATTCGTCAAACAAAACAATAAACCATCTCCAATTACACCACATTGTCTCATGCCCGAAATGGATGTTCTTCCTTCCCCAAACATTATCAATCTCATTTGATTTACACAATTTAAGCTTGTCTTGTGTGGAGAGGCATTTTCGGTTCAGCCATAGTTTAAATACACAGCAAAATTCAAGTTGCTGGATCACTCTCGTGTCGAATGAGAGGCGGAAGGGAGAGGGATGGGGTGGAAAGGGGAGGATTTCGTGGCAAATGTGGGGTGTGTGTGAATCAATGTGACTGACGTTGGTATTTTCCTGGTGAAAAATTCAATTTGAAGCATCCGACAAACTGTTTAACAACGCATCTCAATAAATTCAGTGCGCTGAATTTGTATTTGAGCTGAAAAGAGAAGTGAATGATGGTGAAAAATATCGGTTAGCTTTTGTGAATAAAAAAAAAGAGGTATGATTTTGATTATTCAAATCTTATAATCATTTTGACGGTGAGTCAGTGTGTCAAATGCAATATTGGCATTGATATAATGTGTGATATAGCGTTGAAAGAATAAAAAGGGGCCATAAAAGCGCATATTTTCAGCACTGCTGAAACAATTAATTTTCCGTTAAAAGAGCTCAGTGAAATTGAACGTAAAATTTTGGGTGGTGATGCAAGTTTATGTTGTCGTTGCCACCAATCAAAGTGGCGAGTGTAGATTATATATTCCTTTTAAAATATATTACCTCAATGTCCTCACTATGAGGGCAATAAATGCAATGGGGTTTGGAGAGTGAGTGAAAAAAGGAGAAAACTATAAATAAAACAAACGCGACGACAACACATGTTCAATCCCAAGTGATTTATTGAATCGCGTGTTCTCTCAAATAAATGTTTAGCTCGTTCAACTGTCGCGAAAATAATTTTGTGTATATAAATGTATGTTGCGCTCGCGCGAAATGTTTATATTGCCTCCCCAAGCTGTATATATTACAATATAGAGTTACATTTATGTGGAAATTACTCTGCATATTCCATGATGCTCTCTGTGTGTATATTTTGATTTTTCGGGGGGCCACAGAAGTGCACCCACAAGAGAGTTGAAGGAGAGAGAGAGAGAAAGAGTAAAGATTACACAAGGCAGAATATTCAGCGCTGCGTGATGCGAAGCAAAAAAATGGCGAGATTTTAAATTATTGCGGCTTTCACGGGTGAATTGACTTTCGGGGAGTTAATTAATTGGTGAGCAAATAGCTTTTAGCCTCAATGGATAAAAATCTCTGTATTGATTCTTAATCGGTGGGGGAGATAAGCAAATAATTCCCTCAAAATTGCTCCTATCTCTTATTTCTTCGAATCCCGCCACACGGCGTTGTGAGCAGAGTTGAACCCGCTAATGACGCGAGTGGTTTGTATAGATAAGGAAAATCGCGGACAGTGACGATGGGAAATATGGTTTTTGGTCTATATTTTGTGCAATTCACTAACAACATCACTTCTACGGATTAAACATGACCGAAAGAAGATACTTTTTGGCATAATTGCCAAATTAGAAATGAATTAGGAGCTTTTTTAGGTTACTGTGAAGGTCGTTGATTTGAAATGTTATCCAAAGTTAGGAGATGAATGCAAGGCTCAACACAGTGACTGTCTGAAGCTGAAGTGATCAGAAATGGTGTGCAGAGATTCTGCAGACCACAGAAATCACAGTGTACGTAACTTAACGTGCCCAGAGTTATCTTTATGCTCAATCTATGCTCTCGTGCACTCTTCTCTGGGGTCATACATTCACTATCTGGTCTAGAGTCAATATGAATGGGGCTTTTTGTTCCACACGGAGCCAGAGTGGAGACGGAAGGAGGTGCAAAAAAGCAATGTGGATGGCAAGGTTGAGGGTAGATATCTCTCTATCTTTATCCTCCTCTTCTATTATTGCTGCAGCTCAATGTGTACATATATGTATGACTACCTTCCACTGAATTCTGGGATGCCAAATGGAGAGAGAGAGTGAGAGAGAGAGAATGGCGAAGGAGGGAGAGAGAGAAAACAATTTAAATGGTGTTCAGTTGCAATTTATGGTGGTTTTCCCTTCGGTATCAGTGCAAAAAGGAGGCAAATATTTATAGATCCATTTGGTAAATTGCGTAAGCTCTTTTCTACCACGAAGAATAATGAACAAATTCACTCTGGGTGGCGGTAATTGATTATTGTGAACCAATTAGCGATTATAAAGTCGATTCTGGGCTGTTGTGCGCGCTGTCTAATGTGGAGTGTTGCCGTTTGACATGTTTGGGGATGGCGCGGAGTCGGCGGGGACAATTACGTGGCGCTCAAAGGGGCAATTTTGCATTTATAAGATGGGACTGAAGTTGTGCGAAGAGGCACTTTTTAGCGGTGTGTAGCATAAAAAGCGCAAATGAATTTAATAGGAGGAGAAGTGAAATTATGTTGTACACAGAATGCGAGAGAGTGAGAAAGACGAAGAAGTTAATTCCTATGAAGTAGAGAAACATTAAAATACAACATGAGAGAATGTGATGGCTAATAAATAAATTATGTAAATGGCTTTCTATGTAATTTGAGTTAATTTATATTATTAAGTGTGTTATATTTGAAGTCATGTTTTCATTTAGGCGGCAGATACGGGGAAGCATTTGGAGGATGAAGAGAGAAAATAATGTTTAGTTACATGTTTAAAATATATATTCAGCACAAGTCGCGTGTTTTCTCATCCTATACATATTTTTTGTTCTTCCACCTCAACTTCTTTACCTCCGCGATACTCCTTCGGCCGTTTGCAGTGTGTAATTTTCTGGTAAATTATTAAAATGTGCCTCTGACATGAATATCACATAATTCTGCTTTTTCGGGGTGAAAGGAAATCATGTGAAACAGTTTTCCTTTTTTTTATCCAACAATTTGGCTCATAAAATACAAAATGATGATATTTTCTTGATTAGATTATCGCAATATTTCGGTACGCAATCATAAAGTATTGCCATTGGGAAAATATACACAACACACACTCATCACATAAATTTCTCTCTCTCTCTCTCTCTGTCTGATAAAAATAAAGCAATCAGAAATTTATTGAAATGAGGGATTTTCTTCGTTGCCGTTCGACGAATGGAATTTTCCGCTGAGGAAAATTGAACAGAGATTTGTGAGAAATGCAAAATAAGATTGAGCTTTTTTTTATTTGGGTGAAATGCAAAATATTTTTTGGCATCTCTTGCAAACTATTCTCTTTATGAGTATTTATATGTTCTTGTCTGGAAAATTGGAAAACATAAACAAACATGTCGCTTTTGCATTTTCTGCCAGAGCTTTTTGATGTCGCTCTTGAGAGCGAGAGCAAAAAGTTGTACATTTTCTACGCTACACTTTGTTGTTCATAACAGCTTATTAAAGATTCTCTATTCCCAGTTGAAGTTGTTGAGAGAAGTGAAGTAATGAATTACCAATTTCTGGGAAAAAAAGATTGTACGTTTTCTCAGTGTGCAAAGTTAAAAATTCGCTCTTCTTGCGCACAATGACTGAAGGATGACTTTTCCGGAAGACAGGAGATGAAGTTTTTCGCTCAGAAATTGCATGTCTTCCAGCAGAGTGCAACGGAGAGAAGTCAATAAAATAAATTAAATACAGTGGAAAATTGGAAGAACATCAAAGTACAGAGGAATCAACATTTTCTCGGGATTTTCCAAGAAAATACATCTCATTGCAGCACTATAAATATCTACATTGAGAGAAAAATTGGACTAGAATTGAGTTAATTTTGGTTCAAGAGTAAGAAATTGACTTAGCTTTGGAAGGATATTTCAAAATATAATTAGTATGATGGAAATGGCATTATTAAGGTTAAAAATAAGGTGGAATATTAAGCTGAAATATTCTTGATTCTAGTCGTAATTAAATTCAAGAATGGAATAGAATTGAAATAAGTCTTTTGAAGCAGTATTTAACATTTATATGACGAAAAGGATTCGAATTGAGGTGAATTCAGGCTAATTTCAAGACCTTTTTCGGCAACTAATTGCAATAATACTTCTTTCTAGATTCGAGAACATTTAATTTTTTCTGAGTGTATCTTTTTCCCTTGCATTTTTCACATTTTTCCATCTCATATTCTTTCCCATGAAATAATATTACTTTGTGCGACAATATTTGATGTGAGAAGGAATGAGCTTTACATATAGAAACATTTTTCCCCTTCTTTGTGCTCATCATGGCAATTTTTATTAAATATCCTTGCAATTCACTGTGTGTGCAGTGAATTGTCAACCGAGGAGAGAATATTAAATTGTCTCTTTCATTTTTCTGCAGTTTTTACGCCAACATGTCTCTGTTTGTCTCTTTGCAGAATTCATTAACAATAGCACAAGACCCGGGAACTTCTGATGACAGTGGACGAGCTTCTGAGAGATTGACGACGTCCTCTGTGGCTCCCCGTGATGCGGACAGTTCAAGAGATCGACTAAGTGATGTATGTTGTTTGATTTATTGGCTTAATTACATTTTGAGTAATTTATATTGACTGAATTGTACACATTAATTCACTGTGGCTTCTCTCCCTCAATTTGCAGGCAAGTAGTAGATGTAGCTCCGGGAAAGGATATATCGTAAGTGTCAATTTACACCCCACTTTATTATCTCTTTGCTCTTTCTTATTACCTCCAATCTTCATGTGATATTGTGAAACATGGCTGTAATTTTTTGGAATCACACATTTTTGCTAAATTGCCACGACAAACAGGTTCTGTTGCCAGTTTATTTATCTTTTCTTCTTTTCTTTCTGTTGCCACACAGAGAAAATGAATAAATTGATGTGGTTTTTATTGTGAGACTCACGAAAGAGAGAGAGAGATGCACATAAAATGTGCACCTCAAGATGGATTTCATATGAATATATAAGAAAAATAAACGCAATGAAGACAATTTAACGAAAAATGCTTCAGTGTTCCTTTTTTAAATTTGTGCTTTGAATAATTCTGTTAGGAATGTTTCATGCTCATTTTAACACGGAAGTTGTAGAAGGAAAAGCTGCCGGAAAGATATTGTAATTGAAATGATTTCTTGCAAAAGAAAGATTTTTCAAGCATTTTACAATTTAGAGCGGAGTTTTATGGAAAGTTGCCTGCCTTTGAGAAACTTTGCGTCCTCTTCAACACCCTCAAAAAGTCTGTTGTATATGAAGAGTGTGAGGAAAAAAAACACAGAAAAGAGGCGGAGAGAATTCACATAAAACGCGACCACAGAGTTCAAAGTTTTCCGGATGCTGAATGAAAATGTTAATTTTTTTCTCCTTGGTATATATATTTTTTGGGGTTTATATTTGTATAATACTTGACTATATATTTGTAAGTTATCCATGAAAAAAAAATGTGTCAGATGAGAAGTCATACAGCGCGTATGATGTTGTTTTTTAATGGATATTGTGTGGTGTTCGCGAGAAATTCGAAGGAGGGAATTTTTCACATTTTTTTCTCCATAGTGTAGAAGAGAAAAGAGAACGGAGAAAATGGTGAGGCTGAGCGAGGGAACATCTCTAGCATCAATATTATACTATCCATTTTATTTTATGACACCACTAAAAAACCATCTTGAATTTATTTTATTTATACCAACATATGACAGTCTATAAAGAAATAATGTTCTGAAATGGATCCAAGAGCGTGGACTCTGAGACAAAAAACAGTCATATTGTCGTCAACGAGAGTGAAGAGATTGTAACAGATTTTCAGGGCGCATCTCACATCGCGGTAATTATGGAATAGTGGCACATGTTTGTCTGGAGAACGTTAACAAGACGTTGGCTGACGTAAAAATACCAGCAATGCAGCGTCAGAAAGCTTTCTGTTCTTGAATCCTGGAAAATCACTCAATAAATTATTCAAATATAAATTTTGACTTTGTATGGAAAATGAAATATTCAAAATTTGAATAAAAATAATCAGAAATAGAATATTTTCGGCAAAATATTTCAATAAATCTAATTGTTAACCACAGGGCGAAATATGCATTTGGGAAATACAATCAGAACTTTTACGTGTCTTTAAGGTTTAAACTGCTGCCCTCTGGCGGCAATATGTGGAGAAAATTATCAAATATTTAAATTTTTTGTTTAATATGCAGGAAATATTCAAGAAAGTCAAAGAATAATTGAATATTTAAATATTTTGTAGGAGAATAAAAAAAATATTGAAATTTATATGGAATAATCAAAATTTAAATAATAATCACACAAAGTTAAGAGGAAAATATTAAATAATCACAAAATTAATGGTTTAAAGTCGCGATTCCACTTGCTTCTTAAGCTCGAGAATTTCTCCAAACCCTGTAAGATAATATTAATTCATCACATTCTAGAAACCACCAAAATATTGTGGCATTTTAAGTGGGTTTTTCCAAAGACTATAAACAGTTTCACAATGTCTGTCTTCGTACTATTTATTTACTCTTTATTGCGAAGTCGTATAAAATTTTTTTTTGTCGCAATGCTTACAAGAATTATAACTAAAACACGTTTTTTCTGTGTCTTCTTTCTCAACAGTGTGATAGCGAAGGAGACGATGATAAGGTGAGTGATACATTTTTTTCAATGCCGCCGAGTTTTCTTCATGTTTTCGGGCTACCTTTACTTTTGCATGATGTTTCCATATCTGCGAATGCGACTGTAACACATTGTTAATCGATGTGCGATGGTGTGTTCTTATCAAATTTGGCACTCAACACACATAATTGACAGAGTGGCAGTCACGTATGGTGAATAATAAGAAAATTGATATCAATCACCACAATTTCCACTTGAAGTTGATATCATAAATATCAAATCACATTACAAAATTGTTTCGTATAAATCACTCTTCCGCTGCGATGTTGAGATTTCTGGGCGAGAGGCGCTCGGGAGTGTTGAAAGTATATATATCAAATATTGCCTGTTCGCATTTTGCCACCCAGTGAATGTGTTTCTCCGTGTGTAATGTGCTGTGTGGCGCTGTATAGAGTGTAGAGTATAATTCTATTTTCTACCCATGCAAATGCGGGAAGATTCCCATTTGAGATAATTATGTTGAGAGGTAATTAATTTTATTATGACCGAGAAAAGAGATATGCAATTCCATTCAATTGCCATTTAACATGGTGCCCGAGACGTCTCTACTTTATTTAACTCCTGCCATCGTTGACTGTTTAATTGCATATATGGGGAAGAGAGGTGAACAAGAGTCGCTCAGAGTGAAGAGGTTGTTAATAATAAAAAAAAAAAACTGGAGGGGTTGAGAGACAATCACAAAGTAAATCTTCTCTCATGTGTGTCACTTGCTTCACGGTTGCGATGGTGAGATGTTGAAATTAAACACAAATAAACATGTGTTCTCGCACATTTAGTTTGCGCCAAACTACTTCCATTTACATATGTACATATCGTACAGTCTGTGATGGATAAATATAACACTGTCTTATTGATTTTGCGTAACTTGATATTATTTTGAAAAATAATAGTTTTCCGGGATATATTCTTTTTGTAAAACTAAGAGGATTCTTGGAAGTTACTCGAAACTTTCTCGTCTAAAGTTTTCAATAAGAGGTTTATTTTATTTTTTCAATATTGTACAAACTGTTCTTCTTATATCCACAATATTTAATAACAGTGAAGAGTGTCCTATTATTAAGTTTCTTTGCCAATCAATGCTTCACTATAGAATGATAGAGTTTTCCGTGCGTTTCAATTTGTCCAGATAATTTGTATGTTTATCGGCCAGTTGTTCAAAATTGCAGTCAAACGCTTAAAACGTCTCTTCTATAATCATATTAATTTTAGTTTTTCCTAAAATGTTCTAAGATTTTGAATGATATTTTAAAACTTGTGAACCAGAATTGCAAATAACACAAGTGGTGAATTTTTAGATATTTCTGAAACTTGTTGAAATAAAATGCACTCAAAGACTATTAAAAATCGATTTTGGAAATAGATATTTTTAGTTTTTCTATTAATTTGCAATATTTCAGTCAAATTTGCAACCAATAACGAATGAAATCAACAGAGAAATTCCCAAAATAATTATTATAGTGCAATATTAGCGATTTATTTAACGATTAGAAGGTGTTTTGAGGTAAATTCGGCAAATTTTAATGTGAAATTTTCATCTTTCTCTCCGGAAAATTTGGGATTCTGACTTTTCACAGTTTTCAATTCACCCGGCGATTTATGAATCGAGTGATAAAGGGCTGAAATGACAAATAGTTTTGTCAATATTTTTCTAGTTGCAAATATTGCGGAGTTCCTCAAAAGACGGGATGCAATAAAAGTTGTGTGTATTTGCATTGAAAAGTGTCACGGGCAGAGTTGGAGTAAATGTTCCGATGTACAAATGTCACTTAAGAATGGGCGGCGGAGGGTTGAACCCATAGTGAAAAGTTAAGCGATGCATTTGGTGGAGGCATTGTGTGTCGGCCCACACGATGTCCTCTTTTCATATCCTTACACCATCTCATTTTCTCACTTTTTTTTCCAAACATCCTGCATGCGAGCTTTAGCCATAAGTTTCACAATATGCTGTGTGGGAAAGTTTTAGCTGAAGCTCTGCTCTCTCACGCTTTCGGGTGGATAAATAAGGTGTGTGTCTATGTGTGTGGTGAGGAGGAGTTGTGCCGCAGAGCATCTCAGTTGTGAGCATATTTGAATATCCGGCGTCAAAATAGTGTATTTCACTATTGTGAACAAGAGCTCAGGCGGAAGCTTTTCCACTCCATTCCTCGAATCTCAACACACGACCATCGCCGCATCGCTTTTGCTCTGTGCTAGCGAAGAGAAAGCTCCCAGAGCAGTGCAAATAGTTTAACTTTATATTGGGTGTTGTAGCATGTGAAAAGGATAATGTTGGGTTGAAGTGGCAAGCGAGCGCGCGGTGTTCCCGTGATGCGCTGGGTTTTGGCATTTGATGGGGGGTGTGTGTGTTGTTTGGCGACGGGGGTGGGTTTTTAGGGAAAAAGAAAGATTAAAATTTTTTGCGCAAAGCATTTTACATGGAAGAGTGTCTCCACGGTTTTTGGGGGGTGCTTTTCAGGTGCACCACACGAAACTTTTGCCAACTTTGTCGTCTCTCACAGTGTGAATTTTATTGAAGACGGTAATGCATGGGAAAGTGTGCAAGAATACAAATTTTCCACTCTCATGAATTGCCTTTGGGAGCTGGGGGTGGGGGTGGTTTTTCGGGTGGTGATTTTCAAGGGAAGCAAGTAACACACACATTGGATGGAATTTATTGTGAAATTCTATCACGAAGCACACTGGGTGAATTTTGTCGTTCGTGTTTTTTTTCTCCCTGGGGTTTGATTTAATTGCTAAATTAAATAGCGGAATTCGTGTGGAAAATGCAAAGAAAAAAACATGGATGAATTTCTTCAGTTTATTGGATGAAGTCGGAAAAGTTTCCCAAAGCTCTTAATTAGGAGTGTAATGACTGGGGATTTGGGCTCTATTACGACTGTCTTGTTGTAGGTGAAGTGATGCTTAGTGGATTTATCTTGCAATTCCTCTACTTCTTCCTAAGAATGTTTATTACAAACTTGCACATAAAGTGTTTCGATTTAATTTTAAAATTCCAAGCGAATATGCCGAATTGCGAACACTTGAAAATCACAATAAATCTCCTTTGTTGAGGACAAAAATGTCTTATTTTGCGCTCTGTTGTTCCCCTGTTCGCGCGATTATATTGAATGGAGGGGAGAAATTGCTGTGATATTGGATAAAATACTGACTTTTAGACGATATTGAATACATGGGATTTCTCTTTTTTTTCAGTCCTCCCAGTGAGGGTGGATTATTTTGGGGTGGTGGTGGCAAGAATGGGTCTGAACAGTTTCCCCCTCTGGCTTTTCCTCGGCACTGTCTCCAGACGTGGTGCCATTGTGGAAAATCCTGCCTGTGAAAAGCGATGTGTGTGCTGCAATTTTCCGAAAAAAAGGGGTTTGAGAGACGAGAGAACGTCTTTTCTGTGGTTATTTTGGCTGCTGACTGTGGCTAAATAGATTTTTTCTCTCTCTCTCCGCTTCTCCTGTCGCCCAACCGTGTGTCCCAGAGTCCTTATTCTTCTGGCTTGACAGGGAAAATCTCCTCCTGGGACGATGTCATTTTGCCGTGGCTGAGCTGTTTTCCATGCATGTGGATTTGTGTGCCGTCGAGTGGGATGAATTCGGTGGGCGGCGAAGGTGGGAATATTGAGGTGGATTATGTGCTCCTTCAGTTTTCAGTGGAAAATCGACCATGTGTACATAATCGTCATGGATGTGTGTTAGACACAGTGTAGACGTTCCACAAATAAGAGGGTAGAATCGACATCCAGAGGATATTGTTGCTATGGAAATGTGCGTTTTACTACAATGTTATTTGAAGGAGAAATGGGAATGAAAAAGAAGAAAAAAAACCGAAGATGATATATTAGAATTGGCATATGAGATTATATGAAATGAGAGAGCGAGTGAGTTTGGGGGGTGGCGAAGAGAGAGTCACTTGCATGAACTCTTTCATTGAATTTACCCAACATCTTTTCCGCCATATCATTCAATATATATTTTCCAGGTGAATTGCCACCTCTACATATAAGATTATGAATTTTATTCGCTTCCCGGCCATTCTTCTTCCTTCTCTTTTTGGTCATGACTCTGGAAAGGGTGAAATTGGGAAGAGCGGGGCAGTTTGGTATGCAAAACTACAAAATTGTCCCACTGTGGGGCATATTTGGACTGCAATTTTTCAGTTATTTTTGGACTACAATTTATAAGAAATTACAGAGAAAGCGTTTAAATAAGATAAGGATAAGAAACGCAATTTCCAATTTTGCCCCGTTCTCTCCTACACCTGGGAAAAGTGGGGAGCTTTAAAATATATTTTATGGACGATAAAGCATATCAAGAAGATATTTTGAGAGGTTCTTGCAATAAAATTTTTGGAAATCATCCTGTAAAGATAAACTTACTGATGGCATTAAAATTTCCCCAAGAAATTCTCTTTGAGAGCAGATTATTTAACCGTGTAGGGATGTTTTTTGCTGGGGATGCTGGCGAGGAGGAGTTTTTGCTGTATTGTTCAGAGAGAGACAGCATTGACTCATGCCGTGGCATTTTTCCGCGCCAAATTTCCCTGAAAATTCAAACGCGTTCCTGCCGTAATCCATGCGATATTGCTCCTGGCGTGAAATTGTAACACCCCTGAATACATTAAGGGCGAATATATATTGTGAAATTCCCTGTGAAGTGATCCCATTTGGGAATTCATATTCAAGTATGAGATTTTTCGCTGCGTGTAGAAATTCAATGAAGGCACGAGGAGAGACGTGAAAGAGAGGAGAGAGAGAGAGAATAATAAAATACAGCACAGAATTTGATTGTATTACAATAATTTTGTATTCAAAATACATTTTTAACTTGTGTTTTCGTTTATTTGCTCCCTTTCCACCCATCCATTTGCTCTCTTGTGCGTCTCGTGTGTGTGGGTGAGTTGGGAAGGAAGTGAAGTCAACTTTCAGGATGGAAGAATAAACTTATAATATACCTTTTTTCTTGACGTTGAATATTATA